AGATTTTCCTTGTCTTGAAGTGCTGTCCTGCACTAGAAGTGAGTACAGAGACACAGAGCACTTGTGGTGCTTCCGTGTCGTTTTTCATAGTCAGTGTCTGTTAAATCTGAAAGAAAAAAATCTTTGAGGTTTTCAAGTTAGCGATTGTCTCAACTCCAGGCGTACAGGAACATAACCACCACGTGACACGTGATAGCAATCCTTTCTGTTTAAAATCCAGCTAGCAGGAACTAGCAGGAAAAAATGTGACATGGGACTAAGAGTGGGGTGTAGAAACACTGCCTCTGAGGGTGGCTCAGTCCTCCACATGTAGTGCCAGCAGTTGGAGAGAAGCTACAGAGGAGCCCAGAGTCAAGGCTGCACGCCTGAGTGTAAGCACTTCACTCAGAGTAAATGCTGCACCCTGCAGTCAGTGCTGCGACAGTTATTATCGTTCCTCAGTTGAGAGGATTGAGTGAACTGTTAATGTTTCTGCATCTAAAAATTGACCACTGTCATGCTAAAAGCGTTACAGATTCCCTTTTTAGATAACTCTTGTGCTGGCTTGGCGGTTTGTTTTGTTTTTAAGCTTTATCCCTGAGACTTCACATCCTTTCCATAAATACACGAGAAGATACTTTTTTTAATGTCACTTTTCCAGAGGTTAACAACACACCCTAGAAATACAGTGAACTGTGTTCAGTAAGTAAGCTCACATCCCCACCTCAGGGCAGTCAGCGTAGCCTTTGTAGTTTCTGGAAGCAGGAACACAGATTCCTCAAAACCGGGAAGACTGTTCTTTGGGAGTGAACATTTTTCTGGGTCTGAATTCAGGTTCTCAGTTGCTAGACTCTTGCTCTACCATTTGAGCCACACCTCAGCCCCATTTTGCTTATTTTTGGCAAGAATTGAGACCCCTGGGGGGGAGGGGAGCTTATCACATAAGACGACTCCACTGGAAGATTTCAGGCATCCACATAGGGAAGGTAAGTGGTATGTGCCATAGGCCTTCCCAGACCTCATGCTGACAGTCTGAATAAAAAGTATTTGATAGCTCCTGATCTCGAGACGTCTGTCTGATTCTTCAAAGAATGATTTCTGTGAATTTCTAACTATTCATTGATTTTCTCTTAGTTTTGGTTTTGAACCTAATAACCAAGTTTCTTGAGGCATTTATATAGTGCTTGTATTTACATGTAGCCACCACTCCAAGGTAAGCTCCTTCCTATTCAGACCCCTCCCGTTTCCTGTCCTTGGAGTCAGAAATGAAGGTCTATAATATAAAATGGCCTCAGCGTAGTATTTTGAGGCACTTGGACTGTCTTGATCTGTTTAAACTTACACGGGACTGTGATGCAGACTGTATGGCATGTGAGTTACCATTGTCTCAGCCTTCGAGGGGAAGGATGTCCTTTGTCCTTAAGCCATGTGGGTCTGGGGAGTGGGAGGGAGACGTGGGGTTAGTGTTGGGTTTGGGCTTCTAAGAGAAAAGAGGGCATACGGTGAAGAGAAAGGATTGGGGTTGGAGAAAATTTCACATTACATGGGAGCTAGGTGCGGTGGTTCACCTCTGTAATCCCAGCTATTTTGGAAGGCTGAGATCTGGGGGATCCAGGTTCAAGGCCAGCCTGGGCAAATAGTTCCTGAGACCCCCATCTCCAAAATAATCAGTAAAATGGACTGGAGGTGGGGCTTCAGTTTTGTAAGTATGAAACCCTCAGTTCAAATCCCAGTCCCATGGGGGGAAAAAAAACAGGGAGGTAGTGTGGTGACAATGGCCTCATGCTCTTCTTAGTTCTTGTTGTCAATACTTCTGAATACCTTCCTGAGTGGCAGAGAAAAGTCTGCCGAGCACCATGGCCACTGCCAGCCACCAGGGCTCTTTTGAGTTTTTTAGTTACCAGGCAGGAAGGGGAGGCCGGTGGCCAGGGAATGGTAGACCTAGAGCCAGGGCTGATGCTGGCTTGGTCCACCAGGGAACAGAAATGGCAAACGCAAGAAATAAAAGTGGGAAGGTGAGATTTGGGAGAACTGTCCACAAAAGCTTCTGCTCAGGAGTCCGAAAGTCTCTAGCTAGGTCAGGTTGAGTCCCAACACGGGGTCTGTATGAAGAGGTGGACATGCAGGTATCCAGCTTAACACAAAGACTTTGCTGATGCATGTGGTGGGGACACCGCCCTCCCCACAGGTGACCGCATGAAGGGCGCTTCGGTTGAAACCTCACCATGCCATTCTCATTCATAAATTTATATTCTTAGCTCTGGGCCTTCATTCCCTGGAGTGCTGCTTCTGAGGCCTTGAGCAGAGGCTGTCCAAAGGAGAAAGTGGCTGGGCACTGGTGGCTCACGCCTGTAATCCTAGCTACTCAGGAGGCAGACACCCTATCTCAAAAAAAAAAAAAAACCTTCACAATAAAGGGCTGGTGGAGTGGCTCAAGGTGTAGGCCCTGAGTTCAAACCCCAGTACTACAAAAAAAAAAAAAGAGAGTGGGTTGGGGACAGAGCTCAGCCATAGAGTTCTTAGCAAGTGCAAAGCTTGGGTTCAATCGCCAGCACTGCCAGGAAAAACAGAAGGCAGGAACTTGGAAGTTCAGGTCCTTGGAAGTTTGAAGTTTTCCATTCGGTCCCTCACACACACACGCTGCTCCCCACTGTTTTTTTTTTTTTGTTTTTTTTTTTTTTTTTTTTTTTTTTTTTTTTTTTTGTGTGTTTTTTTTTTTTTTTTTTTTTTTTGTTTTTTTTTTTTTTTTTTTTTTTTTTTTTTTTTTTTTTTTTTTTTTTTTTTTTTTTTTTTTTTTTTCTTTTTTTTTTTTTTTTTTTTTTTTTTTTGTTTTTTTTTTTTTTTTTTTTTTTTTTTTTTTTTTTTTTTTTTTTTTTTTTTTTTGTTTTTTTTTTTTTTTTTTTTTTTTTTTTTTTTGTTTTTTTTTTTTTTTTTTTTTTTTTTTTTTTTTTTTTTTTTTTTTTTTGTTTTTTTTTTTTTTTTTTTTTTTTTTTTTTTTTTTTTTTTTTTTGTTTTTTTTTTTTTTTTTTTTTTTTTTTTTTTTTTTTTTTTTTTTTTTTTTTTTTTTTTTTTTTTTTTTTTTTTTTTTGTTTTTTTTTTTTTTTTTTTTTTTTTTTTTTTTTTTTTTTTTTTTTTTTTTTTTTTTTTTTTTTTTTTTTTATTTTTTTTTTTTTTTGTTTTTTTTTTTTTTTTTTTTTTTTTTTTTTTTTTTTTTTTTTTTTTTTTTTTTTTTTTTTTTTTTTTTTTTTTTTTTTTTTTTTTTTTTTTTTTTTTTTTTTTTTTTTTTTTTTTCTTTTTTTTTTTTTTTTTTTTTTTTTTTTTTTTTGTTTTTTTTTTTTTTTTTTTTTTTTTTTTTTTTTTTTTTTTTTTTTTTTTTTTTTTTTTTTTTTTTTTTTTTTTTTTTTTTTTTTTTTTTTTTTTTTTTTTTTTTTTTTTTGTTTTTTTTTTTTTTTCTTTTTTTTTTTTTTTTTTGTTTTTTTTTTTTTTTTTTTTTTTTTTTTTTTGTGTTTTTTTTTTTTTTATTTTTTTTTTTTTTTTGTTTTTTTTTTTTTTTTTTTTTTTTTTTTTTTTTTGTTTTTTTTTATTTTTTTTTTTTTTTTTTTTTTTTTTTTTTTTTTTTTTTTTTTTTTTTTTTTTTTTTTTTTTTTTTTTTTTTTTTTTTTTTTTTTTTGTGTTTTTTTTTTTTTTTTTTTTTCTTTTCATTCATTCAACGTGTTCAATAAAAACATGCCTAATTTGCCAGGATCCATTTGGTAGCAGTGATACCATATGTTTCCGTCTTGGCATCTTGGAAACATCTTTGACCAGTTATCTTTAAGTACTGAAATTCTCTTGATTCTGTCATTCATACACACACTCAGTGAACCTTCATTGAAAGCTGTCTAATGTCCGGCATGTAGATACAGTGCCTTAGATACAATCACAAATAAGAGATAAGCCCCTTTTTTCACAAAGTTTACATTTTCTGAGAGGAGAAGATCTTGAGTACATACTTGGTATATTCAAGGGATGACAGTAATCTTGTGATGGATGACAGAAGTAGTAGTAGTGGAGAGAACAGATCATAAAGGGGCTAGTGCACCACTGTAAGGTCTTTGGCTCTACTGCAGGGACTCCTAGTCTCTCTTTGCCATTTTCCCTCTACTACTGGCCTTTTTCATGCCTTGCTACTCTTTCTAAGTGTATTGCCAGCTTCTTCTTTATTTCATCCTGTTCATTGCTACCAAATTAATCTTTCTGAAAGTATTTATTGTTATTCGGCCAATATTTTTAGTAACTGCAGGGAGAAAGGAAGTGTTAGATACTTGGGGATATGGTAAAAATAGAGCCATATTCTGTGCTCTTCTATCATTAAGGAAACCAGCTTAACAATGTGATTATGTAAGTGGTTATGGTTGCATGGCTGTATGACCTTGAGCAGGTTGTTTAGTCTTTCTGCCTCAGTTTGTTATCTGCAGAATCAAGATATCTGTCCCATAGAGTTCTCATGTCAATTAAATGAAGTAACACAGAGGAAGTACTTGTACAGGTGTAGGCTAAAGCTTGAATCCCTCTTCTTGGGTTCAGAGCTAGGTTTTTACCTGGGAAACTTATGTGTAGCCAACCCCTCAACCATATTTCCTTCCTTGTTGAGACAGACCAGCCTCCTTGTTATTTATTTTTTGACCATGGTCATATCTGCCCCACCTCTGTTCTCCTATTTATCTCTCATTTTTTTGGTTTGTGCTGGTGTTTATCTTAATAATATGCACTCCAGTCTCCACCTGGATTCTTCCTGTCATACAGAGCTCACTACCAGTTTCAGCATTTTGTGTAGTCTTTGTCATGGGACCTGTACCACCTATTCTAGGAATCCTAATGTTTGTGGCCTTCAGTCTTGTTTGACAGCAAGTGTCCCAGTAACCAAATGAGATAAGTGTTAAACTGCATTGTGTTACACTTGCTACATATTCTTTGTATACCTATAACAGTGTGATATACATTATGAAACACTGTATTTACTAAATACATCTTTATTAAAGTTATATCTGTAACTAAACTGTTTTATTTTCCCGTTTATAGCCTGTACAGTACACTCTTGGCTCATAAAAAACTACATATAAGAAATTTTGCTGCTGAAAGCTTTACTTTTTTGATGAGAAAGGTTAGTTTGATACTTTTTATGTTTATTGCTAGTAGTAAATCAATCAGATGAGTAGAGCAGATATGTCTTTTAAATCTGATAATTATGAACTAATTTTTAAAATATATAAGAAGCTTATTACTATTTTATCTTACCATAATGTTTAGTTTTGCTCACTAATTAATGTTGAAATAATTTGAATCATTCTTACTTGGATTTTTGGTAGTTTTCAGTGTGTGTTTATCAAAAGTGCTCTGTAGGAAGATCTTGAAGATCACAGTTCTAGGCCAGACTGGGCAAAAATTAGCGAGATCACATCTTAACCAACAAGCCAGGAATGGTGGTGCACTCCTGTGACCTCAGCTATGCAGGAAACATAGGTAGAAGGATCACAGTCTGAGTCTGGCCCCCAAGACCTGTCTGCAAAACAACTAAAAGTAAAAAGGGCTAGGACATGACTCAAGTGCTAGAGTACCTGCCTGGCAAGTGTAAGGCCCTGAGTACAAACCTCAGTATTGCCAAAGAAAAAAAAAGCGTCTTGTAATTCAAGCCAGTATTTACAATACTAGTGAGATGAACAGTAGTACTTTTTGTAACAGTTTTCTGGAAGGAGCTGATGTCATCTGTTTGTCTAAACATTTTTTTTACTCTTTTATTCACATGTGCATACAAGTTTGTCTAAAATTTACTTAGAAAATTTTAGAAAGTTTTTGTAATAAAACACATTGATACTAAATTTCTTTTATTATCATAAAATACAAATATATGATTTACTGTAAAAGCTAGAATGTTGCTTTAAGTAGTTTTTTGGTACATACCCTTCTGTCATACTAGTGAACTCATCACTCTTACTTGACATTACAAGGAATTCTAGTAGTTTGAGATCATTACAAATGTCTTTTGGAGTTTTTTTTTTTCCTGAGTATGTTTAAATATAAATATATAGAATAGGAAGTAAAATTTCTTATTTGGGCCTGTTTACATTGTAAATGTACTTTTCCATTTCCATTTTACGTTGTAGGTCTCTGATAAAAATGCACTTTTCAATTTAATGTTTCTTGATCTTAATGAACATCCAGAAAAGGTGGAAGGAGTTGGACAGCTGCTCTTTGAAATGTGCAAAGGAGTTAGAAATATGTTTCACTCCTGTACAGGCCAGGTAAGAAATGAGAAGACTGTGGGGAGCCTGTGAGGAAGGAATAGAACTAGGCAAATGACATGGTGAGAGGCCACGTGGAATAATACAAAGTACCAACTGGGAAGAGCTGGGGATTAATAACAGTGCTGCTGTATAGAGACCTTGGGTGCTGTTACTTACACAGTCACGGCTGTCTTCTCTGTCCTAGACACCAGGCAAGGGTGGATAGGGAGAGGCAGTTGATGATAAAACTCCCCATGCCGGGCGGGCATGGTAGTGTATACCATGTGTCCAGCACTGAGGCTAGTCTGGGCTATAGAGCAAGACTGTTGTCTCAAAAACAGAACAAAAAAATTCCCCATCTCATTGGGACACACAGTTAACAGTCAAAACTGTTATGTTCTTGATTATTCCAAACCAGATTTTTAAGGTAGCTAATATAGTTGGAGTAGCAAACACAGCCTGATACTTAAAAATAAGTGCTTAGATGTTCATTTTTAATTGCTCTTGCATTCCCACAGGCAATGAAGCTAATTTTGCAAAAACTAGGACCAGTTACTGAAACAGAAACTCAACTCCCGTGGATTTTAATTGGAGAAACACTCAAACACATGGCTAAATCTTCTGTAGTCTACATTTACAAGGAGCATTTTGGCACACTTTTTGACTGTTTGCAAGTAAGTTCTAATTTTTAAGAATGGGTGTATAAGGAGTCTGAGTTTATTGTTGCTCTGAGTTTAGCAAAGCACTCTTGGAGATTGCATTTTATAATTGTTTTCTTCATACTTCTGCCCTTCCCTCCATCTTCTGTAGTTTTCAGTATGACAGCTTGAGATGCAGCAGAGCACAGAGGTGGAAAGAGGCTCTTGTTTGTATCTTGGCTCTACCATTTACTGCTACTGTGACTTGGGAAAGATGTTTAGTCTCTCTTCCTCAGCTCTTCTTCGCGTGATAAATGGGAGTGGTAATGTTCCCGATCTCAGCGTCGCTGTGAGGATGGATCAGAATATTCAGTAGCTCTCATTATGCAGTAGGCCCCTGGTATATTGTCTTTTTCTTCCAAAGCAGATCTCACGGTATTTCATTATTGGATGAACAGAAGAGTTTAACATCTTAGAGTTACTTTCTCTGTGACATTGTTTATAGGAATCACTCCTGGGCCTATGTAACAAAGTAACAAAAACAAACTGTTGTGAAGGTTCTGAGCAGATGAAAACTTTGCTAGAAACCTATCTGATACTTGTGAAACATGGAAATGGATCCAAGATAACCAAACCTGCTGATGTTTGTGAGGTGAGTTCCCAACTTGATGTGCTGAGTGTTTGTTAATAAAATGGATTGCTAAGTGTGCATTGCTTTTCCTTTTTTTTACAGGTGTTGTCTCAAGTATTACAAACAGCCCATCTCTCCACATTTTGCCACAAGACACTGTTGGATGTAATTTCTGCTTTGATCCTAAATGAAAATGTCTCCTTGCCAGAGAGCCTCATCAAAGAAACCATAGAAAAAGTAATTTATTTCAACAAATATTGAGTAGTTAATAAAACGTTTAGCATTGAGCAAGTCTGCTTGGGGGATGCAAATGAAGCCTGACAAAGATTCTGTCCCCAAGGAGTTTAAAATCTTGTTAGGGAGATGTGAGTCACATGCTGTAATGGAAATAAGTAAAGTGTAGTAAAAGCTAACTCTTTACAGCAAATATTCAGTGGCCATGTGTAGCTTACTATGTGCTGGGTGTGGCTAGGTATTCCAGGGTGAATCCTTTGATGCCTACAGGTTTTGATTGTTGTTGTACAAGGGAGGATCTAGGGATGAGTAGTTATAATACAGTAAACTACTCTACTGGAGATAGATATTGAATTATAGCTTTTAATTCTGCCTGGGGTTGAGGAATGGAGAAAGCTTTTCAAAGCACTTATATTTGATAGTCTTTGAAGGTTCCATAGCAGTTTTCTAGTCAGGGAAGGGGTAAAAAAGCACTAGGACAGGGAATTGCAAAAAACAGCATTTGTAAATGTGTAGTCTTGGCACATGGGCATTTGAGAAAGTGTGATATAGCAGCAAAGAGGTGGGTTGAGTTTTATCCTGCAAGTAGTCAAAGGCCCTGGAAAAATATTAATCAGGGATGTGATTTGATGAGATTTGCATTGTAGTGAGTTTGGAAGTTGTTTTGTTTTGGGTTTTTTGGTGGTATTGGGGTTTGAACTCAGGACCTCATGCTTCCTAGGCAGGCACTCTACCACTTGAGTCACCCCACCAACCTGAGTTTGGAAGTTGGATTGAAGTGGGATTGAAACAGAAAGATGGTTTAGTATAAGATCAGGCCACTTTCCCTTTTATAATTCTCTAGCTGGGAAAGAACCGAGCAGCTCTTAAGAAGGGCCTTGTATAGTCACTGAAGTACAGCACCCTTTGTATCTGAGTTTCTCGGCAGAAGGTCGAGCCTGTGGACAGAGAACTGGTTGAAGTGTGCCACTATTCCTGACTAGCTGCCTTGGGGGTGGAGGGGAGGTGCAACAGGGAAAGTACTCTCTGAACTTCTATTTTTTTTTTTTAACCTGTGGTTTACAGATTTTTGAGAGCACATTTGAAAGACGTATAATTTTTGATTTTTCTGAAGTTATGTTTGCTATGGAGCAGTTTGAGCAGGTAAGCAAGAGATTAAGTTTAGAGTATTTTTTTTAATCCACCTTAATAAACTAATCAAATTGAAATTCTGTGGTTTTGCTTGTTTTTTAAGAGGAACAGAATTAGTGCTTGATGTTTTAGTCAATTTTTCTTTAAAGAAGTTATATTCAATTCTGAGTTAACAGAGAAAGCTTTATTCTATATGCAGAGGCATTTAGAATTACACCCAGTAACTAATTTGTTTTTAATAATACTTGAACTAGTTATAGAACCTTGTAATAAAATTGAAAAACCAGTTTAAGAAACTGTTAGGTGAATTTGAAGCATTGAAAATGTTTCTGAAACAGCTTGCATTGGAGGAAGATTACAAGCTTATTTTGTTGCTACAAAATAGGTACTTGATAGGACAAAGTAGAAATCTTTCTTTCCAATCCTGAGTTTATTTTATTCCTTTCCTCTTCCTCTAATCGAGCACTGCTGGTCACACTTAGAGAAACCTCTCTGTATATCAGTCATCTCATTTTTCCTTTTAGTCTTTAATAATATATATTCTCATTTGACTCAAAAAACACTCTTTTTGCATGTCCTAGATCCTGTTTGTTTCTGTTCCATGAGGACTCGTTCTCACTCTGGTTTTCTCAGCAACTCCATCTTTTCCTTTTCCAATGTTCACTTTGGTCTTTTGTTGCTGCGGTTTTTGTACTGGGGATTGAACTCAGAGCCTTGTGCTTGCTAGGCAAGTGCTGTCTACACTTTGGTCTTTAAAAAAAAGTGTTATTTTTATCAGGTATATACATATGTATACCTGATATGTATGTTTGTATGTATATATTATTCTGATAAGCACACTATATACATACATATACACACACACGTAATACTATATATGTAGTTTAAATCAGTCAAACGAAAACATAGTCATTTGTTCTCCACTCACCTCTTACTTACCAGCAGCAAGCACATGTAATGATTTTTGGCTATTTTTTTATGGCATTTATATTTTAAAGTCATCTGAATATACTGCTTCTCCTTGATGAAGTTTCAGTCCTCATTTGAAGACTTCCTCCTATGGTAGATGGGTTTCAGTTCTTTAATACCCCTCCTCTTCCCCGTATCACAGGATTTTGTTAAATCCACATTCTCTACACACTTAGTTTTTGTAATCATGGAGTATTTTATGATGTCCTTTTTTGACTACCTTCTCATTTTTCCTGGAACCAGTAATTGCCTCATCGTTCAAAAATTCAAGATTGTTTTCTTTGATTAGCAGGCCAGTGAGTCTGTCTTCCAGCATCCTTGTAAATGCCTTTCACAGAGGAAACTGTCTTTCTTGGAGACATTTCTCCTAGAGAGTCTGAATGGTTTTCTTTCTCAGCCTCCTGCACAGCTGTCACTCTACAGTGTCCTTTTCATTCTCTTCTGTTTCCTGGGCCCCAGGTTTCCCTCTTGTTAATAGTTTACCCTTATTTCAGTGGAATACATTTTCCCTAGGTTTCTGAGAAGAGTGAATGGAGATAAAATTTTAAGTTTTAGTACATCTGAATATGTCTCTACTTTCTCACATCAGTACTAGGCTGGTACAGAATAGCAGATTCTAATTCATCTTCCCTAGTAATGTTGTCCTCTAGTTTTCGTTGTTGCTACGGAGAACTTTAATGCCATTATGATTCCCAATTCTTTGTTTATGAAGTCTTTTTGGTGATGCCAGGGTTTGAACTCAGGACCTCATGCTTGCTAGGCAAGCACTCAGTCACTTGAGTTATACCTCCAGCTCTTTTTGTTTTACTTTAGTTTTTAGATACGGTCTTGCTCTTTGCCTGCAAGGGGCCAGCCTCAGCCTGAGATCATATCTATATTTACATAGCTAGGATTATATACATGTACTACCACACTTAGTTTGTTGGGATGAGATCTTATTATGTTTTTGCTCAACTGGCCTCAAAACTCAATCCTCCTGATCTCTGCCTCCCAAGTAGCTGGGATTATAGGCATGAGCCACCGCACCCAGACTCTTCTTTTTTTTTTGAAGTGTTGTAATCATCTCTTAGTTAGGTGTTCTGGAATTTATATTTGTTATTAATTGTGGTTTCCTTTCTTCAGCTTTTTCTACCAAGCTTTCTCTCATACACTGAGAATTGCTTATTGATTGGTGACACTGTGGTCAAAGAAGAAGCACTGGCCATTTTGGCCAAGCTTATTCTGAACAAGGCAGCCCCTCCCACTGCTGGCTCCATGACGATTGAAAAGTTCCCTCTGGCTTTCTCACAGCAGACAGTGGGGTGAGTTCCATGTGATGTTGGTAGAATTACCCATTTAAATGCAGCACATCAAGAATGCTATAAAAATGGAAATCTATATGTGTTAACCAGGAAGAGCCCATGACAAAGTGTTACATGAAAGAAGCAAGTTGTAGAATTGTACACCTAGTATGTGTAGTGTGATCTCATTTTGCAAAGTTACATCAAAAAGTGTGAATAAATATAAAGAAAGGATATACAAACCTGTTTACTTTGCTTATAACAGGAGGATGGCTTCAGAAAGAGATGGCTATTAGGTTTTTTTAACCTTTTATTTTAAAATAATTGTAGATTTGTGTGCAGTTGTAAGAAATAGACCAGAGGTTCCTGGCACCTGTCACCCAGTTTCCCTCAGTGTTAATATCTGCATACGCATACTGCAGTGTTAGAACCAGAGACTGGCATTGGTATCACCCACCAGCCTTACTCAGTTCATCATTTTATGTACACTCACCTGAGTGTTGTACTTGTATGGAGATACAGTTCTATACAGTTGTACCACATGTATAGATTTGTAACCATCCTCAAAGTGAAAATACAGCACTATCCCATCACTACTAGGATCTTCATGGTACCTTTTAATAGCTCCACTCACACCCTTCTGCTCCTACACCATCCCTAACCTCTTGCACCCACCAGTCTACTCTCAATTTTCATAATTTTGCCATTCCAAAATTATGGAGTTGTGAAGTACACCTTTTGAGATTGGCGTTTTTCACTAAACATAATTCCTTTGAGATTCAGCATTCCCTAGTGTGACTATGTCATCATTCACTCCTCCAAGGACTTTTAGGTCACTTCTCATTTTTGGATATTATGTATAAAACTGTTGCAAGCACATTTTCATTTCTCTGAAATAAATGCCAAAGAATGGAATTGTTGAGTTGTATGTTAAGTACATGGTTAGTTTTATAAAAAGTACCAGATTTCCAGAGTTGCTTTGTCATTTTATATTTTCATCAGCTGTATAGGATGATCCAGTTTCTGTGCATCCTTACCAGCTGTTAGTATTTCTCTTTTTGTTGTTGTTGCCAGTTTGGCAAGTGTGTAGTGATATTCTCAGGGTGTTTTGATTTGCATTTCCTTCATAGCTAACAATATTGACACTGTTATTATTATTCATAATAACATGCTCATTATTCATTTCTTTGGCCTGTTTTTTAACTACATTATTTGTTTCTTTGCTGTTCAATTTTGAGAATGCTTTATATATTCTAGCCTTTAGTAAGATATATGACTTAAAAATAGTTTCTCCTAGTCTGTCGTTTATCTTTATTTCCTCAACAATGTTTTTTTTTTTTTGCTACTCATGAGGTGGAGGCAGGACGATCACAAGTTCAAGGGCAGTCTGGGCAAAGTTAGTGAGACTATTTCTCAAAAACAAAATGAAAATGATAAACAAAAGGGCTGAGACATGGTTCACTGGGGGCGGGGAGAGTTTTTTTTGGCTGAGCAAACAGATCCATCCAGCTCATCAAATTTCGCTCTTATAAATCATGCTTTTGGTGTCAGGTGAGAGCTCTCTCAACACCTAGGGCCCAAAGATTTTCTATTTGTTTTTCTAAAAGATGTATTGTTTTTTGTTTTACATTTTTAAGTCTGTAACCCATTTTGAGTTAATTTTTGTGTAAGCTGAAGTTTAGGTCAAGTGGATGACCACGTGCTCTGGGGACATTTGTTGAAAAGACTGTTCTTCCCCATGGAACTGCTTTTTGCACCTTCTCAGAAATTTGTTGGGTGTATATATGTGGGTCTATTTCTGGGTTCTGTACCCTGCTTCATTGATGTATGTGTCTGTCTTCCTCCCATACCACACTGTCTTACTACCCTAGCTATAAAATAACCCTCGAAACTTTTAAAAATACTCCCAATTCCTCCTCCTCCTCCTCCTCCTCCTCCTTCTTCTTCTTCTCTCTCTCTCTCTCTCTCCCTTTTTTCCAGTGCTAGGGAGTGAACTCAGTGCCTTGCTTTTGCCAGGCAGGGCTCTGCGATGAGCTATATCCCCAACCTTCAGTTTATTTGTCTTTGTCAAATTTCTTTTTTTCTTTTTAGTTATTCCTGATCTTTTGCTTTCTATATAAAGTTTAGAACAAACTTTTCTATGCCTACAGACAAACCTTGCTGGATTTGGTTAAGAATTGCATTAGACTTCTTCATCCATTTTGGAAGAATTACTCTCTCCAAGAAAACACAAAACTATTAGCTCAAGATCAGGAGTATGGAAAACAGAAAAAAGAAATTGTTTAACCTTAAATCTTATACCTTTGCATTATTTAAATTGTTAAATGAGCCACAGATTACTTTCTTAATTTCATTCAAAACAATGTATAGGGCTGGAGGTGTAACTCAGTGGTAGAACACTTGCCTAGCATCTGCAAGGCCCTGAGTTCAATCCTTATCACTGCAAGGGGAAGAAAAAGAAAAAAAAAAAAGGAAACAAAAAAAACCCTATGAAAAAGCAAAACAGCATATAACCTTTAAAAGTTAAAAATGTTTGTTTAAATAAATGAAAGGAATGGGCACCAATGGCTCTTGCCTATAATCCTAGCTACTAAGGAGGCAGAGATGAGGAGGATCAAGGTTCAAAGCCAGCCTGGGCAAATTGTTAGAAAGACCCTATCTCAAAAAAACCCATCACAAAAACGAGCTGGTGGAGTGCCTAAAGTGGTAGATTGCCTACTTAGCAAGTGTGAAGCCCTGAGTTCAAACCCCAGTACCACCAAAAAGAAAAAAATACATGAGAGGGTTCAGCTTACTGTTTCCAGTCATTAAGTGGGTATGCTTCTGAAAACCAGATTAAAGTACCAAATTATCCTCTTTTCATTCCTTTGTTTTTACTCTTGTTTTTTTGTCTATTGGATTAGTTAGACCTGTTGTTACAGTTTTGGTTTGTTCTGAGGCATGTGAAGCCCTGAGTTCAAACCCCAGTACCACCAAAAAGAAAAAATACATGAGAGGGTTCAGCTTACTGTTTCCAGTCATTAAGTGGGTATGCTTCTGAAAACCAGATTAAAGTACCAAATTATCCTCTTTTCATTCCTTTGTTTTTACTCTTGTTTTTTTGTCTATTGGATTAGTTAGACCTGTTGTTACAGTTTTGGTTTGTTCTGAGGCAGTAGGAATAAATGAATGTTCCTTGAGTGTATGCTGAGTGCTCGGCTTTGAACTTCACAGATCCATAGAGGTGTGAGTTCCTGTGCTCACTGTCATACAGACGTTGGGTTTTGAGTTTGATCAGCTTGCATTTATGGGGATCCCATCTCTTTAGCGCCTGCTTACATCTTCCTACCTTCAAAGTAGCTTCTCTGTCAAAATGTGTCAACATGGTATTGTTGGTGTTGTAATTGACTGAGCTCTGACTTCTGGGGCGTGGCAATGACTAACTCCTGTAGAATGATTCCCTTAGGCCTTTTATCTTGATTTTGCAACCCCCAGCCAATCTTCAACAAGCACCTTCCTTATAAGTGACCACAGCTCTGAGTTCTGTATCATGGCAGTGAAGTTACTTTGTTTGTTGGCTTCTGTGAAGCTGGATGTCACACCTTACACTGTCACCTCAGCCCTCTCTAATCTTCCTGGGAAAGTAGCGTGGTAAAATCAATAAATAAATTTAATGTATTAACCTAAGGCAAGTACCACAACTTCCATGTCTCTTTCTCTGAGAAAACATCCCTCTGCCACCTCTCCAGAGATAGGGTATGTGTGAATGGTCACCTTTGTCCTGATTCCTTCTCTGAAGATTTGTAATAATAGTTTGAGCCACGCATGTGCATGCCTATTATCTCAGCACTTGGGAGGAAGAAGTGAGAGAGTGGCTGGACTATAGAGTGAATGTGAAGCCAGCCTAGGATACATAGTGGGACCCCATCTCAAAAATAATAGTAATGATTTGAATATTAGTACTAATCCATCCTCCTATCTTACAATTTTGTTACGAGAATAAGAAGGGATAATTAATGTGAAAATACTCTTCAGAAATAAGTGTCATTTGACAGACACTGTCGGGTACTGTTCTAGACACTGGGGTACCACAGTAAATACAAGGTTTCTTTTGGTGAGATAACATTCCTATGGAGAGGGACATGATGAGCAAATAAGCAAGTAAAGCAAGATGATTTTGAACAGTGCTGGAAAAAAAATGAAGCAGGGTGTTAAGAAGAAGAGAGAAATGAGGGGCACTTACTATTCCTTTCTGGAGTGTGAACCTTTGGGCTCACGTATTGATGAGGAGTATTGATCCTTGCAATGTTCTGGGAGAAAGACTTTCTATGCAGAAGAGTGAGTGACCACAAAGGTTGTGGGGCAGGAGTAAGCTCAGTAAATTTCAGGAATAGAAAATCTGTGGGTAAAGAGCACTGAGCAAGGAGGAGGTTAGTGTCAGATTACTTAGGGTCTTATGGGGCAAGGAAAGGAGTATGGATTTTATTGGAGGAGCTCATTGGCAGGTCTGATAATGCTATAGAATGATATGACAACTAATTACTTGTTCTTAAAGCATCTAAATATTTTGTAAGATTTTTTTTTTTACAGATTATTGAGTTATCATTACTACCCAAAAGATATAGATGGAATTGACATTTTAATTAACTGTCATAATTTTCAAACACTCAATACCCTGATAAGTATAAAACAAAAGAGAATGTGACTTTTGATTAACTTTAATAACAAAAAGGACACAGTAGTAAAACCCCATTTTGCTTCTGTTGCCCTATAAGCTAACCAAACTGGACATGGGGGACAGATTATAAAGCATTTTACTTATAGTTTCTATGACTTTTCTTTAATTAGATTCCTGTCTTACAGATGGGACTGAGGCATATTACACAGGCAAGAAAAGAGGCTAGTTAGAATGGTACAGAGTACCCAAACCAAATGCCATGTCAGAAAATGTCATGGGTATCAGGTTAATGCATTAGGAGAAAATTGCTTTCAAATCATAATAGTGTTAGTGGTATTTGTTAACTTTGCCACAGTAATTTTGCAACATCAGTCTTCATGTCAAAAAGTCAGTTTGTTCCCGTGAATTGCTTATTCTCTTCTTACAACATGCCCAGCAGCACAAAAATGAGAAATAACCTAAAAGTAGAAAAGAGGCTTCATTTATGTTCTGAAGCAAATTAAAATAGAAGTAAGGAGGCACAACCCATGGAGCTGAGAGTCTCTCACTGAAGATCTGTGAGTGACTAGCTTGTTTAGTTATTTATGTTCCATCACCACATCCCTCAGCTGCACATTGGAAAGGAGCCAGTGTCATTTCAAACTTCAGAGAACAAGAGCACTTGTAGTCTCTGCTATTTTTAATGTGTTTCTCTTTTCATCCTTCAGATCCTACTTAAGGCAGAGGAAGACGAGATCCGAGGGAAGAAGGGAACAGTTTTCAGTATTGGATCATCTCTTAACTATAATTCAGTTACCCCCAAACAAAGATACAACTTACCTTTCACATTCTTGGGCAGCCCTTGTAGTGTTACCTCATATTAGGTAAGAAGTAGCTGTGTTTAATTTTGAAAGAAATACTTAACATCCGAATGAAAATGTGCTAGCTATTCTTTGCCATTTTGTGGAAAAGCCATTGAATGGCAGTTTGAACTTTTCCCTTTTTCTCCCCTCTCCTTGGACAGGCCTCTTGAGAAAGAGAAGGTGACACCACTAGTGACGTGCTTCATAGAGTCACTCTTCATGGCTGTTGACAGAGGGAGTTTTGGAAAAGGTCAGTTACAATCACCATTTGTTCTCTTCTCTGTCTTTTCTGGCACGCCCAAAGTAATTGTAAACACATGTAATACCAAAGAATAGTACTAGCATTGTGTTCTGACATACTCTTTGTTTGATAAATATGGACAAAAGAGAGTAAGCTGGTCATGTTTTACCTGTACCTCATAATGTGACCGGGTCAAGGTAGCATGAACATGAAGAGTCAAGTGTCAACTGGATGCTGTAGCGTGGTAGACCATTCATTTCAAGCCCCAGCCTTCTGCCATGCCCACCCTACTCCTAGGGTTTACATTAGGCTCCAGGCTTTTCTATTTGTTCACCTTGTTCAAGACCCATTCCTTTATAACCGTCTCACTGTCCTTGCATACATGTTCCCTCTGCTTGGGGAGCAGGGATCTTTTTAAGTCTTTGTCACTTAGTGAGCTCTCACTTATCCTACAAAGCTCAGCTCAGGCATGGCACTTCCAGGAAGAACTTCCTGCCTCTTCCAAGCTGAATTGGGCTGCTTTACCCTGAGACCTTTTGCTGCTGTGTGTCCCGCAAAGCCTGAGGATAGCAGTTTAAAAGCAAGTCTTTTCTTTTATCCTAGCACATATATAGTAGTCATTCACTTGCTTAAATATTATTGTGCTGTGTTCTGTGTTAGGTACTAAGCAGACATATCAGAGAATAAAGTGGACTCTGCACATCTCAAGTGCTCATGGCCATGGTGTCTAGTGGCTGCAATATTGGATTATGGCTATGTATCAGTACAAATATTTTTACCATATTTTAGGGCCACATTTTATCTTGGTGGCATATTCTTTTTCTTTTGGATAAATTTTTTATTAGGATATATTCATTATGCTGGGGGGGATTTGTAGTGACAATTCCAATTATACTTACATTGTACATTATTTACATTGGCCCCATCATCTCTCCTCCTCAACTTCCTCCCCACCCCACTTAAAAGAATTGCAAGAGGCTTCTTTCTTTACTTGTTTCATTTACTTATTTTTAAATTTTATCGTTTTTACATTTATTTGCATGTGTATACATTATTTGGGCCACCTTCCCTCCACCCCCTTTTCCAATCAGAACCTATTCCACCCTCTTGTTCTCTGATTTTATTGGAGAGAAAACATAAAAGATAATAAGAAAAATAATGTTTTGCTAGTTTGAGATAAAAATAGCTATACAGAGAGTTTCTTAGTGTTGCTTCCATGCATATGTATATTACAGCCCAAATTGGTTCATCTCTACCAGACCTCTTCACTAGCAAGAGGTTTCTTAGTTCTGTTTCATATAGGTATATGAAGTCTGGCTACCATATAGCATCACCTTAATCTCCTTCCTTCACCCTTCCCCAACTCCAAGTACTCCCCCACACACAGTAAACCTATTTTAAACTCCTGTTTTTCGTTACTAATATTTAAGTTGATGATCAAAGGGGTGTCTCAATGTATGCTCACTCAGGGTGTACTTTACTTTGGTCCATTCAACCCCTTCCATTACTCTCCCTTACCCTTTTCCTCCCATCCCCCATTTTTTACCAGCTTTCAGTTCACATCCTTATATCCTCTACCTTCACATCTATGTTAGGCGATATTATTGATGCTCTGTCATTCTCTTTTCCTTTTCCTCTTTCCCTGAGTTCCATAGTTTCCCTGAGTTCCATAGATCAGTTCCACTATTACAAACATGTTCTACATCTGAGTTTGTATATGGCCATGCTTGTTTTTGTGTATATGTTTATCTTGGATCTGTCTTCCATGTATAAGAGAAAACATGTAGTTTTTGTATTTCTGATCCTGGCTTACTTCATTAAACGTGATATCCTCCAGTTATGTCCACTTACCTTCAATCCACATGTCCTTATTCCTTATGGGTTAGTAATACTCCATTGTATATATATATATGTATATATATATGTATATATACCACAATTTCTTGATCCATTCATTGGCTGTAGGGTTGTTTCCAAAGCTTGGCTTTTGTGAATAGCGCTGTGATGAACATCAGTGTACAGGTGTCTCTGTTATATCCTGTCTTATGTTCCTTTGGGTAGATGCCCAGGAGTGGTATCACTGGATCATATGGCAGTTCTACCTCTAGTTTTTTGAGGAATCTCCATACTGCTTTCGGTAGTGGTTGTACTAATTTGCATTCCCACCAGCAGTGTATAAGGGTTCCTGCTTTGCCCCATCCTCGCCAGCATTTGTTATTATTGCCCTTGATTATGGCCATTCTAACTGAGGTGAGATGAACTCTAAGTGTTGTCTTGATTTGCATCTCTTTTATAACCAGGGAAGTTGAACACTTCTTCATGTATTTACTGGCCATTTGTACCTCTTCCTTTGAGAATTCCGTTTAATTCGTGTGCCCATTTCTTCAATGGGGTGTTGGTTCTTTGGGGGCTGAGTTTTTTGAGGTCCCTATAGGTTCTGGTAGAGTCCTTTATCAGATGAGTAGCTGGCAAAGATTTTCTCCCATTCTGTTCTGCTGTCTCTTGAGTCTGGTGACTGTTTCCTTTGCTGTGCAGAAGCTCTTTAGTTTGATGCAGTCCTTGTTTGTTCATTGCTTCTCTTAGATGTTGAGCCTTTTGAGTTCTTTTTGGGAAGTCGTTCCCTGTACCTATCTGTTCCAGTGTATTTCCTACTGCTTCCTGGAGTTGTTTCAAAGTTTCAGGCCTCATAGTAGGGTCTTTGATCCACTTTGAGTTGATTTTTGGTACAGGTGAAAGACAAGGATCTAGTGTCAGTCTTCTACATGTGGCTATCTGGTTTTCCCAGCAACATTTGTTGAGGAGGTTGTCTTTTCTCCCTCGTGAGTTTTGGGCTCCATTTTCAGGGATCAGTTGGCTATAGATGTGTGAGTTTATGCTGGATCTTCTATTTGGACCCATTGGTCTTCCTGTCTTTGTGCCACTACCATGTTGTAGTATAGTTTGGAGTCGGGTCTTGTGATGCCTTCAGCATTGGACTTTTTGCTCAGAATTGCTTTGGCAATTTGAGGTCTTTTGTGTTTCCATATGTATTTCAAGTTTGCTTTTTCTATTTCTGTGCAGAATGTCATTGGGATTCTGATAGGGATTGCACTGAACATGTAGGTTGCTTTTGGTAGTATGACCATTTTCACAATGTTAAATCTACTGATCCACGAGCATGGAAGGTCTTTCCATCTTCTGATGTCTTCTTCAATTTCTCTTTTCAGTGATTTATAGTTTTCATTAAAAAAGTCTTTGGTTTCTTTCATTAATTTTATTCCAAGGTACCTAATTGTTTTTGAGGCTATTGTAAATGGTATTGTTTCCCTGATTTCTTTCTTGGTCTTTTTGTTGTTGGTGTATAGGAAGGCTACTGCTTTCTGTATGTTAATTTTGTATCCTGCTACTTAGATGAAAGAGTTTATGATTTTTGTCATCTGCAAATAGGGATAGTTTGACTTCTTCTTTCCCTATCTGCATCTCTTTTATTTCTTGCTCTTTCTTACTGTTCTGGGTAAGAATTCCAAAACTATATTGAAAAGGAGTGGAGAAAGCAGACAATGCTGTCTTATTCCTGACTTTAGCAGGAACGGTTTCAGCTGTTCTCCATTTAGTATGATGTAGGCTTTAGGTTTGTATATAGCCTTTATTATAGTGAGGGACATACCTTCTATTTCTGGTTTCTTTAGGGCTTTTATCATGAAAGGGTATTGGAATTTGTCAAAGGCTTTTTCTGCATCTGTTAAGAGGATCATGTGGTTTCTGTCCTTGCTTCTGTTTATATACTGTATTACATTTATGGATTAACATATGTTGATCCATCCTTGTATTCCTGGAATGAAATCTTTTTTTCCTCTTAACCCTTTAGAAATGTGAACATTCTTAGCTTGCAGGATTTCAGTCAGGTATGATGTCACTCTGCTGTAATCTCAGCATTTGGAGGCTAAATTTGAGACAGCTTGGGCTACATAGCTACACCATATCTCAAAAAATCAAAACAGGGCTGATGGAGTGACTCAAGTGGTAGAGTGCCTGTCTGGCAAGTATGAAGCCCTGAATTCAAAACCCCAGTACCACTACCCCCTGAAAGAAAAAGAAAGACTGTCCTAAAAAAAACCCAAACAAATAAGTACAACCAGTCTACTTAACAGATCTGCCTTATGGACCATAGTTTGCTGACCCCTGGGCTACAGATTAAATGAGTGTTTAATTGATATTGATTAAATATGTATATTGGCTAGTAGCTATTGGATATGTGACTTTTTTGGGTTTTTTGGTGGTTGCTGGGGTTAGAACTCAGGGCCTTATGCTTGCAAGGCAGGCACTCTACCACATGAGCCAGTCCTCCAGTCCTGATATGTGACTTCTTATAAATTGGAGAATAATATCATCATGAGTTTCATACAGAAATAACTTGACTTTGGAAAAGTCCAAGTCTACTTTCATCAAAAGTTCTAGGTTATTCTAGTTAGAGTCTAGTTTGAGATTAACCAAAAGTGTTTCAAATTTTGGAGTTTTTTGGATTTTGAAATATTTGCATAAACTTTATTGTTTGAGTATCCTAGTCTGAAAATCTGAAATCTAAAATGTTTTGGACATAATAGCATTCTCAGAAAGTTTCAGGCTTTTGGATTAGGGATGTCCAACCTGCCCATGTGTTACTCTTAGGTAATAGCATGTGAATATTCATTCTCTCTTTCTGAGTATGTGTTTACCCTAAGAAAGATAAAACATAAGACTAAAAGTTTTCTGCTCCTTTCTGTTACATTTAGACACTTGATAGATAATTCTTTAAAAAGCACAAATTCACTTTTAAAGAACTTTCTATAAATCACAAGGATTGGATAAATGATATGTTTGATAGTTGTATCAAAGAAGTAAGTAATGTGGCTTTTCCTGTTTTTCCACCCTTAGGAGTCTTGTTTGTTCTTTGCCAAGCTGTAAATACTCTGCTAAGTTTGGAAGAGTCTTCTGAACTTCTTCATTTGGTTCCTGTGGAACGTGTAAAGAACTTAGTATTGTAAGTAAATGGTGTTTCTGTTTTGCTTAATAATGAATAAAATATATAAAGCCTCTGTTTATGTGAAATCTTGGACAAAATAAAAATCCTTATGATCTATTTTAGACCTGAGTTATACTCATACAGTGAAATTCAATACTGATTTAGATCCTCCAATTAAAATAAGCATTTATTTTGATCTGGTAAAGTTATTTGCTTATTCTAGAGTCATTTTATTCCCAAACTTTTTAAGGCAAATTTACTCACTCATTTTATTCAGTCTGTATTTGTTTGCTTTTCCCACATACTGGGCCCTCTTCTGGGCCAATTCATTGCCTTTGTGGAGTTAATGTTCTAGCAAGAGACACTAAACAGTAAAGAAATAAAATACATAGCTTGTTAGAAGATGTGGAGTGCTGAGAAGAAACTGAAAGCAGAGCCTGGGGATAGGAGAGTCCAGAGGGTAGAGTAGTGGTGGTTCTAAATAGGGAGGGTCTTACGCAAAAGTAACATCTTTCAGGTTTCCTTAAAGCGGCAAGGGTGTGGGCCATGGGGATGTCAGACCCAGGTGTTCATTGGGGGTGAGGTGAGTGCCTAGCTTAAGCAGCAAGGGGGCCATTGTGAAAAGGATGTCGAGGTAGAAGCACTAGTGCTAGTGTATGAGCATCAGGCTACCGCAGGGCCTTGACTTTCACTTGGAATGAAGAGGCAGGCCCTCAGAGGGTTTTTGTCAGGGAAACCACTTAAGTTTGCACAGGATCACTTAGGCTACTGTGATGAGGAGAGGCTCTAGGGGAATAAAGGAGACCAGTTATGAGACTTAGGGCAATAATGCAGAATCTCTTTACATTTCCAAATCAGGGTGAAGCTGTCATTTGTCCATGATTAAGTTGATTTAAATAAACTCTTAGAGGGGATAAGGGGGAAGGGAGCCTATTTCTTTGCTTCACCATATTTACCACATTACATATTCCTCTTTCTTGACTATTTAAACTTCTCACCCTCTAGTCCTTGTTATAAGCAGTGAAAGATGAGTGTAAAAGTTTAAAACAAGTGCACACGTATCACAACAGAGTGGGGTCAGTACGTCCCCGATTCATAGTACTTAGTATGTAGAGATTAAATTGTATGATAGATGCAGTAATAATAAACAAATTGCATTTATTGTCCTAATTGTGTGCCAATCACTGTTCTGCATACTTTGTATATATTATTTAATTTTAATTCTTGCAACTCCAGGAGGTGTAGGTACTGTTACCATTATAGATGAGGGAACCAAAGTTTCAGAATACACCCTGGTCTCAGCCACTGTCTCCTGTCTGGATCATTGCCATGGCCTCCTAATGAAGTCTACATGCTTTTGCCCTTGTTCTTATGCTCTCTGGACTATACCAGCAGCCAGTAATTCACTCCATTGCTCATAACTTCCTAGCACAGTGCTTCTCAGCTAGGGGCAGTTCTGGAGACCTGTTTTGGTTGTCGTAACTAGAGCAGAGTGGGGTGCTGTTCTGGTGTTCAGTGGGTAGAAGCCAGGGCTGTTGCACAGCATACAGTGCATGGGGTAGCCCCAGCAAAGAGTTCTAGCCCAGATGCCAGCAGTGCCAACATCACTGAGAAACACTGCTCCGTAGTGTCTCTCTTCACTTGGAATAAATTCCACAGTCCTAACTGGGTTCCTTGGGGTTCTGTATGATCCAACCCCTGGCTGTTTCTGACACCTTCGGCTACTCTTCCTTGCTAATTCAGTTCTAGCCAAACTGGTCTCCTTGATTTTCCTGTAGAAAAGCACACTTCAGGCTAGGATTTGGCTTCACTGTCCTCTCTGCCTAGAATGCTTTTCTTCCAAATACCCTTCAGGCCCACTTTTTCACTTCTTTTGGTCTCTGCATTCCATGACTGTCCCTATATCAAGTAGCACTCCTCTTCATATGCCTTCACCCTGGTGCCTTGTGCCCCTCCACCCCCTCCACACTGATACCTCTCTAGGTTCTTCCCCAATGACTTTTCTCCACCATACTCATCACTATCATGTGTATTATTTATTGGCTACTTCCCCTACTAAAATGTAAGTTCCAGGAAAATAGGAACTTTGTCGTTTCCTCAGTGTACAGAAAAGTCAGTGTCACGTAGTAGGCGCTCAGTAAAATACCTGCTGAATGAAGATGGCACACAAAGGCTAAGCAGTTTGCCTAGGGTTGTGCCTTTGGTGTGTCATGAGACTGAGCTCAGAGCTGGGCTGCCCTACCCCAGGGGTGTGCATTAGCTCAGTGCCTGGCATGCAGCAAACTGTGTTACACATCCTCTTTTTACATGGCTGTCATTTGCAGCTGTGGATTGGAGAGGCAGCATGATACCTGGTCAAGTAGCATATGAATCCCACCTCTGCCTCCAGCTAGCTGTGTGTACCTGACCACCTCACTCATTGTTGCTGAGCCTGGATTAGTCTTCTATGAAATGGTGCTAAATGTCCACAAAAAACTTCCTTCTTCTACATTTTATATTTCCTGTAGTTTGTATTGTCTGGATACACTGAGATGTGTGGTACAGTTGGGTCTTACAGCTGTCTTGTTACAGAACATTTCCATGGGAGCCATCTGTGTTGCTGTTGGCTGATCTCTATTATCACAGATTATCCCTCTGTGGCTGCAAAAGGCTGCTTTCTCAGGAAGCTTTAATGGAATTATTTCCCAAGTTACAAGCAAACATTTCGACTGGCGTATCCAAGGTAATGCTGTTTTGTGGTATGTTCTCAAACCCTCTTTTGTTTCTGTGTAACTGCTAGTGGTCATCAGAGTTCCTTTTTTAGGTAGTACTCCTGTTTAAAGCAGTGATTCCTAAACATGGAATTGCAGCAGAATTAGCTGGAGTGATATTAAAATTGCAAATTATGGGTCCCAGCCTCCAAAGATTCTGTTCAGTAGGGTTAAGGTGGAAAAACCCACATTGTTTTTTTTTAAAGCCTTGTAGATGATTCTGCTACTCATTGAGGTGTGTAGACCTGAACAATTTACTGAGAAATATGAAATCACTGATTTCAACTGACCTGTAAGCCTAATCAGCTCCTTGCCTTTTTTACAGAGATGCAGACAGTTCGTAGTTGAAAGAGATAACAGCCTTATCCTCTCAGTCTCATCTGATCATTAGCCCACATACTACTTGAATTGGTTGGTGTTAGATATGAACTAAGAAATAGAATAGGTATTTTTTACTTTATTCAATTGATATCTTTTTCTTAGTTCTGTGAAACTTAGATCTCACTGACTATAATCCAGTTTCTTCCTTGATTTAAACTTTGTAATTTGAAATATGCCTTTACTTTTTTTAGATTCGGCTTTTGACAATAAGGATCCTAAACCATTTTGACATTTGGCTTCCAGAATCGATGGAGGTATTTTAACTGTTTCAGTGAATAGAATTTTAAAATACAATTTTATATTTATTATTTTTTTATTTCTTTTTATGTGCATACAATGTTTGGGTCATTTCTCCCCCTTCCCCCGCCCCCTGTATATTTTTTAAATTTCTAAAACATATCTTTGCAGAAATTTAGCACATAAATATAAAAACTGATTTTTTGACTTCTTATTCCCTGCTTACCAACAAGGCTACCATCAAAAATCTACAGATAATTAGTGAATATTCTTTCAAATTTGGGGGACCATACATACACAATTTGAACAGATGTTGTTATGGGACTTTTCTGTATCAGCAGCTCTAGGTTCACCTCATTCCTTTTGAAGTTTGACTAATATTCCACAGTTTAAAATACCTTAGTGAGTTCCCTGTTGATGGGTAGTCAGGTAGGTTTTTTATCATTTCCTCATTTCCTGCCACATCTTGCAGTGAACCGTCTTGCATAGATAACTTCATGAAGGGAATTATTTCCACAGAGTGAATTACTAGAAGTAGAATTTGTATGGTGAAAGCAAATATTCATTTTTTTATTTCAATTGCCAATCGTGAATCCTTTTGATAATTACTTTTGCTTACTTTTCATTTCTGTGCTGAACACTAAACCTGAGTTATCTACCAAAAAATAAATAGCATGAGGAAAAATGAATTTACGTAAAAAAAATTTACTTAACTTAAAAGTATTAATATATTCAAGAAAAAAGCAATATATATTATACCCCAGTTTGGTTCATCCCCTCCATTATTCTCCCTCCTTGCCATTCCTCTTAAAATAACTTCAGCAGGTTTCAGTGTTCCATGTTCATACATGTAAAGAAAGTACATCAACCATATTCACCTTCATTCACCCTCCCCTACCACTATGGTCCTTCCCTTAACATGACCTGTTTTACATTCCTGATCCACTTTTTTCCCTTTGCAAGGCAAACACTCTACTGCTTGAGTCACACCTCCAGCCCTTTTTGCTCTGGTTATTTTTGAGATAGGGTCTCCCTCTTTGCCCATTGGCCTGGCCTGTGATCCTCCTATTTAAACTTCCCACTGTGGCTGGGATGACAGGCATGTTACACCACACTCAGCTTTTTCCATTGAGGTGGGGGGGCATCTCACAATTTTTTTTTTTTTTATCCTGACTGACCTGGAACCTTGATCCTTCCTGTCTCAGCCTCCCATTAGGTTGGGTGCAGTTTTTCCTTTCTTAGACCTTTAACCATGTTTAATGGTCTCTTTGGAAAACCACAATACTGACCTGCCTCCTGGGTTTTGTTTGGCTGTTCAGGGTGATAGGCTGACAGAGCGGCAGTCCACCTTTGCTATCCTACGCCAGGCAGAACTTGTTCCAGCAACTGTGAGTGATTACAGAGAGAAGCTTCTTCACTTGAGAAAACTGAGGCACGATGTGGTGCAGACCGCAGTCCCTCCTGGGCCCTTACAAGAGGTAAAAGTTCTTCTTAATTTTTGCTTTGAGTCTTGTTTGAAGAAGTATCCCAAGTAGTCCCCTCCCCTCATTTTTTCTTAAGGGAAATCCCCAGTTCTCGTTGATGCTTTGAGTTAAATGATCTGCCAGTCTATTGAATAGTAGAAGTAATTTAGTGTCCTCTTTTTTTGAGCATGTGAAGGTATGAAGCAGTTATGACCAGTCTTCATTTTGTCTTACTGCTTTACCTGGTTGGAGGGGGAGGTGACCAATTTAGTTTGGTTGACTTGAGGTCTCTGGTGGTTACTATCCAGTTACAGGATATAGTGCATGAGCATTTAAAAATGTAGTTCTTCACTTTTATCATTTCTCTAACTTCATCAGCCTTAGACCTTGATAACTGGTTAATTTTGCAAGTGGACCTCGCATTAAAAAATTATTTTTTAAACCTGTTTTGTTGATAAAACAGTTATAAAATGCAGACTCTGTCTTTAAGAAGAAGCTTTAAGGGTAGAGTGTAAATGACTGATCTGGGGTTAGGTGGCAGAAATGTTTCATGAGGAGGCAGAATTCACTCTGCTGGCACCTGACATTGTCACACAACAGTGTAGGTAGACTAGTCAAGATTTCCAAGATCCAGGTCTGGCTTTACCACTTACTGAACCTGGAGCTGCTCTGTGATTCAGTTTTCTTATTTGTGAAATTAATAGTCCATAACTTACTGGGTTGCTCTGGGAATTATATGATATAAATATGAAGTGCTAGAATACTGTCTGATACCTAGTAATCCCTTTATAGTGGCTATTATGATTATTAAAGTTATTTTCTTTTTGTAGTGCTAGGGCTTGATTCCAGGGCCTTGCACTTCGCAAGCACTCTACCACTGAGCTACATCCCCAGTGGTTTTTTTTTTTTTTGAGTCAGGGTCTCACTATATAGCCCATGATGGCCTTAAACTCAGCATATAGTCCAGGTTGGCCTCAAACTTGTGATCCACCTGTCTCTGCCTCCTGAGAAATGGGATTACAAATGTGTCCCACCTCACCCAGCCATAAAATTGGTCTTTCATCAAACATATATTGACCATCTGTGACTGAGTGCTGGTGATATTAAACTCAGCTCCTACCTTCAAAGAGATTATAGTGTCAGGGACAAGAAGAACTAGGAAACATATCATCACTCATGGTAATGAGGCAGGAGTAACTATGATAGCTGCAGAAGAGAGTGTTCAGTAAGGATTTCTAGAAGGGAAATGTTTGGTTCACCTTAAGATGAGGATAAATGACCCAAGCAGCATTGTATGCACATATGAATAAAAAAAAAGATGAGGATAATGTTCCATTTGAGAGGAAGAACCTGTGTAAGGGAAGCAAGGCCTGAGAGCATAGTATATTTAGGGAAACTCCAGATTGATTTGGTGGAAAGGTTCTAGGGCACCATGACAGTTCTGTTTGACTTTGCAGTGTTCTCTCCCCTATCCTATTTCAGTTAGGCTACTGTCTCTGCTCTATAGAGATGATTGCTCTGCTGATTGATTGTCAGTAAATATTTTTTTTCCCATAATGAATTCCCAAGACTATGTACTCTTTACCACATATTCTGTTGATCATCTCAGCAGAGTGCCTTTCCCCACAGAGTACATTTTCATTAGAAAATTGTTCATACACTGGGTCATTGAGGAAATAAAAGAGGAAATTAAAAACATCCTGGAAGTCAATGAAAATGAATGCACAACCTACCGGAATCTATGGGACACAGCAAAGGCAGTCCAGAGAGGAATGTTTATAGCCATGAGTGCATATATTAAAAAGACTGAAAGATCTCAACAGTAACCTAATGCTACATCTCAAACTCCTAGAAAAACAAGAACAAGCAAATCCCAAAACAAATAGAAGGAGAGAAATAATAAAAATAAGAGCTGAAATCAGTGAAATAGAAACCAAAAAAACCATACAAAGAATTAATGAAACAAAAAGCTGGTTATTTGAAAAAATAAATAAGGTCAATAGACCCCTGGCAAACCTGACTAAAATGAGGAGAGAAAAAACCTAAATTAGTAGAATCAGGAATGCAAAAGGGGAGATAACAACAAACACCATGGAAGTCCAGAATATCATCAGACTACTTTGAGAACCTATATTCAAATAAATTAAAAAATCTTAAAGAAATGGACAGATTTCTAGATACTTTTGATCATCCAAAACTGAACCAAGAGGACATTAATCACCTGAATAGATCTATAACACAAAATGAAATTGAAGCAGCAATCAAGAGTCTCCCTAAAAAGAAAAGTCCAGGACCAGATGGATTCTCTGCTGAATTCTATCAGACCTTTAAAGAAGAACTGATACCAACCCTCCTTAAACTGTTCCATGAAATAGAAAGGGAAGGAAAACTGCCAAACACATTTTATGAAGCCAGTATTACACTTATCCCAAAACCAGGCAAAGACACCTCCAAAAAGGAGAACTATAGGCCAATCTCCTTAATGAACATTGATGCAAAAATCCTCCATAAAATAATGACAAACAAAATTCAACAACACATCAAAAAGATCATTCACCACCACCAAGTAGGCTTCATCCCAGGGATGCAGGGGTGGTTCAACATACGAAAATCAATAAATGTAATAAACCACATTAACAAAAGCAAAGACAAAAACCACTTGATCATCTCAATAGATGCAGAAAAAGCCTTTGATAAGATCCAACACCATTTCATGATAAAAGCTCTAAGAAAACTAGGAATAGAAGGAAAGTACCTCAACATTATAAAAGCTGTATATGACAAACCTACAGCCAGCATTATACTTAACGGAGAAAAACTAAAACCATTCCCTCTAAAATCAGGAACTAGACAAGGATGCCCATTATCTCCACTCCTATTCAACATAGTACTGGAATTCCTAGCCAGAGCAATTAGGCAAGAAGAAGGAATAAAAGGGATACAAATAGGTAAAGAAACTGTTAAAATATCCCTATTTGCAGACAATATGATCCTATACCTTAAAGACCCAAAAAACTACTCAAAAACTGCTAGACACCATCAATAGCTATAGCAAGGTAGCAGGATATAAAATCAACATAGAAAAATCATTAGCATTTCTATACACTAATAATGAACAAACTGAGAAAGAATGTATGAAAACAATTCCATTTACAATAGTCTCAAAAAAAATCAAATACCTATCTGTAAACTTAACAAGGTAGGTGAGCCACCTCTACAAGGAAAACGATAAAATACTGAAGAAAGAGATTGAGGAAGACTATAGAAAGTGGAGAGATCTCCTATGCTCATGGATTGATAGAATCAACATAGTAAAAATGTCGATACTCCCAAAAGAAATTTACATGTTTAATGCAATTCCCATCAAAATCCCAATGACATTCATTAAAGAGATTGAAAAATCTACCGCTCAATTTATATGGAAACACAAGAGGCCACGAATAGCCAAGGCAATGGTAAAAAAAGAACAACACGGGAGGACAAAGCACTAACTATAAAACCAGCATGGTACTGGCACAAAAACAGACATGAAAACCAGTTGAACAGAATAGAGGACCCGGATATGAAGCCACACAACTATAACCAACTTGTCTTTGACAAAGGCGCTAAAAATATACGATAGAGAAAAGACAGCCTCTTCAACAAAAACTGCTGGGAAAACTGGTTAGCAGTCTGCAAAAACTGAAACTAGATCCATGTTTATCACCCTATACCAATATTAACTCAAAATGGATCAAGGATCTTAATATCAGACCCCAAACTCTAAAGTTGGTACAGGAAAGAGTAGGAAAAACCTTGGAATTTAACAGGAATAGGCAAGAACTTTCTCAATGGAACCCCAGCAGCAAAGCAACTAAGAGATAGCATAGATAAATGGGACTTCATAAAACTAAAAAGCTTCTGCTCAACAAAAGAAATGGTCTCTAAACTGAAGAGACCACCCACAGAGTGGGAGAAAATATTTGCCAGCTACACATCAGACTAAGGACTGATAACCAGAATATATAGGGAACTTAAAAAACTAAATTCTCCCAAAATTAATGAACCAATAAAGAAATGGGCAAGTGAACTAAACAGAACTTTCTCAAAAGAAGAAATTCAAATGGCCAAAAAAACACATGAAAAAATTCTCACCATCCCTAGCAATAAAAGAAATGCAAATTAAAACCACACTAAGATTCCACCTCACCCCTGTTAGAATAGCCATCATTAGCAATACCACTAACAATACTTATATTGTACGTTCATTACATTGCCCCCATTGAGTTTTCCCCTCAGCCTCCTCCCGCCCCACCATGAAGCAATTGCAAGAGGTTTCTTAGTTCTGTTTCATATAGGTATGTGAAGTCTGGCTACCATATAGCATCACCTTAGTCTCCTTCCTTCACCCTTCCCCAACTCCAAGTACTCCCCCACACACAGTAAACCTATTTTAAACTCCTGTTTTTCGTTACTAATATTTAAGTTGATGATCAAAGGGGTGTCTCAATGTATGCTCACTCAGGGTGTACTTTACTTTGGTCCATTCAACCCCTTCCATTACTCTCCCTTACCCTTTTCCTCCCATCTCCCATTTTTTACCAGCTTTCAGTTCACATCCTTATATCCTCTACCTTCACATCTATGTTAGGCGATATTATTGATGCTCTGTCATTCTCTTTTCCTTTTCCTCTTTCCCCGAGTTCCATAGTTTCCCCAAGTTCCATAGATTAGTTCCACTATTACAAACATGTGCTACATCTGAGTTTGTATATGGCCATGCTTGTTTTTGTGTATATGTTTATCTTGGATCTGTCTTCCGTGTATGAGAGAAAACATGTAGTTTTTGTATTTCTGATCCTGGCTTACTTCATTAAATGTGATATCCTCCAGTTATGTCCACTTAACTTCAATCCACATGTCCTTATTCCTTATGGGTTAGTAATACTCCATTGTGTGTGTATATATATATATGTATATATACCACAATTTCTTGATCCATTCATTGGCTGTAGGGTTGTTTCCAAAGCTTGGCTTTTGTGAATAGCGCTGTGATGAACATCAGTGTACAGGTGTCTCTGTTATATCCTGTCTTATGTTCCTTTGGGTAGATGCCCAGGAGTGGTATCACTGGATCATATGGCAGTTCTACCTCTAGTTTTTTGAGGAATCTCCATACTGCTTTCGGTAGTGGTTGTACTAATTTGCATTCCCACCAGCAGTGTATAAGGGTTCCTGCTTTGCCCCATCCTCACCAGCATTTGTTATTATTGCCCTTGATTATGGCCATTCTAACTGAGGTGAGATGAGCTCTAAGTGTTGTCTTGATTTGCATCTCTTTTATAACCAGGGAAGTTGAACACTTCTTCATGTATTTACTGGCCATTTGTACCTCTTCCTTTGAGAATTCCGTTTAATTCGTGTGCCCATTTCTTCAATGGGGTGTTGGTTCTTTGGGGGCTGAGTTTTTTGAGGTCCCTATAGGTTCTGGTAGAGTCCTTTATCAGATGAGTAGCTGGCAAAGATTTTCTCCCATTCTGTTCTGCTGTCTCTTGAGTCTGGTGACTGTTTCCTTTGCTGTGCAGAAGCTCTTTAGTTTGATGCAGTCCTTGTTTGTTCATTGCTTCTCTTAGATGTTGAGCCTTTTGAGTTCTTTTTAGGAAGTCGTTCCCTGTACCTATCTGTTCCAGTGTATTTCCTACTGCTTCCTGGAGTTGTTTCAAAGTTTCAGGCCTCATAGTAGGGTCTTTGATCCACTTTGAGTTGATTTTTGGTACAGGTGAAAGACAAGGATCTAGTGTCAGTCTTCTACATGTGGCTATCTGGTTTTCCCAGCAACATTTGTTGAGGAGGTTGTCTTTTTTCCCTCGTGAGTTTTGGGCTCCATTTTCAGGGATCAGTTGGCTATAGATGTGTGAGTTTATGCTGGATCTTCTATTTGGACCCATTGGTCTTCCTGTCTTTGTGCCACTACCATGTTGTAGTATAGTTTGGAGTCGGGTCTTGTGATGCCTTCAGCATTGGACTTTTTGCTCAGAATTGCTTTGGCAATTTGAGGTCTTTTGTGTTTCCATATGTATTTCAAGTTTGCTTTTTCTATTTCTGTGCAGAATGTCATTGGGATTCTGATAGGGATTGCACTGAACATGTAGGTTGCTTTTGGTAGTATGACCATTTTCACAATGTTAAATCTACTGATCCACGAGCATGGAAGGTCTTTCCATCTTCTGATGTCTTCTTCAATTTCTCTTTTTAGTGATTTATAGTTTTCATTAAGAAGGTCTTTGGTTTCTTTCATTAAATTTATTCCAAGGCACTTTATTGTTTTTGATGCTATTCTAAGTGGGTTTGTTTCCCTGATTTCTTTCTCAGTCTGTGCATTGTTGGTATATAGAAAAGCTACTGATTTCTGTATGTTAATTTTGTATCCTGCTACATAGCTGAAAGAGCTTATGATTTCTAATAGTTTTGGGGTTGAGTTTTTGGGGTCTCTTATGTATAGGATCATGTTATCTAAATAGGGATAGTTTGACTTCTTCTTTCCCTATTTGAATCCCTTTTATTTCTTGCTGTTTCTTACTGCTCTGGGTCAGAATTCCAAAGGGTGTGGAGAAAGCAGGTTGACTTTAACAGGAATTGTTTCAGCTGTTCTCCATTTAGTATGATGTCGGCTCTAGGTTTGTTGTATATACCCAGAAGAATAGCAAAGCATGGAGCCTGGGGTTCACTTGCGTGTGTGGTGGCGGGTTCCTGGCACTGAGTAGTAAGTTGAGGGTTCCTGTGGGGCAGCAAAGCCAGTGGGTTGAATCGTCTGGTGCCTGCAGACAGCAGACACCCTGGGTTCTGCTTGCTGACTGTGGGATTCCAGAAGCCCAGTACAACAGCGCTGCAGGCACAAGGAACCAAGCCTGCTGGCTTGTGTGAGCAGCAGGAACCCTGAGTCCTGCTTGTGTAGGGTTTCCCTGGCATTTCAGGGTGAAGGTTAGCAGGTTGTATAGCTGGGCGGAGCGTGGAGCTCTGAGTTCCTGTGTGTGCCAGGAAACAGGATTTACCGCCAAGCATAGAGTAGTGGAGCCATGCTGGGACTTCAGAGGTGGGGGATTGGGAGTGTTGAGCTGCGAGTCTTCTTCCCATTCTTCCTGTAGTTAGTTGCTTCTCTATTTGTGGATTCAGAGATGCTTTTGCTTCTCTCTGGTTACAGGACCCCATGAGTGTCTTGGGATTCCCTGATCTTCCTTCTTCAGGGTACTTAGTCGCTGCTGGGGTTTAGGGATATCAGCAAACCACCATCTTGCTCAATCTCTGATGGGTTTTTTCTAGATAGGGTCTCTTGAACTATTTACCTGGGCTGGCTTTGAACCTCAGTCCTCCTGATCTCTGCCTCCAGAGTTGCTCAATTACAGACATGAGCCACCAACACCTGGCCAGTGGCCACCAATTTTTAAAAATTGATGGTTTTTGGGTTTTAGGGGGTTCACAGAATGCCCATGAAACAGGTAACAATAAAAACAAGTACCTTTTAATTTTACCTGTAAAATATGCAAGAATAAAACAGCTCTTAATGTTGTTCTTGTTTGCTGTCCTTGCCATAGAAAAAGAACCAGTGTTCTTTTACTTGCTAGACGTCTATTGTTTGAGAAACACATATTTTACAAACCTTGCATTATTTCTCACTGGGTTTGGGAGTTGGGGGAAGGGTAGGGAGGGAAGCAGAATGTAGTCATTTTATAAAGAAGGAAACTGAGGCACAAAGAACTTTAGTAGTTTGCCCAAGATCATACAGCACCTAGCTGGTTGAACTGGGATTCAAACCCAAGTGTTGTGGATCCAAGTCCATTCTATTAACTGCTATGATCCACTGCCTCAGCCAGTGACAAGCCAAATAGTTTCCACTAAAAAATTTAAAGCCAGGAATTAATTTTAATTTAAGTAGTATATACACAGAACATACATAATAGCCTAGGAAATAATGACTTGCATTTGAATTGTACTTTATAATTTGCACTGTGCCTTTACATCCATAATCTCATTTAATCTCACAACAAGGTGTGTAATGTTAATCCCTTTTTATAAGTGAGTGAGCGGCTCAATGAAGCAAACTAGGTAGGTAGGTAGGTAGGTAGATGGCAGCCACAGGAAAACTCAATGTCGGGTTTAAAGCCTAATATTCATTTCCACATTTGTTCACTGCTATAGGACATCAGCCACAGGAAAACTCAATGTCGGGTTTAAAGCCTAATATTCATTTCCACATTTGTTCACTGCTATAGGACATCTGCCCACTGTGTTTCCTACCAGGGGTTTCAGTCCATGACTCTTGAAGGCGATGGGGGAAGCCTTCCCCTTTCAAGCAGAGCAGTTCTGCTCTTACCTGTTTTAAATGTTAGCATACTCTGTTATGTTTCATTTGGAAAAGGAAATACTAATTGAGTATGTATTAACAACCTATCCCCAAGTAATAATAAAACTTCCATTCTACATGCATCCAGTACAGGGTGATGTTGGTAATAATGAGTGTCATTCTAAAAGGTGAGTGAGTAAATTTCAGAACTCAGACATGTTCCTGTGAAGGAAGCCTCAGCTGCCATTCCCAGCTACTCTGTGCTTTACTGGCTGCTCTTTAAGTTTGGTCTTACCAGGTGATGGCAGTGTTCGTTAGGACGCAGTGTAGAGTCACTCTTGTCCTTTATGTGTGAGCCTTAGGAATGAATATGAAATGCATGATGTTTTAATGATTGTTCAGTGTTGAATTGTGGGATGGAGAAAAATTGTTATAAACCAAATTTTGGGTTGGTATCTGTGACTTCTTTTCTTAAATCACGAGCTTCCAACACCGAGGCTGTCTAGGTTGGGCTACACACATTTGAACACTTGTGTTCTTACCACCCACTCACTAAGCAATTCTCTTATGATTGCAGGTGCCACTTCGTTATTTGTTAGGCATGTTATATGTCAATTTCAGTGCTCTCTGGGACCCTGTTATTGAACTCATAAGGTAAGCATGTGAAGCAATTCCACTTTAATTGGCACTCAATGATGGGGCCAGGCTATACCCCTAGGTGTGATTTAAGTGAATGGGTTTGCAATGTAGCCCCAGTACAATATATAATTTAAAATGTAAAATAAACAAATGAAAATAAATGCATGGGTATGTACAGTATTTGCAACTATCATAAGTCTTTTGTGTAGTAAGGTAAAATAAATCTTTTTTTTCTGTGATACCTAGTTTTTCAACAGTTCAAATGTTATGTATATATTTTCCTATGGAGGACTTTCTCTTTTTACTTTATATGATACTTTTGAATTATTGAGATTGTTTATAGTAAAAAGCTATAATACTTGCATAATTTTATTTATATATTAACTCATTGAACCATACTTTAAAAATTAAATTAATTTAGAAGCTTTTCAAAACTCCTACTGTCTAGCATACAAACCCCTTTCATTCTAACAAAGGAGTTTAAATCTTTTTATTTATTTTTTGCTGTTGGTAATGCAGTTTGAACTTAGGGCTTCATTCTATCACTTGAGCTGCACCTCCAGCCCCTAAATAAGGACTTGAATACACACGGGCAAAACATATGTTATGGCTCATATGTAAAAATCTTTCCTTTTACAGACATCTGTCTTCAGGTTGTCCACACTGCTTTTTATCCATCAGAAATATGTCATGTTTGGCCTTTTAAGATCCTGACAGAAGCAATTTGTCTGCCTTTCACTGCTGGTCAAGGCCATCAAACCAGTGTGCTAAGACAAGTGCTGTCGAACATTAACTTCACTTTTTCTTAATTGTGCCTTCAGCAGACAGGGAGAATCTGACATGCATGGTTTATGGCCCTTTGTGAAAAAAGTGCTAGTGCTTTTCTTGTTTTGTTTTGAGATAAGGTCTTATTATGTAGCCTGTGCTGGCCTCAAACTCATGATCCTTTTTCAGATGCCTGAGTGCTAAAAATACCTTTTCTTCAGTTACTAACTGCCTTTTTAAAGGTTGTCCATAGTGGATGGGCTATCTTCCTGTTGGGCCCATCTTTCTGTCTGGAAATCATTTGTTTTCCACGTGTGATACACAACATATCATCCATGTCTAGTATAAGGTTTATGCATATTCATAGAAAGTTAATGACAAAGGATTTGAAAAATTTGAGAATATTTTTCTTGAAATATCAAACTATTTAAACACTTTATGTAATTTATCCAATGTCTTTTCATTAAGTTCTGAAAGGTATTTTTCAAGTAGTTAATGAGTGTTTAGTCTGCCTTTGTGTTAGTAAGTATATTTGAATTTGATGGAAGGAAACCTACATTTTTAAGTACAGATGAACAAAATGACTTCTCTTCAAGCAGAGACCTTCTTTCCGTAAGGGCCACACTTCATCCACCATACTCCATTTCTGTTATTTGGTCTCCAAAAATAATCTCCTTAGAACAATCTACTTACATTGTTTTAGATACTCTTTTGTTATGAAGATATCATAATGAGACCCATTGTTTTGTACAGTGTATATACACAGATAACAATCTAGTTTTTTATGATTATAAAAATAATTTGTGCAGGCATTTTGAAAAATACAGAAAAATGTAAAAGTTCTTTAAATCCCACATTGAGGGCTAATGTTAATATTTTAGTTATATCCTTTCTGGTTTTTTATGAGATATCTCAAAGTAAAGATCATATCATACCACATATTTTGTGATTTTTTTTCTCTTAGTTCTCATGCCCATGAAATGGAAAATAAGCAATTTTGGAAAGTCTACTATGAACATCTAGAAAAAGCAGCTACACATGCTGGTATGCAAGGGGGTGTGGGGACCTGGGAAGACAGGTGATTGTTTAATTTTTTTACTGTATAATTTTGCATGAAATTGGGAAACAAGAAATGTATTATTTTTGATAACCTTTATATGTTTTCATATGTTATAAAAGAAAACAGTGTCCTCTCAAGGACAAACATTAACATTCTCTAGTGATTGTGATGACATTTTTCTCTTGCAGAGAAAGAACTGCAAAATGATACACGAGATGAGGAGAAGTCCACAGGGGATGCAAGTTGGGAGCAGGTCCAGAAAGCAGGTGTTGGAGCTCTCTATCAGGAGCAGTTAGCATTGAAAACTGACTGTCGGGAAAGATGGACCATACCAACTTTCGATTTTTGCTCTGGCGAGCTCTGGCAAAATTCCCAGAGAGTGTTGAGCCACGATCCAGGGAGCTTTCTCCACTTTTCTTGAGATTTATCAAGTAAGTGTCCTCTTCTAGGAATACATCACTGGTAGGGTGTGAGGCAAAGGAGGTGAGAGACATTAATATTCCAAATTGACTGAGTTCTTTATATGTTTTCAAATCACTGTCATGTCTGTAAAGTACTGCTCTGTTAGATAACAGCTAAACTAGTTTTGTTCACCACTTAATTTTTCTATGAATAAAAATACAAACGGTACCAATAAAAAAAAATTCCAGGTTAATAAATAAGGGTCATACTGAGTTTGATCAATATACAAAGCCCTTGTTGTTTCTTGCCCTGTTCATTATTTTATTGCCCACCTGGGACTGGAAGAAATTTTCCAGTGACCCAAGTGCAACTATCTAAGTCTTTTTATTTTTTCCACAATACTGGGGAAAGTGCTCAAAGAACAACAGCCTTCTGGAGCATTGTTTTGTTTTGACTGGATATGCTACACGAGTGTCTGCTTTAAAACTCTAAAGACGAGGGATGTATGATGCAGAATAGAGTTAAACAATCAATAAACAGTATGTTTTCTAGTAATACTGCGTTATATGGGAAAATGCTGTAGGTTTAGGTTAAGCAGGCTGTAAACCACAGCATGCCTGGCTTATTCAAAGAACAGTGAAGAGGTCTGGGTGACTAAAACAGTGTGTTCCAGGGAGAAAGTGGTTGTAGCTAAGGGCAGAAGATTAACAGGAAACCAATTTGTGGCATTTACGTGATATTAAGAACTTTTGACTTTTACTGTTGGTGAAATGGGAGGACACAGGGAGGTTTAAGCAGAAAGATGATCTGTCCTAAGTTTTAAGGATTTTTCTGGCTGCTGTGTTGAGAATAGACTTTAGAATGGCAGCAAGAAGAGATTGCAGGTGTAGGCAAGAATTGCTACTGAGTTGACAAAGGTTACAGTATTAAAGAAGGATATTCTTTGAAGGATTTCAATTTGGTAAGATACATTTTTGAAGGATTGCAGTCAGATCAATCTATGGGATTTGCTAACAGATTGTGTGTAGTATGGGGGTGTGTGGTGATTGTAGGGAATAGGAAAGAGGGAGGAGGAATTGAGTATGTCTCTTAAAGTTTTAGCTTGAACAACTGAAAAAAAAGAGTTACCATTTATTGAGATTGGGAGAATGCAAGAGGTGCAGGATTGTGGAGGAGAATCATCAAGAGTTCATTTGAAAGATATCTTATGCTTGGAACACTAAATAGATGCCCAGGCAGATGTCAAGTAGGCATTGGATTTAGATCTGGAGATAATCAACTGGACATTCTCAGTACATGGACCATATTTAAAATCATTTGACAGAGTGTGAAATCATCTAGGGTATGAATGTAGGGTGAGAAGACTTCCAAGGGTTTAATATCCAGAATGTACAAGGAACTGAAAAAACTCAATAGAAAATAGAAGCAACCTGACTTGCAAATGAGAAATAGACCTAAATAGACATTTCTCAAAAGACATACAAATGGCCAACAAGTATATGAAAAAGTACTTAACATCACTAATCATTAGGGAAATGCAAGTTTAATCCACAATGAAGTCATTTCAGTCAAGAACACAGAAGTGAGTCAAGTGAAGCAGCATGTGCCAGTAATCCCAGCACTTGGGAGGATGAGGCAGGAGGATCTCTTGGGCTCAGGATTATAAGACCAGCGTGAACAAAGCAGTGAGAACTCATCTCAAAACAAACAAAAAAGGCAGATTTTCCTGCCACTCAGCTTCAGGTCTTACTTTTAGTCTTTAATCTATTTTCAGTTGGTTTTTATAATTGATGAAAGTTTGAGGTCTAGTTTTATTCTTCTCCATATAGATATCCAATTTTCCCAGCACCCTTTATTGAAAAAACTATCCTTTCTCCAGTGCATATTCTTAGCATCTTTGTTGAAAATCAGTTGGCCCTAGATGAGTTTACTTGCAGGGTCTTTCCTGATTCATTGGTCTAAGTGTCTGTTTTTATACCAGCACCATGCTGTTTTGATCAATACAGCTTTGTCACATGCTTTGAAGTCAGGTAGTGTAATGCTTCTGGCTTTCTGACTTTTGCTCAACATTGCTTTGGCTCTCTGAGATTGTGACACTATACTTATGAAAGGATATTGGGAATGTAGAATGCATCTGGAGGAATGTGATAGCATGGTCCTAATACTACAGTCTTTTGACATAATCTGCCTCTATCCAGTTTTAGTTCCAGTAACAGGCTGATTTCAGTTCGGTTCAAATTTGACATTTCACATCTTCAACAATGTACCCCTGGAACAGCCTGTCTTCGATAGTTGATGGTTGACTCATCAATGATGGAGAATAAAAAAGAATAGAGGTGTTGAAGTTTGACTAATGTACCTCTGATGTCTCTTCTGTGTATGATTCTGTGTACCATGGACATCGCTCTCATCAACAGAATTAGGACTTTCTGATTAGCTTTTATTCTTTGTCTGTCATTATCACTCTCTTCCTGCTGTAGCAATGAGTACTACCCAGCAGATCTACAAGTAGCTCCAACACAGGATCTGCGGAGAAAAAGCAGAGGGATGGTGGCAGAGGAAATAGAAGAGGAACCTGCTGCTGAGTTTGATGAAGAATTGGAGGAAGAGACTGTGCCTCCAGATGACCGTCCACAGAAGAAAAAGACAAGGAGAGCTGCAGCAAAGTGAGTTCACTATCACCAAATGGTCACAGATCCATGGTTTAAGAGGAGCAGGATGCAATATCTTTTAGCCTAAGTGAGAAATAGACTTATACAAGATGAACTACTCAGATCATTATTTACATAAGTGCCACTTTTTCCTGGGATTTTCTTTTACAGCCTCCAAAAAACTTCAGTCTTCTAAGTTTACTGTTCTGAGAAACAGTCTCGTCCTGGGATATGAGAACTGACCTGAAGGTGCTGTGACACCAAGAGAGAGGCAGACAGATCCAGGATTTACAAGTCAATTTCCTGGGACTCCACTGGACTTGCTGTCCAGGGCTACGTTTCTTCAGTCAGTGAGTCCTCAGTAAATTACACTCTGCAATCCTGGGTCTGTCTGTGGCCTTCAGCTCTCTTGGGGCTGGTTGTCATACACTGGGCCTGGGTTGTTTTGAAACAGTTACTTATTATTAGTCTTTTCTTGTTTAGCCACAGAGTGTTAGAACCAGGGGAACTTTTGAGGTTATTCCTTTGATCACAGCTCCTTTTAAAGATGAGAGCATTGGAGCTTAGACTGTTGAAATAGTCTTTGACCTTTGCTATTCACACTCTTAGCAGTTGGGCATTACATTTTGTTTACCAAGGGAACACATAATGGATTATCTTTTCTCATAAATAAGCATGTCAACACTTTACCTTTGGCTTATCTCCTACTAGTTACTGTTGTACCTCTTACTCTCTTGTTGCTCATTTATTTAAATTATTATAAACCTTAAAAAAAAGTGTCTATGCTTTCAGAAGTTATTTCAGCTTACTTAAAGATTATGTGAGTTGAGTTGAGGTGTCTAAGATCCAATGGTTTAGTCCTACTGTGTTATTTTAGAAATATAGATTCAGTACTTCATTCAGAAGTATGAGTTCATTTAATCAGCAACTGTATCTAGTACCCTTGGCTAAGTGCTGGGCTCCAAAGATGAATGGTCACAGCCTCTGTAGATGTCACAAATGCCTGCTGATGAGAAGTACTTTTAAAGGAGTTACAGGAGTACAGTAAAGAATTACTTCTACCACAAAGACCCAGGGAGGACTTTTGTGCTAAAAGATGAAAATTGGCTGGCCTTGGACCAGGAAGGACTTAACAATTAATGCAAATAGTGTGTAAAGCACAGAGCCAGGAAAGGTCATGGCCAGGCCACATGTAGCTATAGTTCTGTGCTCTAACTCTCAGAGCTCGGAACATGCTGTTCTGTACTACTTTAAGACAAAGATTGCTGTGTTCTCCCCATTTCTATCAGCATGATACCTAGAAAAACATTAGTCTTAAGTATGTGTCCGTTGAATAAATGAATAAGCCATTTATACCTCTGCTTTTCTCACCCCTCAGTCTTTGCACATGCTTGTACCTTTTCACAGTACCCTGGCCTCGTTTCTGCCAGTTGAAATTCCATTCATACTTTAAGACACACTTCTGGCAGTACTTCTTCCCTGGAGCTTTCCCTGTCTTTTAAAGTGAGAGTTATCTTACTTGACTTCAAACCTCTACCATAGAACAACTCCTTGCCTTGGATACTAGTTTTTTTATATACTTCTCCCATGAACTGTCTTTCATGAAACAGCCCTTTGGCAAGTATTTACTGAGAACATGTAAATAACTCCTGTTCTTTTTGATTTTCAAGGCTATGCATGACGTTAAAAATACTTAATGACTATTAGAGACAAGAAAATTTTTTGAGTTTATTTGTAAAGTTGCAGGATACTTATGTAGAGTATATAAGGGTATCATGAGTTCCAGATTATTTTCTCTATGTTAATTAGTAGGACTTTGACATTTTTTTCCTTATTTTGCCCAGAAATTGAGGTACCACAATTTGTACTCCTCCATTTAATCACCACAGAAAACCTATCGTGTTTATCAAAATGAGGAAAGTGGGACTCTGGAACATTGATTACATTCAGCTGTCCCTAGAGGCACACATGAGGCTCACTTTCCACCACTTTACTCCTCCCTGTTACATTCTTCAAATAGGCAAATAACACTCTTGAAATTATAGGCTTATTTATCCAACTTTTTGCCTAAAGGTTCTATTACATTTTATAGATTGTATACAGAGAGAGAAGAGTTTTCTCAAAGAATTTTAACGTTTTGTAGAGTCTGTGGATTAGGAAGATGCTCTCTGCCCAGACTGTTTTAGTAGATAATATCTTTTGTTCTGGGCATTCCCATCTTCACACTTAACTCCCCATTGATGGGATGTGGCTGTTTCTTTCTCCTTCATGGTAAGCAGAGGCCCTTGTTAACAAAATTGGACTTCTCTTGCCTCATCAGTATTTATGTTATATGAAAGCAAGGAAGAATATATATCTGCCAAGGATTGTTGTCACTGCTTAGATCCTAGACAAGGAATAATCCCAGAACTCATCTGTGTGCAACTTTGGAATGTATTATTGTTTTGATTACTTTCTTTCTAATTTTGGTTTCATTTAAACCATTTTAAACGCATCCCAAAAAAATTTCTGGGGTGGGGAGCCTGAATTTCAGGGAGAAGTCTGTCTGAGGTTTGGAATTTCCAGAGAATAATTTCCTAAATGCAAATAAATAAAATTCATTTAATTAGCAGTGAAACCACAGGCAGGGGTGTTTGCTGTATTTGTCAGAGACAGTAAAACTGTGCTAATGACATTTCAAGAAAATAATCTCTATTTTTTCATTCTATAATACTCTATTTTGTTTTGTTTAGGCAGTTAATTGCTCATTTGCAAGTTTTCTCTAAATTTTCAAACCCCCGGGCCTTATATCTGGAATCCAAATTATATGAGTTGTATCTTCAGGTAAGTAAAATAAATTCTCAGCATTATAATTCTTATGAACTTTTCTCTATCATTTTCTTTTTTTGCTTTCTTTTTTGATGGTTCTGAGGTTTGAACTTGGCCTTGAGCTTGCTAGACAAGTGCTTTACCACCTATCCCTCTATCATAGTCTTTATCAAAGTAACCTTTAGATTTTTAGTAATTGTGGAATGGGGCCAATGTCTGCATTTTAAATATTAACTTTTTTTAAACTAATAGACACATTTTCTATTACCTTGAGAAACCATTGTATATTATATGAATTTAGATGATTTTAAAAGCATTTTGAGTGACTAAATATTGACCAGCTGTACCCAAAGTGAGAGTAGTAAAACATGAATTATAGTATAGGAGTTGGCTTTTAGAAGAAAATGGAAGTTGTATCCAGGGCAACTGGCTGCCTTTCTATTCTAAGTTAGTTTAGCCTTTGTTGAGGACTATTGTTTCAGGATCTGTTAGATGAAGTGAAAACAGAGAGTAGGAGTAATTGTCTATTGCAGTCACATTGTAGGCCTCTGAATTCCAGAAAAATTTAATGTCAGAAGCAGAGGAAGTACTGGGTATCATTTAAGCCATCCGGGGAAACGAAATTTTCTTTTTCATGTTGGTATCTTTCAGATGAAACTTGATCAGTTCAGCAGAATTTATCCATGTCCATTCTGACGGCTTTGTTTATAAAGTCAGAACTTAAAAGTCTGTTGCCACAAGAAATAAAGTTTGGATTAGAGAGACCTCAGAGCCAAGTCCTCTTTCCTGGTGTCTTATTCACTATTATTACCTTTACATATGATCAGCACAACTGGTTTGGATCCAGATTCTCAGAAAATTGAAGTCAGAGTTTTATTTCCTCTGTTTTTTGTTTGTTTGTTTGTTTGTTTTGAGACAGGTTCTCACTGTGTATCCCAGGCTGGCCTGGAAACTCACTGTCCTTCTTCTCAGCATCCCTAGTGCTGGGGTTACAGACATGGGCCAACACACCCAACTCATTTCCATTTTTTTTTAACATACTCTGTTCATCTTCCTTTGACTCTAGGAAAATGTAGGACTGTTGTAAGGAGTAAGCTGTAATCCTTGTCTAAAAATAATACATTTCAGGAAATTTAATTCAGCAAATTTCTATGCCTGTGATGGTGTATATGTCACTTTATTAATTTATTCTATAAACTATCGTTCCTAGTTGTTGCTACACCAAGATCAAATGGTACAAAAAATAACATTGGATTGCATAATGACATACAAACATCCTCATATCCTTCCTTACAGGTAAGTTACTTAAAGCTAAAGAAATATTACTTCTTTTTTACACTGAAGACCCTTCTACAATGATTTTTTAAAGGCCTGAAAAATTTCCCTCTTTTCTAAGGTAATCATAATGCTATTTCCAGGCAGGAAATTAAAACTGGAAGTGTATCTGTTAAGAGTCTTTGTTCTCTATAGATAATAAAGTGAGTAAAATAAAAATGTGTTGTGAAAGTTATATAACTTCTCTATCCTTCTTAATATAATGCCCTAATATCCTGGTGATTACTTAAGGAATCATAACTACTCTTAAGCCCTCAAGAAAGCTTATGTGTCATGCTCTTTTTAAACAACTGAATTATGGACTAAATTTCATCCCTTCTAATTTATTTTACTTTCTGAAATTTGAAGATATTTTTGTGAGGATTTTTCTTTAGAAATAGTTCTACAATATGAACTATTTAATACCTTACTTTAGTTGTACTAATTATTCTTTGTAGATACTACTTTACTGTGGACTGAGTGATGACTTGTGCCATATTCTGTTTTTAAAGGGAAAGCTTACAAAGGTTACTTGAGGACAGAAGCTTTAAAGAAGAAATAGTGCATTTTAGCATTTCAGAAGATAATACTGTAGTGAAACCAGCCCACCGAGCAGATTTGTTTCCTATTCTGATGAGGTATTTATACTGTTTAAAGACTGAGTTTTAAACAAAGTCACAAACACGATTGTGGATATAGCATTATAATTCTTTTTGGTAGTTGTAATATTTCATTTTGTATTTTCTTTTGATTATTCTTTGTTTTTAATTGAATCTTTTGGAAAAAGCCAAATTGTTTATCTTACATACTATTACTGTTGTTCATTGAATCATTGGTCTGTGTTAATAGATTTTTATTCATTACTCTGTTGCATTTCCTGAAGTAATCCTTTTTTGGTTTTAATGCAATTCTAGATACTGTATTTAGAAATAAATAAGATTAGTAGTTAGTTTTATTTTCGTTAACACCCATCTCAGTATTAGTTTTATCATCTTCATTAAAGAAAAAGGCTATTTCCTCCTTTCTTTCTGCTGTGAAAACATAGCATGGCAATTACTTTTTCTCCCTGAAAGTTTAAAAAATTTACCTGTTAAACTGCATGAGCTCCATGTTTTCTAAGTAATTATTGGTCTATTTGTGTTTTTTCCAACTATTTCATTGAATTCTTTCAAGCTCCTTGTCTTACAGTTTTATTCACTTCCTTTTACTTCTCTGTATTCTTGTTTTCAGTTTGATTAGACTTCCCATTGACTTGCCAGTTTTATTGCTTTTGTTTACTATTTTCATCATCCTGCTTCCTGATAGCCTTGTTTCGTTTTTGTTTTTCTAAATATGTGTATTATATATTTAATTATCCTTGCTTTAGAATATATCCATTTTAGTGTTCAGTTGCTCTTACCATCTTTTAGTTAAACAAAACTACCATTAGGTTTTGGAATTAAATACTGTGCAAACAATGTTCTTTTGATTTCTAGAATTTTGTATGGGAGAATGAAGAATAAGACTGGGAGTAAAACTCAGGGGAAATCTGCTTCTGGCACACGCATGGCCATTGTTCTGCGTTTCCTGGCTGGGACCCAACCCGAGGAGATCCAGATATTCTTAGACCTGTTGTCTGAACCTGTGAAACACTTCAAGAATGGTAGTAGCACCTGTCTTCCATGCCATGCAGTAGACTTGGATTATTTCAGGCTAGGTTTCACATTCTTTCTGGACATTAGAAGTTAGAAGTCTTTCCACTGGAGTTGGTCCTCCCACCCTCAGTAATGGTCTTTTGGCTAAAGTGTAGTTAATGCTAAACTTTGAATTTAGCAATCTCACAATCAAACCCAGGGATTATTAGCACTCTTGTGTTATAAGCAGAACATGTCTATTTTTTAGTTGTTGTGCATTTAGGCTATTTGGAAAACGATGAATACTTACCCATATACAAAGTATGGGTATCTTCTAATAGACTAAAACCTGACTTACTCAGTTCATTGACTAGTAAGCTCAAAAGAAGATAATACATGACAAAAGTTCAGTGTTATCTATAAATTGTCACGACAGTGGGAAATACTATATTGCTGGGGACTCACCTTTCACAATGTCTTGTGATAGGAGAGTGCCATTCTGCAGTTATTCAAGCAATGGACAGTTTGGATCTCTCTAAAGTTCTTCCTCTGGGTCGTCAGCATGGCATCCTAAATAGCCTGGAAATAGTACTGAAGAACATTAGTCATCTGATCAGTGAATACTTACCAAAAATTTTGCAGATACTACTCTGTATGACAGCAACCGTATCACACATCCTTGACCAACGAGAAAAGGTGAGAGACTCAGAGGAGATGCTTTCCTCTTAGCCTAAGGAGTCTGGCTTTACTTGGAAGTTGGGTTGGAGCCTGAATTACTAACATTTTTGGTTAAATGTCCTAGTGTAACCCTTTGAAAGTCTGTTTTTAAAACAGTAACATTTTAAATATAAATATTTATATATAACTAAAAGATACAAATTGTATCAAGTATATATTTTTAAAAGGAGTGAAGTTATAGACTGTAGGTTAGTAATGTTCTCTTCTCAGAAGTCCATCTTGGTAGTTATTGAGCTGATGTTTCTTACATTTTAATTCTAAGAGCTTAGAGATGTAGGATATTTTCCAACTCTCAAGAATGAATCAAGAGCTGTTACTCTTGATTTGTTACTTTGAGACAGAGTTCTATGGAACTTTTTAAGAAGTAAATGCTTGCCTATAATCAGTGCGGTGTTTTTGAAATAAGCTGCGAGGTCAAATAAGAAAAGATTTAGACTCATATTTTGACTACTGATACTCAGCTAATGACAAATAGTTACAATTTTAATTTGGCTAAACTCTTAGCATTTGATTAATGGATATGCCTGGTGAACTGCCTCTCAAATATAATCATAAGTGAATATTGACTGCCAAAATTTTAGGCTGCTTTTGGAGGCTATGGATGGATGTAAGTCTGCTGTAATAATGAAATAAGTGACCAGGTGAAGGCTCCCTGAGATGGGAACAGAGGTGGCTAGAGTACAGAGAACAAGAAGAGTTGGATAAGATTAATTTCAAAAGGTACATAGGGAGCTAAGGAAATAGTTTAGTTTGGTGGTAGAGTGTTGCCTAGCAGGTACAAGGGCTTGGGTTCAATTTCCAGCACCACTTAAAAAAAAAAAAAAAAAAAAAGAGAAGAGGTCAGTAGTGTGGTTATGTAGGACCCTGTAGGCTATGACAGAATGTGCATTTACTTCTGAGTGTAAATATATACTTCACTTCCTACCAGGAAATTGCTGAGAGACCTGAAACAGGGAGGTGGTAAAGACTGTTTAGTGTTTTCAAAATATTGCTTTGGATAGAGTGCCTGCTTTACAGGTGCAAAGCCCTGATTTCAAACCCCAGTCCCACCAAAAGAAAAAAAAAAAAAAAGGACTAATGAAATCTGCAGTTGTTATCCTTATAATGGCTGTATTAAAGAGCACATTGGAAAAGATACACAAAAGTTCTCTGTAAGCACTACACCATTTGCCCAATGTAAGGTATGAGACATTGTCAGTATTATTAAAGTCAGTGGTTCACTACCAGGCAGTTTTGCCTCCCAGAGGACATTTGGCAATTGAAAAAAAAAGAAAAACTGCTTTGTTTGCTTTGTGGAAAAGCTGTGAGAGGCCAAGAGTCAAAGTCGAAAAGAGGTCTTACAAAAATCTTTCTTCATGTTATATGAGTGTTTAAGGGCTGTTTGAAAACTTACCTGAGTGTTTATGCCATATAGCAGATGTATAAGACTTCATATATTAATTATGAAAGTCAAAAGCCTATATAAAGAAGCTCTTTGGATTTTTTATTAACTTAGGAGTTACTCAGTAATGTGCCTTACTTCCAGGTCAACAATCAGTAACTCAGAGGATCATTTATGCAATTTCACAGTTCATTAGTGAGGTGTTAAGCTTGATCACAGATATAAGCTAGCTTGCTTCTTAATTTCTTTTTTTTTTTTTAAATAAATTCAAGGAATTCCTTTTAAGTGGCATAACAAATTATTTGTTGGTAATTTTCCTTAAGAAAGTTAAAGTTCTACATTTATATATTTGAGCTAAGTTACACATTTACACATTTACTTTTTATACCTTTCATATCCTTCTGGGTTGTATCATGAAAATTAGTGGTTGTGTGGGTTTAATTTAAGCAGTGGGGTAACTTGTAAGTGTACATAAACTAAGCCATGCTGACTTCTAGGAATTGAAGTCTACAATTGCTCATTTTCAGACTTTTCCTCCAGTAATTATTTAACAGTTATGGAATAAACTGGGCTGCTGGCACTGTAGTTACAGAAATGAATAGAACTTGCAGATCCTACCCACGGAAGTGGTGGGAGTAGAGAAGGGCGGGTGTCTTATTTGAGGTCATGTTTGCTCATGTTGGTTTATTACTTGCTCCAGTTGGTCACAGGACCATGTTTTTTCAAGTATCAGTGCACCAAACATGATTTAGCTGATAGCAAAAATACTGCTAGTAGAATTAAAACAGGTCAGAGTGACTCGTAACTATGTCACCTTCTTGTAATTTGCTTGTCATTTCCTCTGCCTTTGTAACTTGTATAATGAGATAATTAGCTAAAAGTAGATGGTGTGTGGATATCATGGTTCCTCAGGCTTACGTGGCAAATTAAGGGCATCCTTGTTCATATTGAATTTAAAATGTGCTCTTTTAGATTCAAATACCTCTATAATCAGGGTACCGGATTTTCGTCAGTAAGTTTCCTATTTTATTCATATCATGACCATGGACTTGATACTCACTATCTGAGAACATTTCTGTTGTCTTCATAAAGTTAATGGTGATTTTTAGAATTTGATGTTGGTAATTAAGGTCATATGTAAAAATAAGTGGACAGCTAGTGTGATTTTACAGGGCAGGGAGAGTGGAGCACATCTCATCATTTGGTATTTTTTCTTTGCTTATTGTTCATGAGAAAAGCAATACGCCTTGTTCAGTTGATATTCCCATGTGAATCAAAGCCAATAGCTTTAATTACAGGGTTTCCAATTTGATTTGACATCTCAGCAACAGTGCCTCTCTAAGAAATCAGGGACAAAAATTGTGTATGTTTATTTTTTAAAATAGAAGATCTTTGTCTTGCAGGTACAGCTGAGGTTTATTAACCCCCTGAAAAATTTAAGACGTCTTGGAATCAAAATGATAACTGATATCTTTGTGGATTGGGAATCCCATCAGTTTAGAACAGAAGAAATTGATGCTGTGTTTCATGGTGCAGTTTGGCCTCAGGTAAACCCCAATTTTTACCCTCTGCCTGCACACCCTCTACTTCTTCCTTCATGATTCATTCACCAGCATAGTCTACTACCCAGACCAGAATGCTTGTCCTGATCTTTTCTCTGATATCAAGCATTTCTTTATATCTTCAAGTTTTTCGAACACTTTTGCTTGCCTCCACTACCAGAAGTAAAAATCAAGAGTTGCTTTTTCTTAAATACCGTAACATTTATACTTAAGGCTAAGGTGAATATAACTGAGTCTCTTAAGCAAATGTGATATAACTTTCATAGCATCTCATAGTAACAAGCATGTCAGGAAACATGCAGTAGTTCTGTTCTGCATTTTCTTGTTGGATGTTTCTGCTTGTAGCCATTTGATAACTGTGCAGTTATAGCTAAGCAGGCTGTAGGAGAAACTTGATTTTAGAAATGAACCCTCAGTCATTTCTGAACATTTGAAACCTAAAATACCCACTTCTTTTCAAGTGTCTAGAACTTCATGCACAGTTTTTGCCTTTTCTTTTTCTTTTTTTTCTGTGTTGATGTACTTTGTATCCCTTGTTTTTTCCTCAGTCTGTCCTTCACGTGCAAATCCCTTGGCTCTTCATTCTCTGGTGTGGTGCTTGTTCTGTCTGTTGGTTGTTTTTTCTGTAATTTGTATGTTTTTATTTCATACTGTTTTTATTTTGTCTCCTAGATCTGCAGGCTTGGATCTGAGAGTCAATACTCACCTACTCCTCTGCTGAAGCTAATTAGTATCTGGAGCAGAAATGCGAGGTACAGCCTTTATCCCTCCCTGTAAATAGGATGATGTTTTAGGCTAATCTAACCAAGCCTAGTTTGGGGAACTAATACAACTTAGGGTCTTTCCATGTAGTTAGTGACTTTAGGTGCAGTTAAAGAGGATAAGGCAGTTGAATAAAGAAGTATAGAAAGATTGCAAAATATATAATTTCAAGAAAATTGCTAAGCAATGTGTATAATGTAATTCAGGAAAAATGCTTTTTGGTGCATGTGCATTTGTATATGAGCATGAAATAAAGGGTTGGGGGCATGGCTCAAGTGGTGGAGTGCCTGTCTAGCAAGTTCAAACTCAGGTACAAAAAGGAAGGGAGGGAGGGAGGGAGGAAGAGAAGGAGGGGGAATATCTAAAAGGATATAGGGGAAATCTTTTTTAAAAAGAAGACATAATTGGCCAGGCACTGGTGGCTCATGCCACCAGCAGAGGTTGGGAGGATCCGGGTTTGAAGCCAGCCCAGGCAAATACTTTGCAAGACCTATCTCAAAAATACCTGACACAAAAAGGGCTGGTGGAGTGGCTCCAGGTATATATAGGCCCTGAGATCAAACCCCAGTACCACAACAACAATAACAAAAAAAGATTTTTTTTGTACGTATTTACGGGGTGCTGTGTGATATTTCAGTACAAATATACATGTATAATATTCAAATTAGGGTAAACAGATCTGTTTCCTCAATATTTATCATTGCTTTGTAGTAAAAACACTCAGTATCCTTCTAGCTTTTTTTTTTTTAATAAATGGTACAATTAGCCTTAGCTATAGTTGCGTGGGTATGCAGTAGAATATCAAACTTAACTCAGAATTCTCTTGACCCAGGCATGGTGGAGTGCACCTGTAATCCCAGCACTTGGGAGCCTGAGGTAGGAGGATAACAAGTTCAATGCCAGTCTGGGCTACTTAGTGAGACCTTGTCCCTACCCTCTAAAAAACAACAAAAAAACCACAACCTAAGTCTCCTGCTTAGTACCTGCTCTCTAACCTTTTCTCCCTCTACCCTCCCCTCCCCAGTCTCTGGTAGGCAGTATTCTACTCAGCTTCTATGAGATCAACCTTCTCAACTTCCTCATTGGAGTAAGATCCGATGAGAACCTTAGCAATGTGGGTGTTTGGATGGACCAGAGCAGAGAAAGACTTTTTATGATAGTCCTGTGGAGTAGTAGAATAATACATAATGAAAAGCGGAATAATAGGTAACATAACACCTTGCTAAATGTAAAATTGTCGAGTGCGTATTCAATCAAAATGAATACATTTTCTGCAGTTCTTACAGTTTCATTAGAACTTCAAAACTGAAGCATTGGAATTGACAGGGATGGTATTCCTATGTGTGATAATTGTTTCCATGGTTTGATTTTGTCTAGCAAAGGAAGAGGCAGATTGTGAAACACACCAGATTGTTACATCGTCATGTAAATATTACCATTTCTGCATTCTTGCAGTTTAAAAACAAAAACTAATTTGTAATTAGCATTCTGCTATGGCTTTTTCTTAGTTCCCATTTTAAGTGATAAGCGAGAAAGATTTCACAGATTTTCTAGACCATTGTTCTTTGGTCTTTGTAAAACTCTGTCTAAATATATGTTCAGCTATCATGGTAGAAAAAGTTTTCATGTTGATTCAATGATGCTAATTAAAATCCTGGCATTGGTTTTTACAAAATTGAAATCACATTACATAACCAGCTTTTGATTTTGTTTATTCATTTATCGTTATATCATGAACATCTTCCCATGTTACTAAATAGTCTTCAAAAGCAGACCAAATATCTTTTTTTTTTAATTTTATTGTTTTATTATTCATATGTGCATACAATGTTTGGGTCATTTCTCCCCCCTCCCCCCACCCCCTCGATACCTGGCAGAAACTATTTTGCCCTTATCTCTAATTTTGTTGAAGAGAGAGTATAAGCAATAATAGGAAGGAACAAGGGTTTTTGCTAGTTGAGATAAGGATAGCTATACAGGGAGTTGACTCACATTAATTGCCTGTGCATGTATGTTACCTTCTAGGTTAATTCTTTTTGCTCTAACCTTTTCTCTAGTTCCTGGTCCCCTTCTCCTATTGGCCTCAGGTGCTTTTAAGGTATCTGCTTTAGTTTCTCTGAGTTGAGGGCAACAAATGCTAGCTAATTTTTTAGGTGTCTTACCTATCCTCACCCCTCCCTTGTGTGCTCTCGCTTTTATCTTGTGATCAAAGTTCAATCCCCTTGTTGTGTTTGCCCTTGATCTAATGTCCACATATGAGGGAGAACATAGGATTTTTGGGCAGACCAAATATCTTAATGTTGTTTTCCTGGTAGAGAGGGCTGTTTTTGCATATTTCCCAATTTGACAAAGCAGTTTCATATCTTGTCTTAGCCCTGAATATCTGTGAGCAGTATTTATAGTAATATTTGAGAAATACTTTATAGTTGTGTAATTTTTATGCAAACAAGTCCCCAAAGGACTTTGCATCTAGGAAGATTTTACAGAAACCCAACTTTATATTATTTGGTTCCTTATTCAAGGTGTATATCACTTCATTGTGTCCTGTAATTTGTTTCTTATTTTTTGTCTGGGGAAATAGAAGCTACATTAAGTGACAAGACCTTTCTTTAATGAAACAGTCACCTGGAAAAAAATCCCTTGAAGGGTTCACTGCCCTTGAAACCCTCATAGCAACAGATATGTATATGTAGTGTGTGTGTGGAAAAACCAATGAATTAATATTTCAGAATCACTTCATAAGAATGTTACTCTTGTAAAAAAGCCTGATTTCAAAATACACATACAGTTCATATAGTATCAATCAGATATTAAAACATGTTTTTGCATTTGTAGAGATTTACAGTTTGTTAGACATTACCTGTAAGTGCAGGTAGAGTTGAACTATAGCCAATGCCTTTAGGCTTAAAAATAAGGATAAATTTTCTCAGAAGTTAGGTAAACTCAAGAAAATAAAACCTTGCTTGCCAACTACCATGATCATATAATTTACTGTCCAAACAGTAAATTCTGTATAAAAAGAGATGCTATAAAAAATTAGGCCAAACTAGGTGCAGTGGCTCATGCCTGTAATCCCAACTATTCAAGAGACATAGTAGAAGGATCAAAGTCTGAGACTGGCAACAGCAAAAAGTGCAAGACCCCATCTGAAAAATGCTGTAGCATAAAAGGACTGAATGCGTGCCTCAAATGGTAGAGCAACTGCCTAGCAAATGTGAGGCTTTGAACTCAAACCCAAGTACCAGCTGGGTGTTGGTCAGCTCATGCCTATTTTATCTTAGCTACTTAGTAGGCTGAGGTCTGGAGGATCAAAGTTTGAGGCCAGTGTGGACAAATACTTCACCAGACCCCCATCTCAGTCAACAACTGGACACAGTGGTGCAAACCTGTCATCAGAGTTATGCAGGAAACTGAGATTGGGAGGATAAAGGTTTCATACCAGCCCTGGCTAAAAAAAAAAAAAAAAAAAAAAAATGTTTGTGAGAACCTGAAAAATGCTGGGTGTGGTGGTACCTACCTGTATCTCAGCTACAGTGGGAAGCATAAAATAAGGATCACAGTCAAGGTCCTCCTGAGAAAAAAAGCAGGACCCTGTCTCCAAAATAACCAGAGTAAAATGGGCTGGAGGCCTGACTCAAACAGTGGAGTACCTGTCTAGCAAGTACAAGGCCCCGGTTCAAAGTTCAAATCCCAATACTGCCAATAAAAATAGGAAATTAAACCACAATAACCAAGCTGGGAGCTGGGACGTTCTCCAGCTACTCTCTTAATTGTGCTGGTTCTAATCACTGTGACCCCTGTGTGCTCCAGTATCTCCTCTGAGTGCTTTCCACATCTGTAAGGCCATATTACATATCTCTGTCTTATGGTTATCTGCCTAAAGCTCCCTGAGTGCAGAGACCGTTCTCATCTGCTATTGTGTCTTTCTCCACAGAGGATCAGTGTTCCTTGCATGTGGAGTGGTTGAAATTTCTAATTGAGCCATACGCTTCAGCTTGTGCATTGCGCTGTGGCTGCTCTGAGCCTCAGTTTTACCTTGTACAATAGAAATGATTTCAGACCTACCTCATCGATAACATAATTAGTGTAAAGTATTTCACTTGGAACTTGCTGCTATTACGACCAGTGCTTATTGGACGGAAAGACATGAATATAACCCCTTAGACCTTTTCTATAAGTTTGCTAGTGCTAAGTATGTTAAAGTATTTGATTTCTTTTCAGTGGAAATGAATTGATAAAGTCAAACTATCAAAAATTTTTTTCTCCTACAAAGCCTTAGGTTTGTATCTCTGACTGTAAAAGAACTGCTGGTTGATCCTTGCCTGGAAAACCTTTGTGCTCTGTGCCCTTGCTGTGTTTCAAATAGGAGAGATACTCGAATCTTTCCTATGAGTCTTCCACTATTGGATGTATTCTTCCTCCCCCAACAAATGACCATGATCTCTGAATGTTGCATTTCCAAATACAGCAAATGTTTGACTCTCTCCAAACTCCCATGTTGTAAAAGATTTTTTTATGTGAGTGTATGTAAGCATTCACATTTTGGGAAGCTTATATTTGAAAAGTAGCCTAACTTTTAGAAAGGGCTGAGATGAATTAGACTGTGGTTCACATTTCACCTCTACCACTTTCTAGCTCAATGACTTTGAACCAAGTCTCAGTTTCTTCATCTGTGATGGAGATAATGATGCTACCTCATGGAGATAGTGTAAAGATTAAATTACAAACGCACATAATAGCACCTAAATAATAGTTTATGAGATGCTTAGAAGTATTATCTCCAGGTTTTAGATTTTAAAGTAATTCCTCTGTTAAGTAATTTCTTCAGTGCTGAGTATTGATTCCAGGGCCTTGTTCATGCCAGGCAAATACTCTGCCACTTCAGCCGTACCCCCAGCCCTCTTGTTTTTGAGACAGAATCTTGCTAACTTTGCACAGACTGGTCTTTTAACCTCATGTTCTGCCTCTGCCTCCTGCGTAGCTGGGATTACAAGTGTGCGTCCTCACATCTAGCTTAAGTAATTCGTACTAATGTTCACACACACACACACATACATACACATATATATTTGTTAAAGTCAACGTGAAAATTTGTATGGAACATGTTTTTATCCACAGCATACTGTAAAATGAGATGATTATTACAATGTGTTTTTTGCAGGTATTTCCCTTTTCTGGCTAAACAGAAACCTGGGCATCCAGAATGTGATATCCTGACCAATGTCTTTGCAATTCTCTCAGCAAAGCATCTCTCTGATGCCACAGCCAGTATTGTGATGGATATAGTGGATGACCTTCTTACCCTTCCAGATTTTGAACCCACAGGAACAGTGTCAAGTTTGCCAGTGACTGGATGCGTATACACTGACATAGCACAGAACACAGAGGGTGTGTATGCTGTCCAAAGCAAATGATTCTTAGACTTTAGAGGTAGCAGTTTTTCCCCTCAGAAAAGAGAAAGTTAGTAACTTGTGCTCACAAATTTCTTTTCTGTGCACATGTAGGAATGCAGATTATTTCCTGTCTAGGAAGTTTCATCTATCCTCCAGGAAATTATTGAGTATTTTCCATTATAACATCCCAACAGTTCCCTTTACTGTTACTAAAAACGGTTTAAATAAAGCCTCAGGAGTCTTGTTCAAATTTGTTATTTAGCTAGTGACATAGCTCTTCTGAGTAAGAAAAAAACGTCTAGAGTTGAAGTTTAAGTGTTTATTAATAGTTGAGTGCTTTCCTTATCTGTCATCAAGATGATATCATACAATGATGCTTTAAGGGAGTTTATTAAAATCAAAACAATTATTGTCTTTTTCAGAGCCTATCACTATGGGAGGAAGATTAATTCTACCTCATGTACCTGCAATTCTTCAGTATCTCAGCAAAAGCACAATGAGTACAGAAAAAGTGAAAAAGAAAAAGAACAGGACACAAGTTAGTAAGGAACTTGGCATTCTTTCAAAGTAAGTGACATTAGTACTTAAAAGATAACGTCCATCCGTAGTTGTAATCATTTTTAAAAAGTTACTTCGCTTTTTAGTTGTTTAACTTGAACAGTTTAAAAGATTTCCAAAATGCAAATTAAAACCATGCTAAGATTCCACCTCACCCCTGTTAGAATAGCCATCATCAGCAACACCACCAACAATAGGTGTTGGCGAGGATGCGGGGAAAAAGGAACCCTCTTACACTGTTGGTGGGAATGTAGACTAGTACAACCACTCTGGAAAAAAATTTGGAGGCTACTTAAAAAGCTAGACATCGATCTACCATTTGATCAGCAATACCACTCTTGGGGATATACCCAAAAGACTGCGACACAGGTTACTCCAGAGGCACCTGCACACCCATGTTTATTGCGGCACTATTCACAATAGCCAAGTCATGGAAACAGCCAAGATGCCCCACCACTGACGAATGGATTAAGAAAATGTGGTATCTATACACAATGGAATTCTATGCAGCCATGAAGAAGAACGAAATGTTATCATTCGCTGGTAAATGGATGGAATTGGAGAACATCATTCTGAGTGAGATTAGCCTGGCCCAAAAGACCAAAAATCGTATGTTCTCCCTCATATGTGGACATTAGATCAAGGGCAAACACAACAAGGGGATTGGACTATGAGCACATGATAAAAACGAGAGCACACAAGGGAGGGGTGAGGATAGGTAAGACACCTAAAAAACTAGCTAGCATTTGTTGCCCTTAACGCAGAGAAACTAAAGTAGATACCTTAAAAGCAACTGAGGCCAATAGGAAAAGGGGAACAGGAACTAGAGAAAAGGTTAGATCAAAAAGAATTAACCTAGAAGGTAACACCCATGCACAGGAAATCAATGTGAGTCAATGCCCTGTATAGCTATCCTTATCTCAACCAGCAAAAACCCTTGTTCCTTCCTATTATTGCTTATACTCTCTCTTCAACAAAATTAGAAATAAGGGCAAAATAGTTTCTGCTGGGTATTGAGGGAGGGGGAGAGGGAGGGGGTGGAGTGGGTGGTAAGGGAGGGGGTGGGGGCAGGGGGGAGAAATGAACCAAGCCTTGTATGCACATATGAATAATAAGAGAAAAAGGAAAAAAAAAAGTTATAAAAGATTTCCAATAACTTGGGCAGGTTCAACCCCAATCACTAACCAAAAGAAAGAGAGGAAGTGGGGGTAAGGAAGGAAGGGGAGAGAAGGGGGGAAGGGAGGAAATGGGAACATGCATAGGTCTGGAAGTGTCACTCCGTGGTAGAACACATGCTTCGCCTGTGCAAGGCTCAAGTTTCAATCCTCATTACCAAAAATGTTTCCACTATTTTAAATGCCTTTTACTTTTAAGCTAATGTAGAATTTTTTCCCCCCTCTGGAGGTATCATTAGAAATCTTTTACGACATCTGCATTCATTTAATTATATTAAAGACAACAGACTTCAAAGACCTAATCAGACTAATAGATTTGCTTATTTAGCCTTTGCCTATTTTGTTTAATTAAAGCCTTGAGTTTTATGGGATGATATCTTTTTTTTGTTTTGTTTTCACTTTTAATTTAAGTGATAAAAATAATTAACTTGAAAGAACAGATCGTTTTGTTTTTAAGAGTCAGGAAGAGCTTGCAAAGCTTTTTAAAGAGTCTGTTTGGCAGTAGAACTAGTAGTATATAATTGATTTCCATAAGGGGGAAGGTTGGTAAACCTGAGTGAAGAAGTGATTATATCTCAAATTTTAATTTGACAGCTGTTATAATAATTTTTTTATGTTACTTTTAGCAGCATCCAATAAAAAGATACAGTAGTATCTTCTGGAAACTGTTTTGCAATGTTTTATTTGTACTCCTGTACTACTACATTATGCAGAATGGGAAATAATACTCTCAGATACTCTCTACAGTTCATGTACGGCATTGTAGTAGTGGAAAGATGATAAGAGGAGATGAGGCACCAGAAGACCAGTGAAAGTATCAACTCCTTTATTTTCAAAGGCCTACTCTGCTTCTTCCCAGCTGTGTGACCTCAGCTTCTCGGAGTCTCAGTTTTTCCCTGGGAAAAACGGGGCTAATAATTCCTCTATAGCATTATTGTGGGAGTTAAATTGAAATTCTGTATGTAAAATCATAAGGTTAGGCACTTACAAATGTTATTTCCTTGTAAAATAAAAAATCACAGATCACCAGATTACAGCACTAGACTTACAAGAATTAGATATTGCAAAAGAGCTGAAAGCCTGATGTCAGAGAGGAATAAGAGGGGGCCCTGCGGTATAAATAAATTAATCACACACATGCACATATACTTTAAAGCCACCCATGTACTACAATGTTGAGATCAGTGGTTTTCTACATGCAGTTTAACTTGTGTTTCCTCCTAACATATCTGTTTGTTTCCTTCTCTAGGATCAGCAAGTTTATGAAAGACAAAGAACAAAGTTCTCTGCTCATTACACTTCTCCTTGCATTTCTTCACCGTGGCAATATTGCTCAGGTACAAATTCAGAGGACACTTACTTTGTCTTTGAAGTGGCACTTTGTCACTCAATTTAATTGAAAGGAGCAATTTTATTGACTAGAGTCTGTGATGGATCTGTCTCAAGGAGCTTGCACTATGCAGAAATGAGAAGCTTGAACTAAAGGGAATAACTTGGGACAGAAATAGAATGGGGACAGACAAGAAAGTGGAGACATCACCATCTGCATAACAGTGAAAGTATCAACTCCTTTATTTCCCTTTGTTTAGCTTTGAATTCATTTCAGGTTTTTTTTTTTTTTCCTCTCTGACTTTAATCAATAACAGGTGGAATCCAAGAAGTGCATTGCATACTTGGAAATATAGATCATAGTGGCAAAACTGAGCGAAAATCAGGCATTTAATATTCAGACATAGCTAAAAGTTTCTGATGGTTCTCAAACCTTAATTCACTCTCAAGAGTCCTCCAGGGGATCAAGAGCATTTATGTCATGAGGGCAACACTGAACATCTTTCAACACATAGTAATTCAGGGTTTTGTTTGTTGATTTTTTTGAGGGGGGTGGCATTAGTAGGGTTTGAACTCAGGGCCTTGTACTTGCTAGGCAGGCACTCTCCACTTGAACCACAACTCCAGCCTGTAATTCAATTTTTAAGATCACAAATAAGAATCTGTTTTTTGTCAGCAAGATCACTTTGTTAGCTCTTTTTTGACTACACAATAGAAGAAATTATGTTTCAAAAGCACATATGTTCTATTAGAATTAAAGGACACTTACTTCTTAACTATGAGTAATTATTTCCAATGTTTTGATATTAAAAATACAAATGGACAGTTTTATGATGTACTGAAATACGATTTCTCATCATTTTTCAGGATACAGAGGTTGATATTCTGGTGACAGTGCAAAACCTATTACAACATTGTCTGGATCCTACAAGCTTTCTCAAGCCTCTAGCCAAACTCTTTTCCATTATTAATAACAAGTTGTCAAGACAGTTGCTTTGTACAGTTTTCCAGGTACGTAATATACATTTTACCCCAAATCACCTTTTCTTTAAAAGATAATCGTGACACGTTTCAGAATATCAGAGCAGCCTTTTTTGTACCAGTATGATTTTATATGAATTTGAGTGGAAATAGGGAACAGAGGTGAAGAGGTCAGCAAAGTTACAGTGTTGTTCACTAATAATTGTGCTGTTCTTTCCTTTTAGAGTCTTTCTGATTTTGAGAGTGGACTCAGATATATTACAGACACTGTCAAGGTAAACAAAATGTTCACTTCTCTTCTCAAAGTATTATCAATCCTGTTTACTTAAGATCCGTACCCCTTCAATTATATGGCCTCGTTGTCATTTCCCATAGCTTAATGCCTTTGATCAAAGACACCTCGATGATATCAACTTTGACGTCCGCTTCGCAGCATTCCAGACCATCACTTCCCATATCAAAGAAATGCAAACTGTGGATGCTAACTACCTGATTCCGGTTATGCATAATTGTTTCTATAATATGGAGGTAGGCTTTTATAACAAAAGTTTGTTTTTATTGTTCTGATAATACAACTACCTAATACAATGACTTAATTTTTAAGTTTGTTTTAGAATGAATTTTATTTTTGAAGTAGAACTTTTTTGCTTGTCAGAGGGCTTATTGTTATATGATTTGAAAGACATGTATTTCAACAAAATATGTGGAAGCTTTTTTTAAAAAAAAGCAAAAAGCTGTTATTAGTTGGGCATGGTGATACACACCTAGAATGCCAGCACTCCAGAAACTGATTCAGGAGGAACACAAGTTTGAGGCCAGCCTGAGCTACATAGCAAGGCCCTATCTCAGATAAACAAAAAATAAATATATAAAATCAATTAATGTAAAGAAAACAAAGGTATGTGTTAGAATAGAAAAATCCATGCAGACAGAATGTAAATTAATGTTTCCAAAAGGCTACAGGAATGAAGGAATGTATGACTTATAATGGGTGTCAAGTTTCTTTCAGAAGTGATGAAAATCTGAAATCAGGTTTAGAGTACAGCTCAATGGTAGAGTGCTTACCTAGCTTATGTGAGGCCTGAAGTTTAATCTCCAGTACTGAGAAAAAAAAAATTTACACAACCTTCTTAATGTACTAAAATCTATTAAATTGTACAAACTTTAGAAGTGTAAACTTTATGATACCTCAATTATTACTTGAAAGTTTTCCCCTTTTTTTATTGAAGATACACTAGACATAAAACACATTTAAGCCGTGCACCAGTGGCTCACACCTGTAATCCTAGCTACTCAGTAGGCAGAGATCAGAAGGATCGAGGTTCGAAGCCAGCCTGGGCAAATAGTTTGTATGACCCTATCTCAAAAAAACCCCTTCACAAAAAAGGGCTGATGGAGTGGCTCAAGGTGTAAGCCCTAAGTTCAAACCCCAGTACAACAATAACATCAAAAAGTTTAAATTATAGTAAGTGCCATGTTGTTGTACTGAAATTAAATCCCAAAGTAGAGGAAATTAAACCCATAATTACTGTTGAGTGTGTGGTAGCATCAGTAACCTCCATAGGATTTTATAGTCATTCATCTGATACAGGAATTACGTAATGTAATAGTTCTTCCATTTGGGGCTCACTCTCAACATATCATGAAGAATGATGTGTGAAAAAGTCTAAATCACTGCCTAGCTGGCTGAGGTAGGAATACATTCTCTTCATTCACAGTCTACATTCCTTAAGCTGACAGCCCTGGACAGCTAACCAAAATGACACCATTCAAACTGTATCATTTTCCATGATGATCTGATACTGAAAACTGACTTTAGTGAACCTTTTATTGTGTTTGCTTTGGGAAGTAAAACTAGTTTTAAAATATGCTTCGTAGTATTTCCTGAAATTAAGGGATAGTTCTCAAAAGCATAATATTTCAAAATCACTTATTCTATTTCTCATATCCTTCCATCTGGTTCTTCTTGAGGTATATAGCATTTGTGGGACATTTTTTAAACAAAGCACTGACAGAATTTGACTTTCTTGGGAAATCATATTCCTAGGAATATTAATTTTTACCTTGAGTTCTTTTTCCTATTTTTAAGTTAGGAGATATGTCTTTAAGTGACAATGCCAGCATGTGCTTAATGAGTATCATCAAAAAGCTAGCTGTCTTGAACATCACAGAGAAAGAATATAGGGAAATCATTCATCGTTCACTCCTGGAGAAACTGAGGAAAGGGTTGAAGAGCCAGACAGAGGTATTGTAACTTTGTCTTTTGAGTGCCACCATCTGTGGTTTGGTTTGGTTTTTCCCTCTTCTGCTATTGCTGTATATTTAGTTAAAATACTTGCTTATCTAATTAGTCATCAAACTTTTTAACAGGGTTGGGAATGGGGGAAAAAAAAAGCCACATTTTTTTAAAGTTTTACATAGTTACTTAATTGATTTTTGTAGTAGAAATGTTTTATTTTTTAACAATTACAATGGCTTTTTTTGTTCCACTTCGTATTGCCTAGCAAACAGATTCTTTATAAATGTTTTTTTCCTCAACTTGATATTTGCAGAGTGTTCAACAGGATTATACCATGGTACTTTCCTGTTTGATTCAAACCTTTCCAAATCAACTGGAATTTAAAGACTTGGTGCAGCTTACTCATCAACATGATCCAGAAATGGACTTCTTTGAGAACATGAAGCATATCCAGGTAAAAGATAATTCTGCTTTTCCTTGCCTTCAAAATAAGCATTTCAAACAATTCATTTAGAAACACATACTTTGAGGTTTAATCTTCCTGTGCCGTAGTCTCCCTGAGTGTCTGTCAGATTTACACATAAGATGATCATTTCCTGTAGTCTGAATTTTTTGGTTATATCACAAACCATAAATAATAATAGTGTCACCCTTCTCTGTCCTTTCCTAATAAGTTTCAGTGTTACGGAATCCGTTGTTAAACATGCTGTAGATGATGTTTCTAGACACAAATCAAGGCCCAGGCGATTGGTCACGTAACACACGGCCTGTGCTGATCTCTCCTTTAATCTTCTCATGGATGATGAGCATGGTGCTGAGGGGGAGCTGGTTGAAGGTGAGATCCTTCAGTAACTAACACATATTTATCCTGACTTACAGATTCACAGACGAGCAAGAGCCTTAAAGAAACTGGCAAAACAGCTCCTGGAAGGCACAGTTGTGCTGTCTTCTAAATCTCTTCAGAATTACATCATGCCTTATGCCATGACTCCAATTTTCGATGAGAAAATGCTCAAGGTAAGGGATTAGATCACATACTGACATGCTTTGCCAAAATGGAGTTGGACTTGGTGGCATCCATAGTGCTGTCATCATAATTGGAAGATTAGAATAGTTCTAAACCCCTTAGAGTATGCCTGACACCTAATAAAGGCTATAAAAAAGGTAACTGTTCTTTTCACGTTTGGTACTATTACACATAAGGGCCAACCACAAAGTATTCCCCTCCTAGAAATGTTCAGGTACTGTGATGATATATTTTTATTTTTCTATCACAGGACTTAATTCTGGTAAACTCCACTGATTGAAGAGCCAGTATTTTCCCAAATGGTTCCTAAGAGATAAAACAAAACAATAACTACCTTTCACATGGTAGCAGGTACCAGGCAAAATTCTAAGTACTTGACTAATGTAATCATAGCACCACCTCACCATGACTCACCTTTATGGGATAAGGACTGTTTCACAGGAGAAGAAACTGAGACTAGGTGAGACTGTAACTTTAACAAAAGCACAGAGTCAGAACTGGTATTTGACCATCTTACCAATTCTACTCCACAGTGCCCAGAACATTGCCTGGTACCTGGTAAAGACTACTTAAGAATTTATTGATTAAATAAATTAGTAAAAGGCAGAGTTTATACATTGTCACAGTGATTCACATCTGTTAGGGTTTGTGACTTAAATTTATACTGTTGATTACGTGACCTGTGTAATAATAGATTTTATTGTTTTAGGATATTCAAAAATAAAAGCATTATCTGAGTAGTTAAAAGAGTAATCTCTCCTTTCTTTCTACCTTTATTTACTTTCTTGAGATTATGTTGCCCAGGTCTTTTGTTTGTTTGTTTTTTATTCATATGTGCATACAATGTTTGGGTCATTTCTCCCCTCTTCCACCTGCTCCCTCCCTTACCTACCCCGACCCCTCCCTCTCCCCCCCCCACACCCTCACTACCAGGAAGAAACTATTTTGCCCTTATCTCTAATTTTGTTGAACAGAGAGTATAAGCAATAATAGGAAGGACCAAGAGTTTTTGCTAGTTGGGATAAGGATAGCTATACAGGGAGTTGACTCACATTGCTTTCCTGTACATGTGTATTACCTTCTAAATTAATTCTTCTCAAACTAATCTTTTCTCTAGTTCCTGGTCCCCTTCTCCTATTGGCCTCAGGTGCTTTTAAGGTATCTGCTTTAGTTTCTCTGCGTTGAGGGCAACAAATGCTATCTAGTTCTTTAGGTGTCTTACCTATCCTCACCCCTCCCTTTTGTGCTCTTGCTTTTTTCTTGTGATCAAAGTTCAATCCCCTTGTTGTGTTTGCCCTTGATCTAATTCCACATATGAGCGAGAACATAGGATTTTTGGTCTTTTGGGCCAGGCTAACCTCACTCAGAATGATGTTCTCCAATTCCATCCATTTACCAGCGAATGATAACATTTCGTTCTTCTTCATGGCTGCGTAAAATTCCATTGTGTATAGATACCACATTTTCTTGGTCCATTCGTCAGTAGTGGGGCATCTTGGCTGTTTCCATAACTTGGCTATTGTGAATAGTGCCGCAGTAAACATGGGTGTGCAGGTGCCTCTGGAGCAACCTGTGTCACAGTCTTTTGGGTATATCCCCAAGAGTGGTATTGCTGGATCATATGGTAGATCTATGTGTAGATTTTTAAGAAGCCTCCAAATTTTTTTCCAGAGTGATTGTTCTAGTTTGCATTCCCACCAGCAGTGTAAAAGGGTTCCTTTTTCCCTACACCCTCGCCAACACCTGTTGTTAGTGGTGTTGCTACTGATGGCTATTCTGACGAGGGTGAGGTGGGATCTTAGTGTGGTTTTAATTTTCATTTCCTTTATGACCAGAGATGGTGAGTATTTTTTCATGTGTTTTTGGCCATTTGAATTTCTTCTTTTGAGAAAGTTCTGTTTAGTTCACTTGCCCATTTCTTTATTGGTTCATTAGTTTTGGGAGAACTTAGTTTTTTGAGTTCCCTATATATTCCGGTTATCAGTCCTTTGTCTGATGTATAGTTGGCAAATATTTTCTCCCACTCTGTGGGTGTTCTCTTCAGTTTAGAGACCATTTCTTTTGATGAGCAGAAGCTTTTTAGTTTTACGAGGTCCCATTTATCTATGCTATCTCTTAGTTGCTGTGCTGCTGGGGTTCCATTGAGAAAGTCCTTGCCTATACCTATTAGTTCCAAAGTATTTCCTACTCTTTCCTGTACCAACTTGCCCAGGTCTTGAACTCACAATCTTGCCTTGGCCTCCCTAGTAGCAGGTATTGCAGCCCTGTGACAGCTGTGAAAGACTGCTCCTTTGAATTCCAGTTTAAAAACCCAGTAAGCATAACCAACTCAAGAATTTAATGGTATTGAAAGACAGTGTATAGATGGAAAATAAATAATCCTTAGACTTATTTGACATTGGGCTGGTATATCTTTTCTAATCTATTTTTTACCCACTTGTGATTTACATTTAAAGTTGGTTCCTTGGGCTTGTGGAGTAGCTCAACTGGCAGAGCACCTGCCTGAGCTCAATCCCCAGTACTGCCCAAAAACAAACCAAAGTGAAGTTGGTATCATTTAGCTATGTCTCACTTTCTATTCAAGTACACAATGTCTCCCTTTTAACTGGCTTTTAGAACAATTAGTAGGATTATTAGTAAGGTTGGGTTTAAATCTGATCTTGTTATTTATTTTCCACTTGCCCTATTTTTTCTCATTTTCTTTTTTGTTCCTCCTGTTGGATTAACTGGATATTTAAAAAATATTTAAAAATAAGGAAAAGGTCTTTTGTATTAGCTTACATATGTATAAATTGATGCTCTTCATTCCTTTTTATAAGTCCTTATGTTCATCTAGCATCATTCCCCACGTATCATGAGTTTTGCATTCTAGCTAATAGAAGCATGAGCTGTTCTCATCCTTACATGGTCTTTGATGACTGTTGACTGCTCATTTTGGGGTTCTCTCCCCACTTCTTCCTTACATGTATGCCAGTCAGTACTCAGGTGAAGATGAAAGGGCTTTTGTTTGTGTAGCTCTCTTCTTGCTGGTACTGTGCATAGCCTCAGCTCTGTATCTTAACTTGGGGAGACTGTTGGGCTCTCTTGGGTTTCCTTTCATGTGCTGTGATCTAACACTTCTGCACACAGTAAATTCGGTAATTTTAAGACTAACTTCATTATTTCCTTCTCAGGGATCCCTGTTCTACTCTGACATCAGAAGGTTAAAAATAATTATTTCGTGGGAGAAATGACCCAAACATTGTATGCAAATATGAATAAAATAAAATAAATACAAAAGAAATTATTATTTTGTGTATTTTTGTCACTTTTGTAGTTTAAAGTGTGAAGGTAAACTCAGTCCCTGTTCTCTATCATGGCCTGAAAGAGATGTTTCTGAGGCAGAATACTTTCAAATGCTGAGCAGTGCAATGTGTAGTTTTTGACATTTGTCAACTTTTGTTTTTGGTGCCGAGGGCCTCACACATACTAAGCATGCGCTCTACCATGAGTTATATCTGCCACTGAGTTACATCCTCAGTGCCAATATTTACCAGCGTTCATACACAGAATTTACTTCATTCACTAGTCTTGAACCAATCAGGGAGTAGAAACAGTCCAAAATATATTAATAACCTTTAAAAGAAGATGTTTGTCCTTTAAATTGATAGCATCTGTTCCTGGGATTAGGGCAAGATGGAGTATAGTCTGGATGGTCTTTCTTTTCTGTATTATTGATCATCTATTATCAAAGCTTTTTTTATACCAAGTTACCTATGTACAAATTTTACTAGTAAATACTTGTTCTACATTAGATGCTCTTGGTTTATTTTACAGCATGAAAATATAACCATTGCTGCAACTGAGGTTATTGGAGCTATTTGCAGACATCTCTCTTGGCCAGCATATGTATATTACTTGAAACATTTTATTCATGTCCTACAGACAGGACAAATCAATCAAAAGCTGGGTGTCAGGTATGGTCGGATTTCTTATTTTTGATGTGTTAAAATGTAACCTTTAAATTATTTTGTCAGTTGATCTTTCTGTAATTTCAATTCATTTGTACACTGTATTAGTGTAGTTATGGAAATGCTTGTTAAATTTTAAAAAATACTAGTAAAAATAATCTTAATGTTTGTCTTTAAATTTCCTCTCCTTTTCACATCTAACCAATACAGATAATCAAATGAGCATTTCTGTGCATCTTCTTTTTTTCAGTTTGCTAGTAATAGTATTGGATGCGTTCCATTTTGACCACAGAGCTCTTGAAGGACAAATGGGACATGTTCAGAATGAAGAAAGTAAGTTTTAAAATATAAAATATTCTTAAGTCAGATTTTCATCTCATTCTTGGATAATTTGTTATCATGAGTTGAAGGTGGCAAACTTCAACTTATTTGTTTTTCTGCTCTTTTTAGTAATGACCAGTTAATGAGTCTGGCAGAAGTTAAAATGAATGGTTTGTTCTTGTAAAACCTATTTATCTATATAGAGGACCAGTCTAAACTGTATTAGTGAAAAATGTAAGCTGTAGACTATTTCCCTATAAGTCCATTGCTTTTTGTATGGAAGGAGCATTAAACAAAGAATGCAAAATATAAGAAGAGAAACAATTAAAAATTAGAGCAAAGATCAGTGAAATGTAAGGTAGACACAATAGAAAGAATCAACAAAACCAAAAGTGGGTAGTTGAAAAGATTGCAAGCTGGAAACTGTCTGACAAGATTGATCAGTGAAGGCTAGGGGATGGGTCAAGTGGTCAGCTCTTGCCTAACAAATATGGGGCCAATACCACAAAAAAACAATAAATGAAATAAAAAAAGATCGACCAGTGAAAATAGAAGACATACTAGACAATATTAGGAAATAAAAATGCTTACAACTAAGTGGAAAAGTAAAGAGGTAGAAATAATACTGCATTTATATTTATGAAAGTGAATACTTGGCTGACATGTACAAATTCTTAGAAAAATATAGTACAAAAATTGACTTTAGAAGAAAACAGAAAATCTGAATGGCTCTCTAACCATTAAAGAAATTGAATGTGTAGCTAAGCATCTCGTAAATGAAACGCCTGGCACACAATGTGTTCGGGGCAAGTTTTACCAAATTTTGAAGGGATGGGTAATTTCAACCTTAAACTATCTCAGATGATTGAAAAAGAGGAAACCCCTACTAACCCATAAAGTTAATATAATCACAGCTGGGCACTGTTGGTAGCTGTAATCCCAGCTACTCAGGAGGCAGAGATCAGGAGGATTGCAGTTCAAAGCCAGCCCACACAAATAGTTTGTGAGACCCTATCTCGAAAAAAAAAAAAAAAACTCCTCCAAAAAAGGCTGGGAGAGGGGAGGCTGGTGAAGTAGCTCAAGGTGTAGGCCCTGAGTTCAAGCTCCAGTACCTGGAAAGGAAGGAAGGAAAAGAGGGAGGGAGGGAATATAATCACATGGACACTGAGAATAGAATATCACATCCAGTCCCATTTATTAATATGGATATAGAAATCCTAAACTAAATATGGGCAAAAAAAAAACCCCAAATCAATAAAAGCACTAAAAGCATGGCCATGGTTGATTATTCTAGGAATACAAGGTTTCCATGCTACTAGAAAAGTACTTAATAGGATTGAACACATTAGCATTTAAAAGCATGTGATCCTTAAGGTAGACCTTGGGAAGCCATTTAATTTAATTCAGTATCTACTCAAGCTAAAAAATGATTATCAAAGAATAGCTAGAGGGATGGCTCAAGTGGTAGAGTGCCTACCTAGCAAGCATTCAAACTTCAGTACTGCCAAAACAAAAGTTAGGAATGTCTTTAATTTTTTAACGTATAGATAGAATTTTCCTTAACTTTGTTAAATGATGTGTTTTTAAAAATTAATGCAGCACTTTACTCAGTGATAAGAATTACAAGCCTTTGCTTTAAAACCAGGCCAAAGCAAGAACACCCAGTGCCACCACTGTTTATCTCAGACTAAAGATTCTAGCCAGCACACAAGAATGAGAAAAAACTGAACACTCAAATAAGCCAATGCATTCATCCTAATTATTTTGGCATATGTAACACTGACATAGTTTTATTAGTTTGTCTTAGCAATATTCTGGCCATCACTTTGCACTATTTTTTTAGTCAGTTAAGTTTGCATTTGGCAACTTGTATAAATATAAATATTTTAAAAATTAAAAATACTTAGCTTGCTTAACTATTTCTTCTTAGAAAGTATATTTTCTTAATTTGAAACTAGGTCAAGTTTTGTGGTTTTCAAATCCATATGATGTGATGTAGATATAAAAGGTAACTGAAATCTGGGTGTGCTGTCTGTTCCAAATAATATGTGTTTCATCAAAGTATGGCTCTCTTACATGCTGTTTTAGTGATCCTGTGCTACTGATACCTTCATTTAATAGCTGTCTGAAGTCTTTATGAAAATGATTGCCAATTTCTGGTGACTTCTGCAGTATTTTTTTTTTTTAGATTTAAATGGAATTATTTTGTCCCTAAGAAAGATTTCATTGACATATTTTACTAATGCTACAAATTTAAAACATGCATACAAACATTACAAATTTTAATTGTTTTAGTGATAACTTTTCTAGCATATTCTATGAGGCATAGTTGTGATTAAATCTAATCTTCGGTCCAGTGAAGGTGTCAAATAATAAATATGAATCTTACCTGCAAAGGCAGACTCTGAGTGTCTGAAACATTGCGGAAGTAGGTAGGGATACTTCCCTTCCTTGGTTAGACTAGATTAGACTCGGATCACCTGGCATAGACTAGCAGTGATAGCTTCTAGAGTCTGAACAAAACAAGTCCTCCACCTCAAAACTAGTTATCAACTTACATCATAGGTCTCCTACCTTTCAAAATAGGTCTCCCTTCATTCGCCAACATGGATAACCTCTCTGTACTGTTCGTAGCAGATACTGGCAAAGCGTCATGAAAGATTGTCCATCTTATTATGATGTTGCCAAGCGTCCTGACCTGCTATTTACCACCAGTGCCCTAACTGAATCAGCACTGGACCAACACAAGGTTGGTCACAGTCCAGGATGAGGAGAAAGGAACAGTGAGATGTTGGGTTAAGAATTTTCATTTGCTAATTCTTGATTTACATGTTAGCAAAAGTTGATCAACAAAAATGAAATGGCAAACCAAAATAGTGGTCTTCTTAAGGAAGAGAAAAGTAAATTCGTTGACAGGGAGTACAAGTGAAACTTGAAATCTTTATTGAACACCTTCTGTGAGCTGGGCTTCTATAGACTTTATCTCATTTGTCACCGTAAGAACCTTCAAAGAGCTGGGTACCAGTGGCTTACATCTGTAATTCCATCTACTTCAGAGGCTGAGATCACAGTTCAAGGCCAGGCTGGACAAATAGCTCTTGAGACCCCATCTCTAAAATAACCAGAGCAAAATGGACTGGAGGTATGGCTCAAGTGGTATAGTGCCACTCTGTAAGCATGAAGCTCTCAGTTGAAACCTCAGTACCACCACAAAAAAAGAAATAATAATAATTAAAATATGAGAAAGAAATTCAGAGATGATGGAAGGTAACTTTCTCAAAGCTACATAGCCAGTAAATGAAAAAAGACTAATAGCTACCATTTTTTGTTAGTTAATGAAATGTCAGGCACATTTTAGGCAATTACAGACCTTGTTTCATTTCATCCTCACAATAGCCTTGCAAAGTAGGTGCATCACCATTTTCACCTTTTCACCTTTTGGTGAAGCAGCCAAAGCCAGCTGGTGCTAAGTTAATTGGCTGAGGTCATATAGTTTGTTGGCAGAATCACGTGTGGATTCCTCACAATGCTGTACTGCCTGATTTTCTTTAATAAGCTGAAATCTGGAATAAGAAATTCTGTATAAGAATTGTCAGCTGCCATTGTGAGTTCATGCTCATAAATCTAGTTTGTTTTGGACACCCCTAACCTCAGTACTTAGGGAACTCTTTTGGGGGTCGAGCTCAAGCCTTGCTAAACAGGCTGTCTACCACTTGAGTCACACTCCCAGCCTCCCATTTATTTAAGTTATTTTTCTGATAGGGTCTCATGTTTACGCCTGGCCAAACCTGGACCCACATAGCTGGAATGACAGGTATGAGCCACCATGCCCAGCTGTTCGTTGACATGGGGTCTCACAAACTTCTTGCCTTGGACCAAGATCTACCCTATCTCTGTCTCCTGAATAGCTGGGATTACAGAGATGAGCCACCACACCCAGCCAGGAAACTTTCTTTTGGCTAAGAATTCTCCTTCTAATGTGTTCTCAAATGACCCTGTCCTTGCCATTCCATATTCTTTTAGAATTGCCAATTTCCTCGTCTCGCTCCCTCCTTAGACTCTCCACTATAAGAAAGCAAAACTCAAAGTCCTTTCATTCCCCGCTGCTTCCTCCATACTTACCTTGCCTGCCCATCATGTGTGATTGATGCTTTTTGTATGATGCTGGATTTCAGAAGAAAGAACTACTTATCACAACTGCTGTTTCCTCCTTTTTGTTGTTTTTTGAGACAGGATCTCTCTCTGTGGCCCAGACTGGCCTCATATTCAGTCCTCCTGCCTCAGCCTCTCAAGTGTTGGGATTTCAGGTGTGTGCCACCACACCCAGCTGTGTCCTTGCCTTACTCATTTTAAGGTGACTTTTGTTGTTTACTAAACATAGATACAGTGGAAATGGTGGAGCTGCTGGAGCATGAAGCCATGGAATTAGAGCACGTAGAGGAGGAAGAGAAGGAAAATACATGTAAGGTATCAGACAGCGAGGAGGCTCTGGGAACCTGTGAACCAGCTGACTCAGATGACACAGTGGCTAAGGAATCCACGCCATGCATCGCAAAGTCTATCTCTTTCCTTCCTCAAAATAAGGAAGAGCTGGAGAGAACAATTAAAACTATCCAAGGAACCATAACTGGGGATATCCTCCCCAGGCTGCATAAGTGCCTCACATCTATGGTAAGAGCACCATCTGGGCCCAGCATGTCAGTGTGAGCTCGAGTACTGGTGGGCCTGCCAGTGGGGACTCGTGACAGTTACTGGGTGATGCAGCTTTTCATAATTCACCTCCCTACTCTCATCATCTTCAGCCTCATTTCCATCTGCAGTTAGGCACTAATGTTCCTTCTTTACAATTTTGATAGGGTAGACATACATGCTTTTTCTGTCTCTACAGTTGATGATGAGATGACTCCCATTTCTAAACCAGGCAATTGAAAGTTTCCCTGTTATACTTCTTGACTACTAGTATATTATTCAAAACTCACCTTAACCAGGTGTGGTGAGGAACACCTGTAATTCCAGCACTTGGGAGACAGAACCAGGTAACTATGAGTTCAAGGCCAGCCTAGGCCCCATAATATATTCTGGGCCAGGCTGGGCTACATAGCAAGACCCTGTTTCAAAAAAATAAAAAAGAAACTCATTTTTCCCCTGGTCAGCAGGGATAACATTTAGCTAGTACATTCTTGTGAAGCCAGAGTCTTTTCTTCTTGATGTAAATCGTGGGCCAGAAAATTATGGCCCATGGGTTACAGTGGGCTACAACTCATTTTATAAATAAAACTTTATTGGAACTCACTTATACCCATTCTTTTGTATTATAACAGCAGAATTAAGTAGTTTTAACACAGACTACAAAGCCAAAAATACTTACCTTCCCCTTTACAAAAAGTTTGTCAACTGCTTGCTGGTATAAAATACTGACTTGGTCAACTTATATATTTGTAAATAAACCTTTATTTGAGGCTCTATATTTTGTGAGCTGAGGGCTTCACACTTAACAAACCAGGCATTCTACCACTTAATCCAGGCCTCCAGTCCATTTTGCTGTGGTTATTTTTAGAGATGGGCATCTTGATAACTATTTGCTGAACTGGCCTTGCATCTTGATCCTCCTGATCGCCTGATCTCAGCCTCCCAAGTGGCTAGGATTATAGGCATGAGCCACCAGCATCTGGCTAAGGCACTATATTTTTATATGTGGCAACAGTGTCACTCAAATGCTTGAAAATCCCAATCAATACGTATTTTTACGTATTTCATACCATGTCAGTGAAAACTTGACTTCATTTTTCTCTAGTTGCTTCTTTGAAAAGTAGGATTTTTTTTTTTTTTTTTGAGACAGGGTTTCACTGTGTAGCTCAGGCTGGCCACAGCCTCTCAATCCTCCTGCCTCAGCCGTCTGAGTCCTGGGATTATAGTTGTGTACCACCACACTCAGATTAAATAAGACATTCTTTTTCCTACTCTCTTTATGATTTTTAGGAGGTAATTCTCAAATTGCACATTTTCATTTTTTAAAGACAGTAAACTCACGGTAGGCTTACAATACAGAAATAGCTTGTCTTTTCCAGTGTTGGCAAGACCCTGGTCCTAACTTCTGTTTCAGCTTAATCTGAACTTTTCTTGCAGACTAAAAGGGAAGAGGAACACAAGCTTGTTAAATCAAAAGTTGTGAATGATGAGGAAGTGGTTCGAGTTCCTTTAGCCTTTGCCATGGTTAAATTGATGCATTCCCTTCCACAAGAGGTGATGGAGACGAATCTGCCAAGGTGCGTCCTGTGACAAGTTGAACAAGTTCAGTGAAACTCAAATTGCTTCTTTTCTTCCTGACTTTCAAATATCTCTTGCTAGGAAGAGAAATGCTGTCACAATTTGCTGTGGTTCTGAATCCTGACTGAGAAATTAGGGTTAAGAATAATTAAAAGACAAAGGGATATTTATGTTTTTATTTGTTTCTGTTCATTTGGTTAGTCATTTTTCAACTTTGCTTTTTCCAGTATTTTGCTGAAAGTGTGTGCTCTCCTCAAGAACAGAGCACAGGAAATCAGAGACATTGCTCGCAGTACTCTCGCAAAAATAATAGAGGATCTGGGTGTGCACTTCCTGCAGTATGTTTTAAAAGAATTACAAACTACCCTTGTCCGTGGATATCAGGTAAATTGCATGTACGCTTTATATATTTAAGTTGAATCGGAGTTCAAATATTAGCATCTTAAACACTATAAGTCATGGCATTTGAAGCTGTCCTCAGTCAACTTGATCCACTGAGATAGCAGGCAACAGCATCCACAGGTTTCTAATTAAGGAAATCTGCTATTTAAAATGCTCCTATGGGGTCAGAGGCATGGCTCAAGTGGTGGAGCACTTGCTTGCCTAGCATGTGTGAGACCCTGAGTTCAAACCCCACTACCACCAAAAAATTTTTTAAAAAGGTAAAGAATTCCTGTGGCAATCACGTGAAGCAGGTCTGGTAGCAGTGGCTTCTTTGGTTTTCTTTCATCTGTGAGTGTCCTCATTTCACTTTCATTGCTGGGGGCATTATTGCTGGATATATGATTCTGCATTGGCAGTCCTTTCTTCTGCCCCCTTTCTGATACGTTGTACAGTGTGCTGTTCTCTGAGTATTGCCTTGTGTTCCTCTGACTGCTGTGAAGGTGTTTCTGTCTGTTCTTCAGCAGTTTGTACGGTGTGTGTGTGTGTGTGTGTGTGTGTGTGTGTGTGTGTGTGTGGCTTTGTGTGTGTGGCTTTCTTTGCATTTACCTTCTTTGGGGGTGCTGAGGTTCTTGACCAAATTTGAGTTTCAGCCAGTATTTCAACTACTTCTTCTGCAATGCACTCTGCTTTTCTCTTACTAGTCCCTGAAAGTCTGTTCTTTTTTTATTCTGTCTTCTTCCTCTCTGTTTTCACACTGGATCATTTCTATCAGTCTGTCTTCAAGTTCACTAACTCCTTCCTCTTTATCGCCATTCTTCCATTATGCTGGTTCAATGAGTTATTTTAGGTGTGAAGTATTTAATTCTAAAATTTCTATACTTCTCTCTGTCTTCTTTTTCTTGGCTAACATGATATTTCTTTTTATTTCAGTCCTCTAGCTAAAAAACTGGAGTTTTACTTCTCTCTCTTTGTCATGCATTTCCCACAGCCATGCCCATGTCAGGGGCAAAGTGGTCTAAGACAGAGAAAAAAAAACTAGTCTTGGCCCACCCTCAAAATTGCCTTCACAATGAACAAAGAGGAAGGTTCTCCCAGAATTGTGGTTCCTGCCAGTCCCCATTTCAGGTCACTGCCACCACCACCAAAGCATCACTCAGGGCTAGGGAGCAGCAGAAAAGAAAAATGATAGAATTTCTCCCCTTCTTGGAACCTGATAAGTTTCCTCTCCTACTGTTCACACCAGAATAGGGGCTTCTCTTAGAGTTCTCTTTGTCTGCCACTTCTATGTTGTCTAGGAGATAATGAACAGAAAACTGGTAAACTCTGAAAGTCTAGTGGTACTTGGGATCTGGAGTTTTCCCCCAGTTGTCACTCTGTGGATCCTGTTCAGGCTTCAGAGCTGTGCTTAGTGGAGAGGCAAAGTAGAATATGCTTTCCCCAACCTACCTAGAGTGCTGGACCCCCAACAGTGTTCACTTGTATTCTGTTCTTTCAACCAGAATTTATTTCCTGACACCCTGGAGGAGGGGCCATGTCAGGCACTGGCATAAGGATCAATACAGTGCATTTATATCCTCGAGGATTCATTGACACATATTTAAGGAATCCCTGAAGTGTTTTCACGACTTAACCCTTTTTTCCTCCCACCATCTGTTCTCTAAATCTATCCCATTTGTTGTTAAAATAACAAGAATAGACTTGAGAGAACAACTAGTTTGTGCTTTAGTGTTAATCATGTAGACTGCCAAAACTATATGCTTTCAGGTGTCTTTAGCGTCTCTCAAGAAAACAAATTTTAAAAATTATATGCACTGGAAGTGTGGCTCAAGTTTTAGAGTGCTTGCTCAGCAAGTACAAGACCCTGAGTTCAGTCCCCAGAACTGCCCCCTCCCCCCATTATATATATATATGTATGGAGAGAGAAAGAGAGAGAGGGAGGGAGGGAGGTGGGCTCACGTAAGCATTTTAAATACATAGAAAGTACCAAAAGGTTACAAGTAAGGTACATTAGAAACTATGCCTTTGAGATCCAATCTGTGTATTAACAACTCATGTTTCCCTGGCTTCATACTCTGATGTTTGCTGGTAATTTTACATCACTAGAAACAGCATAAAGAATGTAAAAGCTTGAGAGGCTGAATAGCAGAGTAATGCAGAGCTGGGTCTCTGGTACCAGCCCTCTGGTTTCAAATCTTGACAACACCTCTTCCTACCTGTGAAACCTTGTACAAGTTCTTTGACCTCTCTGTGCCTCAGCTTCCTCATCTGAAGAATGCTGATAATTCAGCACCTACACCATAGACAGGTTTGGTGAGGCTTAAAAGGTATAAAATACATACGAAATATTTTTTTTCTCTTTATTTATTTTTTTTTCTTTTATTATTCATATGTGCATACAAGGCTTGGGTCATTTCTCCCCCATGCCCCCACCCCCTCCCTTACCACCCACTCCACCCCCTCCCTCTCCCCACCACCCCCTCAATAACCAGCAGAAACTATTTTGCCCTTATTTCTAATTTTGTTGTAGAGAGAGTATAAGCACTAATAGGAAGGAACAAGGGTTTTTGCTGGTTGAGATAAGGATAGCTATACAGGGCATTGACTCACATTTACCAGGGAATGATAACATTTCATTCTTCTTCATGACTGCATAAAATTCCATTGTGTATAGATACCACATTTTCTTAATCCATTCATCAGTAGTAGGACATCTTGGCTATTTCCATAACTTGGCTATTGTGAATAGTGCCGCAATAAACATGGGTGTGCAGGTGCCTCTGGAGTAACCTGTGTCACAGTCTTTTGGGTATATCCCCAAGAGTGGTATTGCTGGATCAAATGGTAGATCGATGTCTAGCTTTTTAAGTAGCCTCCAAATTTTTTTCCAGAGTGGTTGTACTAGTTTACATTCCCACCAACAGTGTAAGAGGGTTCCTTTTTCCCCGAATCCTCGCCAACACCTGTTGTTGGTGGTGTTGCTAATGATGGCTATTCTAACAGGGGTGAGGTGGAATCTTAGCGTGGTTTTAATTTGCATTTCCTTTATTGCTAGAGATGGTGAGCATTTTTTCATGTGTTTTTTGGCCATTTGAATTTCTTCTTTTGAGAAAGTTCTGTTTAGTTCACTTGCCCATTTCTTTATTGGTTCATTAGTTTTGGGAGAATTTAGTTTTTTAAGTTCCCTATATATTCCGGTTATCAGTCCTTTGATGCGTAGCTGGCAAATATTTTCTCCCACTCTGTGGGCGTTCTCTTCAGTTTAGAGACCATTTCTTTTGATGAACAGAAGCTTTTTAGCTTATGAGGTCCCATTTATCTATGCTCTTAGTTGCTGTGCTGCTGGGGTTTCATTGAGAAAGTTCTTACCTATACCTACTAATTCCAGAGTATTTCCTACTCTTTCCTGTATCAACTTTAGAGTTTGTGGTCTGATATTAAGATCCTTGATCCATTTTGAGTTAATCTTGGTATAGGGTGATATACATGGATCTAGTTTCAGTTTTTTGCAGTCTGCTAACCAATTTTCCCAGCAGTTTTTGTTGAAGAGGCTGCTATTTCTCCATCGTATATTTTTAGCTCCTTTGTCAAAGACAAGTTGGTTATAATTGTGTGGCTTCATATCTGGGTCCTCTATTCTGTTCCACTGGTCTTCATGTCTGTTTTTGTGCCAGTACCATGCTGTTTTTATCGTTATTGCTTTGTAATACAGTTGAGGTCAGGTATTGTGATACCTCCTGCATTGTTCTTTTGACTGAGTATTGCCTTGGCTATTCGTGGCCTCTTGTGTTTCCATATAAATTTAACAGTAGATTTTTCAATCTCTTTAATGAATGTCATTGGAATTTTGATGGGAATTGCATTAAACATGTAGATTACTTTTGGGAGTATCGACATTTTTACTATGTTGATTCTACCAATCCATGAGCATGGGAGATCTGTCCACTTTCTATAGTCTTCCTCAATCTCTTTTTCAGAAGTGTATAGTTTTCCTTGTAGAGGTCTTTCACGTCTTTTGTTAGGTTTACACCTAGGTATTTGATTTTTTTTTGAGGCTATTGTAAATGGAATTGTTTTCATACATTCTTTTTCCGTTTGCTCATTGTTAGTGTATAGAAATGCTAATGATTTTTCTATGTTGATTTTATATCCTGCTACCTTGCTATAGCTATTGATGATGTCTAGAAGCTTCTGAGTAGAGTTTTTTGGGTCTTTAAGGTATAGGATCATGTCGTCTGCAAATAGGGATATTTTGACAGTTTCTTTACCTGTTTGTATTCCTTTTATTCCTTCTTCTTGCCTAATTGCTCTGGCTAGGAATTCCAGTACTATGTTGAATAGGAGTGGAGATAGTGGGCATCCTTGTCTGGTTCCTGATTTTAGAGGGAATGGTTTCAGTTTTTCTCCATTAAGTATAATGCTGGCTATAGGTTTGTCATATATAGCTTTTATAATGTTCAAGAACTTTCCTTCTATTCCTAGTTTTCTTAAAGCTTTTATCATGAAATGATGTTGGATCTTATCAAAGGCTTTTTCTGCATCATTGAGATGATCAAGTGGTTTTTGTCTTTGCTTCTGTTAATGTGGTTTATTACATTTATTGAGTTTCGTATGTTGAACCACCCCTGCATCCCTGGGGTGAAGCCTACTTGGTCGTGGTGAATAATCTTTTTGATGTGTTGTTGAATTCGTTTGCCATTATTTTGTTGAGGATTTTTGCATCAATGTTCATTAAGGAGGTTGGCCTCTAGTTCTCCTTTTTGGAGGTGTCTTTGCCTGGTTTTGGGATAAGTGTGATACTGGCTTCATAAAATGTGTTTGGCAGTTTTCCTTCCCTTTCTATTTTGTGGAACAGTTTAAGGAGGGTTGGTATCAGTTCTTCTTTAAAGGTCTGATAGAATTCAGCAGAGAATCCATCAGGTCCTGGACTTTTCTTTTTGGGGAGACTCTTGATTGCTGCTTCAATTTCATTTTGTGTTATAGGTCTATTCAGGTGATTAATTTCCTCTTGGTTCAGTTTTGGATGATCATATGTATCTAGAAATCTGTCCATTTCTTTTAGATTTTCAAATTTATTTGAATATAGGTTCTCAAAGTAGTCTCTGATGATTCTGGACTTCCATGGTGTTTGTTGTTATCTCCCCTTTTGCATTCCTGATTCTACTAATTTGGGTTTTTTCTCTCCTCATTTTAGTCAGGTTTGCCAGGGGTCTATCGATCTTGTTTATTTTTTCAAAGAACCAACTTTTTGTTTCATTAATTCTTTGTGTGGTTTTTTTGGTTTCTATTTCGTTCATTTCAGCTCTTATTTTTATTATTTCTCTCCTTCTGTTTGTTTTGGGATTTGCTTGTTCTTGTTTTTTAGGAGTTTGAGATGTATCATTAGGTCATTGATTTGGGATCTTTCAGTCTTTTTAATATATGCTCTCATGGCTATAAACTTTCCTCTCAGGACTGCCTTAGCTGTGTCCCATAGGTTCCGGTAGGTTGTGTTTTCATTTTCATTGACTTCCAGGAACTTTTTAATTTCCTCTTTCATTTCATCGATGATCCATTCTTCATTAAGTAATGAGTTATTTAGTTTCCAGCTGTTTGCATGTTTTTTGTCTTTATTTTTGTTGTTGAGTTCTACTTTTACTGCATTGTGATCAGATAGTATGCACGGTATAATTTCTATTTTCTTATATTTGTTGAGACTTGCTTTGTGCCCTAGGATATGATCTATTTTGGAGAAGGTTCCATGGGCTGCTGAGAAGAATGTATATTGTGTACAGGTTGGATGAAATGTTCTGTAGACATCATACGAAATATTGATACAGTGCCTGACTCATAGTAAAGCTCCAGTACCACTTGCTTGGTTAAAGTTGAGGGCAAAAATACTTACCTGGCAGGGGAGATACCATGATCACGAAGGTGGTTTTCCCAGGGCGAGGCTTATCCATTGCACTCCGGATGTGCTGACCCCTGCGATTTCCCCAAATGTGGGAAACTCGACTGCATAATTTGTGGTAGTGGGGGACTGCGTTCGCGCTCTCCCCTGAAAAAAAAAAAAAAAGTTGAGGGCAAAAACTTGTTTCCCTCATAGCACTTTACGTCCTAGCTTTGATTGTAGCTAGCAATGGAAAGCTGCTTAATTCACAAGTTGTCTTGTAAAGTTAAAGACCTTTGTGCTTTTCTGTATAAATCACAAATTAGTTTAACTATAATTGTAGATTCTAAGATGCCATTGTGTTTCTGAACATATTTTGTACAGTGAAATCATTTGGTTAAACAATCTTTAAATGATGACATTTGTCAAAGCTTCTCCCAGTAAGAAAAGACAAACTCCAAATGTCTCTGTAGTTCTCCATCAAGCACATTTCCTGTAGGATGGGACTGTTGACCACTCTTGTCCTTACTGTGTGTCTCATTTAGGTCCATGTGCTGACCTTCACTGTTCACATGCTGCTGCAGGGCCTCACCAGCAAGCTGCAAGTTGGAGATTTGGACCCTTGTTTAGATATAATGATTGAGGTAAGATTTACAGAATCAATTCCAGTTTTTTAAATGGGCAAAGTCCACAAAATAGGAAATAATAATGATATCCTATTAAAAAGGAGGAGGAGCTAAGGGGGAGCTTAGTGGTAGAAGGGTACACGAGGCCCTGGGTTTGACAGCCAGTAGCAAAACGAGAGACAGAGAAGAGAGGAATGTCCTGCCTTGTGTCTTCAGATCAACAAAAGTTTAAAAAGCTAAGTCTCAAGCGAGGGGCCTAGTCTGTCATTGCTAGTGGGTCATAAATTGGTTCAATCTTTTGGGGAATGAAGTTGGCATGTCAACAGCTTTTGAAATTACCAAGATTTTCAGTTATTTCTGAGAATCCATTTTAAAGGAATAATCAGAGATGTAGCCAGGGTTCATATAAAAATATGTTCAATCAGAGCTTTATGAAAATAACTAACTCCTAAAAGTGGATCATGTGATATAATTTGGGAGATAAAATTTAGGAAGAGAGTAAATTTGCCATTTACTTTGGTTCATTTATTTTTTTAAAAATGGGGACCCGAATTTAAAATCTCAAATATGTACGTTAATTTTAATAATTCAGTTGCAAGTATGAAAATGTCTTGAAGCGACATTAAGCTACTCCTTTGTGATAACAAAAAAGTAGCAGCTAAGTCAGGTGTGAAGGCACATGCCTATAATCCTCAGGATGCTGAGATAGGAGGATCGTGAGTTCAAGGCCAGCCTTGGCTGCATGGCAAGATCCTATGTTAAAACAAACATGTACACACACACACACAAAGATACAAATAGTTGTATTTGTATCTGTGAAGCATTTTTCTTTTGTTTCCCGTTAGTATCACTCTTCAAGTGTTTCTTTCATGGTAATTGATCCCTGAACTATATTGAAAATAAGTGAAATCTAACACATTTCTCCATCTCACTTCAATCCAGTCCAATCTGCTTTCCTTAGGTTTGATCAGACTAATGATTTTATCAAAGTTGAGTTCACACAATTGCCATTTGTCCTTTTTTCCAAAGATCTTTAACCACGAATTGTTTGGTGCCCTTGCTGAAGAGAAGGAAGTAAAGCAGATCCTCTCCAAAGTCATGGAGGCACGAAGAAGCAAGAGTTATGATTCTTATGAAATCCTGGGCAAGTTTGTAGGAAAAGATCAGGTTACAAAACTTATTCTTCCATTAAAAGAGGTAAGGACTTGCCAACAGTACAATATCCTTGAGTTTCTGAAAGGTGTCTCAGGGCAAAAGCTGTACTTGATCATCCGTGATTTCCTTGGTGGTAAGGGAACAAGTACCACATGGTCAGTAGATGGCAGCCATGAGGTGGGTGCTCTAATCTTAAGAGTCTAAGTTCCTGATGTAAAAGACATGTGAAAGGAAAAGCGGCAAGAATTGGAGTGCAGAATTTTGCAGCTGCAGCAGATCTGCCCTAAAAACATATCCTTTGGAGTCAGACTGCTACTCCCGGAAAGCCATGTAGAAGAGCTGTGACACTGCTACATTATCTCTCTAACCTGTATAACTATCCAGTGAGATCACTGGTCTTTACAGATAAGAAAATACAGCCTTAAGAGAGCAAAAAGAGCATGGTTAGGGAGGAAAGTCAGGATTTAGTTCCAGATTTTTTTTTTTTTTTTTTTTTTTTTTTGGTGGTACTGGAGTTTGTTTGAATTCAGGTCCTCACACTTGCTAGACCAGTGCTCTACCAAATGAGCCACTCCACCAGCCCAGATCTTTGTGATGCAAAGCTCATTTCCTTTTCATTGTTTCTTTTTGGCTCTTGGAAAGCAAGGACTCTAACTTAACCTGCCTTCCTACTGCTTTCTATGCCTGTTGTAGGGATAAAAGGTCAGTGCATGTGGGTGGGTGTGGGTGTGTGAGTACACATGTCTGTCCATCACGCCCTTCAATGCTTTTGGCAGGTTGGCATCTTAGGAGTCACATCATTTCTGCAGCACTGTGTCCTGAGGCCTCACTGGTAGGGAAAGAGGGAGTGGAAAGAGGCCAGAGGTGCACATGTTGCTCCCAGTGGTTGGTTATCTGTAGGTTTGAAGTTATGAGTGACTTTTACTTTATATGTGATACCGTTTGAGGTTTTACTAAGGGTGTATTTTTTTATTAGGAAAAAAAACACTAGAAAGAAAATATATAAAAGTAAATACCATGAAGATAAGTTAAAATGTAGTTCTGTGTTATTTCAGCATGACATTTATGTTTACCTAATTTAGATCCTACAGAATACCACGAGTTTAAAACTGGCCCGGAAAGTTCATGAAACCTTACGCCGAATTATAGCAGGATTAATTGTAAATCCAGAAATGATGGCAGAATCCATTCTATTGCTCAGTTATGGTTTGGTCAGTGAAAATCTACCACTGTTAACAGAGAAAGAAAAGTAAGTTGTGTGTATGGGGGGGAGACACTTAGCTAATCTGTCATTTAGGTGCTTCTTTCTAATAAGTCATTTGGTTATTATTTACTCTTAAGTGGGTTAGTTTAATAATTTGCTTTAATGAAAAGCAAAAAGTTAATCCACTGGTGTAGTGAGCCACTCTTGTAATCCCACCATTTGGGAGACTGAGGCAGGAGGATCATGAGCTTAAGGCCAGGCTAGGTTATATAATGAGACCCTGTTTCAAAAAAACAACAGCCAAAAAATTATAGTCATCTGAACTAAAACTTTATAGTGTTTGGCGTGAGGTCCAAGCCATACATTTCAGCATGAGCTTGTTTTTCTTTAAATGAAGTAGCTATGACAGTGGGAAGCTATTTTTGTACCATTCTCTGATACCATGTTTGTTTTACATATATATTGAATGAAAGGGTAGATTTTTAAATACATGCTTGTTGTTGTGATTGAGCAGGGAAATTTGAAAATGTGTTATAAACTTCCTTTGGGTTTTGCTTCCGTGTTCTAAGAGAGACTCACTGGCAAACCCAGTGAGTGTCCTCTTGATGTTCATCAGTCTGACCTCTGTTTCCATTTCTAGGGATTGCCCTAGTAATCTTGGGCAACAGTCCAGTCATCCCTGTGGGCTTTGAGGTTAAGGGAGGGAAAAGAAAAACAGAACAAATGGCATACTGTTCAGTGCTGGACTCAGTGCTAACTTCTTGGAATGCAGTCAACAATGTCCTTTCCCCTGTTTTCATTCCATGTGATTTGACAGAAACCCAGCAGCCCCTGCACATGATCCACGTCTACCACCCCAAAGCTGCCTTCTGCTTCCCCCAACTCCAGTTCGAGGTGGACCAAAGGCTGTTGTGAGCAGGAAAACGAACATGCACATATTTATTGAGTCTGGGCTTAGGGTAAGAATTACCCTTAAAGTGAGACTTGCCTCCTTCAGTAAATCTGTATTATTTAGTCCTGTGCAGAATTTCCAATTCTGCTCAATTCCACTGGAAATGCCATACTCTGAATTAACTACAGGATTTTTTTTTAAGAGGTGCATTTGTCAAGTTTCTATTTTTCTCTTCTAATATTTATTTTGATTATTTGTCCCAGAATTAATATTCTGACATAATCATTATTTGGGTTTCACTGTCAGCTCAAATTTACTTTTTTAAAGGTAGAAATCTTTTAAAAATAGAACTCTTGGGGCTAAGGATATAGCTCAATGATAGAGCACTAGCCTAGCATCTGCCAGACCCTGGTTTCTGTCCTCATCACCACAAAAAATAAAAATGAAAATAAATACAAGTCTAATCATTTTATTTCCTTTGGCTTCCATTTTTTCTCTGATAGAGCTTCGTCCTTCATTTGGACTACAAGGTTCTAGCCTCCTTCTGTACCAGTCCAGCCACACTAGCTTCCCTTCAGCTCTGTAAAGTCACCATACTCTTCTTCCCTGAGGCCTCACCACCTACTCTTTCGTCTCCCCACATCCCCACATAAACCCTCAGGGCACACAGCATTTATACTTTCTTAACATCTGTCTTCCTGACTAAGAACTAGTAGGACAGGACCATTCATTGCTGCACCCTGCATACTGAGTCAGTACCTGGAATCATAGCTGATGCTGAGTAACCGTTTGGTAAATGGAATTAGCATCTCAACTGCATGACAAACTCCCACCTTCCTAACTTACAGAGACTCTCTAAGGCAATTGCTGATGCCTTACTCTCTCTCTCTCTCTCTCTTCTCTCTTTCTCTCTCTCTCTTTTGGTGGGGACTGGGGTTTGAATATCTTTTAGCTGCTGCATCTGAGTCTGAAGACTTCTAAGATCAATTCTTCAAGTGAACATGTTCTGGAAATGTTGGATCCTTTTGTGTTTGTCCTCATAGACTGCCTGCGTTCCATGGACGTGAAAGTGAGTATCGGTTTGCAGTCTGTGAGCACCCATTCCTTCACAGGGGCTGCATCATGCAGAATACCTGGAACTTGTTTTAGGGTTCTTGTTTTGTGAAATGATTGAGTTTCTATAGGGACTATGACACCATTAACCACCACTGTTCCCTGTATTAATAAGTCACATTTGTTTGGATAACCCTTAATATCTTTAAAAGCTCTTCTAGGCACATTAATTATCTCATCTGATACTCACAACACATTCATGAGGGTGTGTGGTGTTGGCCCCAGGCCAGCGATCATCATCGCCACCACTGTCACTATCCTAAAGACTTCATCTCTAATCCTTAGAACCCCTGAGACAGATACTCATAGTGTTTCTGTTTCATGGATGTGAAAACTAGATTTGGTCATGATCAGAGCCTACACACATCCCATTTCCCCATAGCCTGCTTCACAGACAAAGGTGCCAAGAGGATAGGTAGCATCTCTAGAGTCACACAGACCATCAGTTGCAGATCTGGGAATTACACCCAGGTTTTCAGATTCCCATGCTCTTTTCTCATGTCTTTGTCTAATCCAACACAGTGAGGATATCATAACTGCCAGAGCAGCAGGGATTATATTAGGTTGAGCTGAACTAGCCAGTCCCAGTGATCTCTAAAGTTTGACTTTGGAAATTCAGGGATTTTTTTTTATGTAGTTACTTGCTCCTAACACACCTTTCCATATCTTCGTGCATAGCACTTAATTAAATTAAGTGTTAGTTAAGTGTTCCTATGCTTAATTTCTGAGCCCCAGTTGTCTGCTCCGTAAATACAGTAAGGCTGATCTTTATCTTTGTCTTCATTTATTTTTGAGACAGGGTCTCTGCATAGCCAAGATTGGCATTGAACTCAATATCTTCCTACCTCAACCTCCCAAGTGCCAAGGCTGAGGTGGTACACATGTACAACACCACACCCAGCTATCTTTGTACATATAATACCCAGAAGAGGGCTGGGGATGTAGCTCAGTGGTAGAGTGTCTTGTATATATAATACAAGCTTAATAAGAATGGGTTACATTGAAGTACCATTAAAGAAAATAAAAAAGTTAATAAAATTGTGTTTTTTAAAGTTCTAAAATTGGCCAGCCTACCCATATTCTTAAGAATACAGTAAGTGAACACCTTTCTTTTTTTCTTGTGATCTGGCTCCACTTGCTATGGATAAGAAATATGTTCTACAACAAGGATAGGAAACTTATACTTTGTGCATAATATCTTATTTATTCAACTCAACAACTTACATGGTCTGCAGAGCCTTTGATGCTGGATTGATGGATTTAGTCACTTCATAAGTTTATTGTTTTTTTATTTTGTTTCCTCAGGTGATCACAGGTGCTTTGCAATGCCTGATTTGGATTTTGAGGTTCCCTCTGCCTTCCATAGAAAAAAAAGCAGGACAGCTGACGAAACACCTTTTCCTTTTGCTGAAGAACTACGCAAGACTGGGGGCTGCTAGGGGCCAGAACTTCCATCTGGTAGTGAATTGTTTCAAGGTGAGGTGAAACAATTACCCCTAGAGATAACCAGGACTAGGATTAGCAGCACAGTTAGTTTTCATTGCCTTTAATAGTCTTGATGAAAATTTTTTAGAAATAATTTGCTAAGATGGGAGAGCTATTATCCTGTGTGAAAAAGTTTTGATGTTGTGTTAAGCATTTATCATTGCACTGAGTCCTGACTGGTGGGGTGTCCTTGCTATTAACTGTACTGTTGTAACTTGCAGTGTGTGACTGTAGTTGTAAAGAAACTCAAGTCTTACCAGATAACTGAAAAACAGCTTCAAGTTCTCCTGGCATATGCTGAGGAAGACATTTATGATACTTCACGACAAGCCACTGCATTTGGCCTTCTGAAGGTATGGTGTCACTGAATGGTGTCTTTTGCAGTTTATGAGCTTCATATCACTTATTTAAAATAATAGGAACATAATTGTTTTGACCAGCAGTAGACTTCTGAAATTAAATGATTTATAGAAATTATTATGAATTCGTTGGGTCAAATACAAGCTACTACATCTACTTTTGAAAATGTTTGAATGTGAACTGTCTACTAACATTCCCAGGGAACTCTATAAATTCAGATACTTTACTTTTATTTGCCCTATTGGATATTATTTTTTCTTATTGTGGTAAAATAAGCATAACATAAAATTTGCTGTTTTAACAATTTTTAAGTATATGTTCTTTTGAAGTTATTTTCTTTCTGTTTTTCTTGTTTGCTTTTTGATTGATTTTTGGTTTTTTTCTGTGGTACTGGAGCTTGAACTCAGGGCCTTATTTTAACTTGGCCAGCGCTCTACCACTTGAGCACCTCCATCCCTCATTATGTTTGAAAACTACTTATAACCACTTTAACATCAAGCCTACTTATGCCCATCTACAATAAAACACATGAAATGAGCATTTCTTTTCCTTTTGCACTTTAGGCTATTTTATCAAGGAAATTATTGGTCCCAGAAATAGATGATGTCATGCGGAAAGTATCCCAGTTGGCAATTTCTGCACAGAGCGAACCTGCCAGAGTCCAGTGCAGACAGGTGTGTAGAGAGAGCTTATCCCACAGTAAGGGGTGGACCCACCTTACTGTTTGACTTTTAGAGATGTCACCAATGACAGAATTCTAAAGACTGCCTGTGTCATATTATTATCATCAAGTCTGAGACTTGAGTACCTAAGTCAGAGACTGCTTTCCTGAGGATTGACAGATAAGCCAAAATTTGAAGGAAGAATAAGACTTAGCCTTCCTGATAAAGGGACAATGAATGCCTTAGGGAAGTTAACCCTTGAGGTAAGCAAGAGTTTAGCTTGTTTGAGGAACTAAATGGAGGTGGGGAAGGGAAGCCCAGTCACGTAGGTCCTTGTGGTCTTATTAAAGATTTAGGGCTTTGTTGTTTGATTTTTAAGATGGAGTCTCACTGTGTATCCCAGACTGGCCTCAAACTCTTATCTTCCTTGATACTCCTGCCTCAGCCTCCTGAGTGCTGTATGCCACCGTGCCCCAGCCAAGATTTAGGGCTTTGTTCTAAGAACAGTAAGATGCTGTTGGATCCTTAGGCAGAAGAATGATATGATTAGATTTGTTTATGCATTTGTCTATCCCTAATCTTAGGAGCACATATCACACCCACAATATGGTGGGTCTGAACTAAAATTTTGTTCTCAGGCTGAGGGAGGGTTTGTGCTGCTGAGGAGGCTATGGTGGAAGGGAGGAAGCATGTCTTTGGGGGAAAAAATTGCTTGACTTCAGTTAAGAAGCAGGGCCAGCAGATATTAAGCACTATTTGTGCCTCCAGGACTTCATATACATGATGTCTGTTTACAACTCCCTTCAGAAGAAATAATAATCTCCTTTGAAAACTCAGGAAACGCAGGCCTTGGAAATTTTAATGATGTGCCTTCATTTCAGTTTATTAACAAAGAAGGCTGAATACTAGTGGTTTGAAAGCAAAGGCTTTGGACATAGATGAGACCTAGCATTCTGGCATTATCACAGGAGCAAGTTACTTAACCTCTCTATGCCACCTTCATTGCTTTCATCTGTAAAATGGGACATCACCTAGTTCCTAAGGGAATGAGAATTAACCAAGAAACTGACCTTGGCATATAGATGGTATTTAGTGAGTGTGTTAGTTATTATTAGTAGTATTAAGTTATCATCATATTATTATTACTGAAAGGGAGATACAGAATCAAACAGTCCGTGCGCAATCCACCATACCACCTATCTGAGATCAGCTTCCAATGTGCAAGCTTAGATTGCAGTGGTAGGCCAGGGCTTGACTCAGCCAGGCACATGAGTGAGGTAGGAGACTGGAAGGGGCACAGTTGTGGACTTAATAGGTAGACTTAATTGGAGTCAGTTGGAAAGCCCGATTGTTCACCCTTCTGAAAGGTTTTTACAGCCTACCTTTGTGTCCCAGAAAACAGCTTAAGAAACAGGAATCCTGGAGAGACAGGATCCAAATAACCAACTGTGATTTTTTTTTTCTAGGTTTTTCTGAAATACATTCTTGACTATCCCCTTGGAGAGAAATTGAGACCAAACTTGGAATTCATACTTGCTCAACTGAAGTAAGTCTAAACCGTTAACTATGTAGGGACAAAGAAGGAGTTTATTCTTTTCTCCTAATATGGACACTGCCTAAGCATGCTGGCATATTCTCTGCTGTGATGTGACTCATTGGCTTGATTATGAAACACAGTGCTGTGCTTGGCATCCAATGGCAGTTCTGTGAGTTGCTTTTCACTCAGTCTGGTCTGACCATTGTCAGTTGAGTCTACTTAGGAGATTATTGAAAAGCTAAGAAAATTACATTTAAAACTACACCACAGCTTGATGGATGTATATAAGCATTGAAGTTGTGGTAATAGACTATTTCCCATTGTTTAAGAAATATTTAGAGGATACTAACAAGTCTACCTGATGTTTTTGCCCTAGTTATGAGCATGAGACTGGGAGAGAGTCCACCTTGGAAATGATTGCCTATCTCTGTGACACATTCCCCCAGGTACTACATTTGCTCATGAGCCCTGGAAGCCTGAACCCTCTCTTGTTAACTGATCTGTAGTAGTTCCATTCTGAGTGCTCATCAATGCCTTTTTCCTGTAGGGACTGCTCCATGAGAACTGTGGAATGTTCTTCATCCCTCTTTGTCTAATGATGGTAAATGATGACTCTGCCATGTGCAAAAAAATGGCATCCATGGCAATCAAATCCTTGCTCAGTAAGATCAGCCTTGAGAAAAAAGATTGGCTTTTTGATATGGTTATCTCCTGGTTTGAAGCAAAAAAGGTTAGTGTTGCTTTTAGCCACAGTTCAATGACAGATCTTAGCTTTTGGTATCCATACTTCAAATAAGAATACATACTTTGTTGAATCAGCTTACCCCAAATAGCTTTATTTTTATCTGATTATGCAAATAAGACATTCTTGAAGTTTCCTAAAATGTAGGAAGTTATAGAAAGTAATAAAATTCTCCCACTGACTATACCACCATCATCACTGGCCCATCTCTCTACAGTATAAACATGTCCTATCTTAGTGAGAAGCTTGTTGCACACCCAAATAATTGAACTTAGAGCCTTACACTTATAGGCAGGTGCAGTGGATTGAGCTACTCTGCTGGCTCTGCATGCCCAAATAATTGGAGGTTTGGGGGAGACAAGGATGGAGATCTAATTACTTTTTTTTTAATGGGAAAAGGTATATCAAGCTGGTCATCAGTGGCCTATGCCTGTAATCCTAGCTACTCAGGAGGCAGAGATCAGAAGGATCATGATTCAAAGCCAGCCTAGGCAAATAGTTCACGAGACCCTATCTTAAATATGCCCAACACAAAAAAGGGCTGGTGGAGTAGCACAGGTGGTAGAGCTCCTGCCTAGCAAGCTTGAGGCCCTGAGTTCAACCCCCAATACCACCAAAACCAAAAGTACTTGGTGAATAATGCCATTTTATAAAACACCATTATATAAAATGCTATCTTTTTTTGTTTGTTTGTTTGTTTTTTGGTAGTGCTGGAGTTTGAATTCAGGGCCTTGCACTTGCTAAGCAGATGTTCTACCCCTTAAACCATACTCCCAGTCCTAAACTACTGTTTTTTGATGCAAAGATTCCTAAACATTTTTTTTATGTTGGCCATCAAAACTCCTATTTTATTAGTTTCTAGTATTAGAAAGAAATCTTTCTTTTTTTTTTTTTTTTGTGGTGGTTCTGGGGTTTGAACTTAGGGTCTCATACTTAGCTAGGCTGGTGCTCTACCATTTGAGACACTCTTATCACCCCTTGCCTACATTCATTTTATAATTTGACATTGTCTTATGGTGGTTGATTTGATAGAGATTAAATAGACAACTTGCTGCCCTGATCTGTGGCTTGTTTGTGGAAAGTGAAGGAGTTGATTTTGAGAGAAGACTTGGAACTCTTCTTCCTGTAGTTGAAAAAGAAATTGATCCTGAAAACTTTGAAGATGTAAGTAATTTGCTGGGGAATAAATTTTGCTAATTTAAAAGTTTTACTTGAGATAGTATAGCTAATGTGATTATTGTGCTTAAAAATATTGTTTGCTAGTAAAAGCAAGAACTCAATACAATTGGAAACTCTTTTAAAAATGAGGCCTTGTGTGTTTGTACTTGCCTATAATCCCAACATTCAGGATTCTGAGGCAGGAGGATTGGGAGTTTAAGTCCCACCTGAGTCAAAAAGAAAAAGGGGAAAATACAGAGGTAAAGCTAAGTTATCTTCCACAATATATGAATTGAAGGTTCTCTGCTGAGAAAATCTTGACCCCCAGGGTACATTTGTCAGTGCCCAGAGATACTTGGAATTGTTAAAACTGGAGGGTGCCACTGGTATTTCTACCTACAGTGTATATGACAGCCCCCAAAAGAAAGGATTATCTGGCCCAAGCTGTTTACAGTGCTGAATTGAGAACCCCTGGCATAGGTCTGCATATTGGAGCAAACGTGGGCACCAGGTACTGCCATGTCTAACTGATGTGCCCCCACTCTGTTCAGATCATGGAGGAGACTGAGGAGAAGGCTGCAGACCGCCTGCTGTTTAGTTTTCTCACACTCATCGGTAAACTCATGAAGGAATGTAATTTCATCCAGTTTACCAAGCCTTCTGATACTTTGAATAAAATCTGGAGTAAGTATTTCCTTACTTAAATCTAAGTACAGCAGTTGTGATCAAATTACTGAAAATAGATTTGAGGAATTCGAATAGTAACACTTCAGAAAGTACATTAGCCAAAAAGTCCATGAGGGAAAAAATGTTAAATACCCCATTGGATTGATGATAGTGGAAGCATTTCTAGAAAAAATAAATTTTATAACTTTATAATTGATACATTTCATTTATGAAAGGATATTAATGGTGGGGGATATAAGAATAGGAATAAATTGCCCATGTCCTACTTGGTGCTCAGTGATGGTTTCGTGTATATTTCTCTTTTCCCCTCATTCTCGCTTCCTTTTCCCTCCGCTTCTCCTCCCTTTCCCCCTAGCTTTGGTAAGGTAAATTAACAAATAAGAATTACATGTGCTTACCATAACCAGCATGATGTTTTGAATTATGTACACATGGTCTCTATTTCCATCCTTTTTGTTAAATAAGCATAGGTGGGCTGGGGTTATGGCTTAAAGGGTAGAGTACCTCCCAAAAAGACACAAAGCCCTGGTTCAATATCCCAGTACCACCAAAAAAAATGGGTATAAATGTTGTATAAAGGTTGCTTAGTTCCATGTGAACTTTATAACCTATTTGTACCTAAGTAAGCATATTACTACAACTCGGTGCCTTTTCAGTAGCTATATAGCAGTCTGTTGTGCAAATGTGTCATGATTTTCACTTCTGTGGGACATTTTAAGTTACCATATAATATTCTGTAAATGAAAAATAAAACTCCAGGATTTTAATTTAACATATTAATAGTTATTACCTGGATATTAATACAGAATGAAAGTAAGAACCCTATTCGTGAAATAGAGACTAAAACTGAGACATGTCATGGTTAATCCATCCTGTTTGTGACATCCACATCATATGAGCTTTCAACTATCCATTCCAGGTGTGGTATAAGGAGAGCAGCTATGTAGCCTAGGCTGAGAATTAAGAGTTCTGGGTCATACTGAGCTGGGGCCCAATCCCATCTATGCCTCTGGTAGCTTGGCATGACACTTGACCTCTCTGGAACAAGTTTCCTCATCTGTAAGATGAAAGTGACAGTGTTTGTGTCTACCTCACAGAATTTTGGGGTTTAAATGAGGTGTTACATATAACCCTCTTAGCCCTGTGCCTAGCCCATGGAAAGCCTTCCATAATGGTAGCTTCCAAGAGAACTACTTGGAGCCACTAATTTCAGTATTAGAAATAAACACATATCTATACACTTTTGAAAATGTAATGTTGATGTCATCTCATTTCCGTTGCATCTGAAACATGTTCATATGAAGCTGGTCTGTATGTTTACATGGAACCAGTTCACATAGAACCGGTGATTTACATGTGCCTGTTTAGTGTCACTTACCACGTAGAGTTGGTTTTCAGTTGTTCAGTTGTTTCCAAAGTCTCTCCACCTTCTCCATGGCTCCTTGTGAGCCTCTGAGAAGCAGGGACTCTTTTGTTCAGCTTTGATTCCCCATCCCAACCATATAATAGATACTCAGTGTATGCCTAATTAGTCCTGTTTGCCACCAGAGGATGAGGAAGGCTGTGAGATGTCTGAGAACGCATTTTGGTTCCCCCCAGGTCACGTGCACTCTCACCTGAGACATCCACACAACTGGGTGTGGCTCACTGCAGCCCAGATTTTTGGGCTGCTCTTTGCCTCTTGCCAACCAGAAGAGCTTGTTAGAAAATGGAATGCCAAAAAGACAAAAAAGAAACTCTCAGAGCCTATAGCAGTCCAGTTCCTAACAAGTGACCTTGACCAAAAGGTAAGATTTCTCTTGATTTTTTTTTTCTTTTTTTTTTTTAGGCAATACTGGGGTTTGAACTCAGGGCCTCACATTTGCTAGGCAGGTGCTCTACCACTTGAGCCACTTACCACCAAGGTAAGTGACATGTTCACTCTGGCTTTGTGACTGTCTTGGGGCTGGCACTGGAGAGAAAATCCTAAAACTGACAATGTGTCACATGTGTGAATCAATAGGAATGGTAGCAGGCATGTTCCAATGGCTGACACCACTTGGGAGGCTGAGATCAGTAGGATCTTGGTTCGAGACCAATCGGCAAATAGTTTGTGAGACCCCATCTCCAAAATAACCTAGACCAAAATGGACTGGAGGTGTGGCTCAAGCAGTAGAGTGCCTACTTTGCCAGTACCTGCTTTGCAAGCTCAAAACCCTGAATTCAAACTCCAGTCCCATACTCATTCCCCACCCTACCCCCCAAAAAACGATCATTAGTAACTAGAGAGAGGTCACCTTCAAGGCCAACCTTTGACCATCAATCTAATCAGACTTCTGATTTGCTTATTTAGCATGTCGGAAAATAAGATTAATACTTTCTGTCCTGCTTCCTTCATAACCTTATTGACGACTAAATGAGATCCTGCTCATAAATATGTTAGGTGGGGGCCATATTATATAGTGTGATACCCATTTATTTGTTTTTATTTTCTAATTGTAGATGCCTATGTTAGCTTATGTTCTAACAAGTCATGTTTGTTTCAAAGTCTAATTCTTTCCTCCTCTCCACATTTTTTAAAAGTTGTTAAGAACTTGTTTATAGTGGCAGTCTCATTGGTAGGGCCTAGAACAATGTCTGACTCATAGTGAGGACTCCATAAATATCAAATGAGTGGAGGATGAAAGGGAAGAAAAGAAAAAGCATATTGGAATGTTGCAAGTATTCTACTAATAGTCCAAGTACTGTTATCAGTATCACCCTAGAGTGAAAGAATTCCATTCCTTTGGCAGATAGAATGGAACAGTTCTGCATTTTCTGGTCTTGAACCTTTTCTCTCCAAATCTGTATAGGTGGTCTTGCAGAGCAAAATGTAATATATCAGCTATGTTATGGTTAGTTGTTATAGTTAGTTTTTAAAGACAATCAGAAATGTCCTATTATGACTATCATTTCTTTTCACAGATGAAAAGTATCTCTCTAGCCTCTTGCCATCAATTGCATTCCAAATTTTTGGATCAATCTTCAGGCGAGCAGGTAAGAATTATAGTCCTCCTGAGTCAATAGAAGTGACTTACTATTCTACCAACAGTCTAGGAATAGGCTTACATTTGTTATTTAGTTTTCAACCTGTTCTAAATTTGATAAAATACAGACATACATTCAAATGCATGTTTATTTATACACATATATCTAGTTGATTCTGGTGTCTATGTTGTCTGTGTTTGCAATTCCCAATAAAAATGATGCAGTGGGAGGCTGACTGTAAATCTTTTCATCTTCAGCCTTAATGTATCTACTTTGTGACTGTAAAGGACATTGATTGATCGATTATTTTCCTAATGTATTTCCTTCCCTTACCCCTAGAACTTACCATGGTCTAAGAACTGTCCTTAAAAGAAGCAAATAAATCATTCCTTCATTAAAAGGGGGTTACGTATGTTCATATTTTACAATGTGGTATAAATAAAGTGTAAATATAGAGAAGACAGGTATCAATACCCAGTAAATGCAAATTGCTTTGAGTAGTCCGTGACTCCCCTTTACTTCTTTCTCCTTTGACAGAGTAGTTGGTGTGGTAGATGGTGAGCCAGCACCACCACTGGACCTTGGCCGTCCCTTGACCCTTTATCATGTCCTTCATAAATTATTGTGGATAAGGTAGAGCAATGAAGATTAAGAAACAGGGCACTAGAAATTAGGTCACCATTCATATCTAAAGGATGATTGCATGTCATAAACACTGGACCTTCTGTCATAGTTTGTAATGAAGATAAAACATGCTGACTTCGTTATATGGCAGGGTCAGGGAAAGAATGGGTAGCCATTAGATGGACGGCAAAGTGAGGCCAAAGAAATCAAGGCTGGGCATGGCTTAAGTGGTGGAGAGCTTGCCTAGCAAGTGTGAAATTGTGAGTTCCAACCCCAGTGCCACCATGAAAAAGAAAAAAAATCAAATCCTGCCAAGTTGGACAGTGGGTCATGTCCCATGTAAGTTCACAGTTTTAAGAGGGGCTGGTAGATCACAGGAAAGAAGAACTAAAAGCAGTTAGGGATTTTAGTTGAGCATAATCTTAGCGTGAGTCAACATGAAGGAATTGTCCTAGGAGAGAAGGCCTCCAAACCTGGGCTGTATTCATGGAGGCCACGCTTCCCGAAAAGGAAGTTACAATCTGGCATTAACTCTTTAACGGCTAAACCATGGAGAGTATGGGGTTCTGAGCACTGCATTTAGGAGAGCTTTGACATGAGGTACATCTAGCAAAGCAACCAAGGTGATGAAGGAGCTCAAAAAAATAACTTGTTTTCCTCCCTCACACTGGTGTAAAATACTTCAGAGATTTCATAAATGTCATAGAGATAGGGACTTAGTGAATGGGTCCATTATAAGACCAAAATTCTAACAAACAGGATTAGATGGATTTGAAGGAAAGGCTCAAGGTTTAAGAATTTTGCCTAGAATTTTAAAGATCTGTGAATCCTGACTGACCACTCAGTTTGTATTTGCATGAGTCAGTAACTGTGAGCCTTTGTTTTCTCTCCTAGTTATAGTACCTGATAGGGATCTTTTAAAATTGAATTAGCATCTGTACATGAAGCAACTAATCAGTGCTCAATTAATATTATTTCCCCATAGAATGTTTGAAAGAACTTAATGGAGTAGGGATGAAAGCTTTCTTTAAAAATGTAAATGGCTGGTCAATAGGGAAATCTGTGTAACCTTAAAGACAGAATGAGACCAATGGGATGAGAGAGACATGACAGTAGGTTTGGACACACTATACAGAAGTACCTAAATAAAGCCATTATCAGTTTAATAGTGTAGTACCCAGTTGTTTGCTTAAATTTTCCAGTTGTGCAATGCCTACTTTAGCTTATGCCCTAAGGAGCCATGTTTGTTTCCAAATCTAATTTCTTCCTCCCCCTCCCCTTGCCTTTTTTAAAGGTTATTAAGAATTTATTATTCGTAGCAAAAGTCTTATATTTACTAGAACATGATTCCAAGGATAAGCAAGGCGAGATAAAAGCCTCTGAAGAACAGGAAGCTTTAAAAGATTGTGTGGCTAGAGAAGCATTAGAAGAACACAAAGCCTGCGTAGATGGAGAGGCGGGGTCTGACAGAGAAGAAAAGGAAGAGCCCAGCAAGCCAGCCACACTGCTCTGGCTGATCCAGAAGTTGTCCTGGATGGCAAAACGGGAAGCTGCTTATTCACCTAGAATTCCTTTAAAGGTGGACAGGATGGTGCAAAGTAACCTTTGATTTTTTTCTGTTCTTTTCTTTTTAAGTAATGTTATTAGTGATCCTCCCAAGTCTCTAGGAACTTTACATTTGAACCTAAAACTGCAGCAATAACATCTGTCCCAAAACAGACTGAACACTATCTTGTAAATTAGCGCTGTGTGTTTGTGTGACTGGAAGGGAAACATTTCAAATGAAACCCATCTTCACTTTCAGAGGACATGCATCTTTAAGTTCCTCGGTGCTGCAGCAGTGGATCTTGGGGTGGACAAGGTCAAGCCGTACCTCCCAGTGATCATCGCTCCTCTGTTTCGAGAACTGAACAGCACCTACGCAGAGCAAGGTAACCTTCCACCTCTTTCCTCCTGAATATTTGCACACCAGGATCCCTAACTTTTCTCCTAGGTGCCTCCTTCTGTTCTGTGCTCCTTCCCACCAGCGTTGGTTTTAAGGATAAAAGCTTGTGAGGTATCAAGAAAATTAATGCAAACAAGCAAGTTTATTTGTATTACATTTTATGGGCATCTTCTGTTGCTGTCTCATGTCAAAAAATGAATGTTTCTCTCCTAAAAGATGGTTTATTCCTGAATATAGATTACTCAAAGAAAACTGGTTTGGGATGCTTCTAAACTTCACAGGAGAAGACTGGTGGTGCATGCCTATAACCCAAGCACTTGGAAGGCTGGGGTGTAGCTCAGTAGGAGAGCACTTGCCTATCATGGTTGAAGCCCTAGGTTCAATACCCAGCACTGCAGAATTTTTTTTTTTAAAGAAGCAATTATAAGGCAAAAATATATGCATTATCATTTAGTTTTTAAATATTATTTTTAAGGCTTGCTTTTTTTCTTCTGTTTCCTTGCCTGGTGCATTCCCCTCACTGATCCTAATTGTTGATTACAGGAAGAGAGAGAATTATGGATTGGAAAGAGAGAAGGTAAAGTGGATGGTAAAAATTTTAAAATAGCATACCTGCAATCCCAGCACTCAGGAGACTGAAGCTGGGTGATTGGTAGTTCAAAGCCAGCCTGAGCTACATAGACTTTCTCAAAAAAAGAAAAAAAAATTTAAAATTAAAAGCAACTGAAGAGTAAAGCAGGATTTTTTTTTTTTTTTTTTTTGGTCAGCTGCGTCTGAACTCAGGGTTTTACACTTGCAAAGCAGGCACTGTACCGCTTGAGCCATGCCTCCTGTCTATTTTGGAGTTGGGGTCTCACAAACTATTTGTCTGTGCTGGCCTCAAACCCCAATTCTCCCCATCCTAGCCTCCCAAGTAGCTAGGATTATAGGCAGGAGCCACCAGTGCAGGAGTTTTTAAGTCCTACAACCTTAAGAGAAAGTTTCCTCCTCTTAAGAGTGGAAAAGGCCATAGTGAAGGTTGGAGATGCTGATAGCCAGGTTCGAGTCTGGAGCTCTCCTGAAACTAAACACAGAAAATCTGCGGGTTGTTTGCATTTCAGGGAGAAGGAAAAGGAAAGAGTAGGGGAGACACAGCATCTCATTAGCTTCTCAGGGTCTCTGATCCCCAAAAAAGGTTACTTCTGTGACCCATGGATTAAAGAAGGGCTGAAAAAGCAACTTAATCTCACCCTACATCTGCACAGAGCTGAGCCAGTTCACAAAATGTTTCTGTCAAGTCCTCAAAATCCTTTGATTGTCTTGAGAGCCAGGTTCTGGCTAAGTAGGCCTCATGGTCTCTGGTCTCTTGTTGCATCCTTGCTGAGGTAATGGCCTGTATGTTCAGTGTTCAGCCCTTCTGCTCTTCCTCACATCTCAGAAACACGGTGGCCAGTTTTGGATTCTTGTTTAACATTGCAGCAGTAACAGTAATGCTACAGTTTAGACGTTATACATTGTTGACTTTGTCTCTGATCATTATTCTCTGCCTGTGACCAGATCCTCTGCTGAAGAATCTATCCCAGGAAATCATAGAATTACTTAAAAAGCTGGTTGGCCTTGAGAGTTTCTCATTAGCCTTTGCCTCTGTACAGAAGCAGGCTAGTGAGAAAAGGGCACGCCGGAAAAAGAGGAAGGCTCTGGAGGTGAGTTTGCTGTCTGAGACTATAGCTTATTCATTGTATTTAACTATTTTTAACTAGGGGTGTGCATGTGTGTGTGTGTGTCACACCTAGGGAAGGATTTATAGCTGGGGCTCTGTATTTTCATTAATGGGCATGTATTACATTCATGTTAAAGACAGATAAAATAGCACATTTCCTGCATTTGATTTGGATTGATTTAACATGCACTTTAAAAGTAATATAAATTTCTATTCTCTCTCTCTCTTCAAGTTTGTAACTAATCCTGATATTGCTGCCAAGAAAAAGTTGAAGAAGCATAAAAATAAAAGTGAAGCGAAGAAGAGAAAGATAGCATTCCTGCGTCCCGGCTATAAGGCCAAGAGACAAAAAACCCACAGCCTGAAAGATTTAGCAATAGTGGAGTAAGGTCTTCCTGTGCTGATTGTCTCAACTGGCTCCAAAGCGTGAACTTTCTGGTGTATTCTACCAGACTGGACTCACAGTAGATTGTATTTAAGTCAAACTTTGGCCCAGATTGTGTAATATATAGTTTAATGTAATCATGCTTGTATTTTTTTAATTAAAATGTTTAATGCTGTATCTTCATTGTCTACAGAGCATGTGATACTAAGTGATGAGTTTAAAGCATAATTTTTTAACAAAAAGGTAGTTTAAAATGGGGGGGAAGCATGTGTTAGGAATAAATGAAACAATATTTGCAATACCTTTATGGGGAATATACAAAACTATCAAAAGCCATTAAGAAGGATCTGTGCAAACAGAGAGACACAGCCATGTTAATGGATAGGAAAATGAAGTATCACAAGATGTTAGTTCTTCCCAAGTTGATCTGATTGGTTATATGCATATTGGAGCAAAACCCCAAGAGTTCTTCATGTTAACCTAATGCAGCGCATTCTAAAACTTTAAAGATAATAAGCCATGCTGGCCATGACATTCCTAGAAAATGATAGGATAGAAACCAAAGGACAAAAGTGCTATCAATGGAGGAAACACGATGAACTCTACTTCATTAGTATTAAGAACTTCTTATAAGGCCAGGTGTGATGGCCAGTTTGAGGCCAGCTCAGGCAAAAAAGTTACAAGACCCTATGTAAAAGAACAAGTGGGTTGTGGTGGTGCACACCTGTGGTGGAGGCAGAGCTAGGACTGCAGTCCAAGGCAGGTCCCAGGCAAGAGTGCAAGATGCTGTCTGAAAAGTAACTAAAGCAAAAAGGGCTAGAGGCACCGATTGCTTACACCTGTAGTCCTAGCTACTTGGGAGGCCCTGAGATGAAGAAAATTATAGTTCAAGGCCATCCTGGGCAAAATGTTCACAAGACCCCATCTCACCCTCCTAAGTGTTTGTAATGTGCCAAAATGATAAGCATGGGGCAACTTTGAAGGCTGATCTTAATTCTAAGTGACTTCAAGTACATGTATTGTTTTCATGAAAATTTAAAAATAAAAAACAAATACTAAGATAAACATCAGGAAAAAACATACCAGGAATGCCAAACACAGCTTTGTTCTTAATAAGAACAAGGGATGCTAACGGTGACATAGTCCCTGCCCTCAAAGCTTGCTTTTCCAGTTTAAAGTGCCTGTCAGGTACTTGAGATAATAGAGTAATTCCACCACTCTCAATGTCTTGTTTTTTAGTGAGATCTCGACAGAGCACAACTACCAACCATAGCTGGTACATCGGTAGAACTGAAGGAAACCTTTGGTGTGGCCTGTCCAGATCTCATTTTACACAAATGAAACTTGAAGGAGTAGCCATTTATGCCTAGAACTCATGTTCTGATCAAATTTGGTCTTTTTCCTCTTACCAGGCTTCTCATAGAAAACAATATTCAAATTTTGAAAAAAAAATCAAAAATTTACTCCTGGGAGGAATCAGGATCAGATTCAAGATGGCAAGGGCTGCACCCCAGGCAGCATTTGCCTGCCAGGCTCACTCTTTCCCTACTTGTATCTTGTGCAGTGTTCCTGAACTATGGGGAAGTATTTAATCCCTTTAATACAAGCCAAGCACCTTAGGGTGCAAGTGAACTAGTCTAGTATTTCCCAGCCATGGGCCATCTTGACAGAAGGGAACCCAATTATAAATTCCAAGTACTACTTTCCTAGCTATATGTTCTGATGGGGCATAATGCCCATGTAACATCCCAAATACTGGGACAAATATGAAAGACAGTCTTTGCCCATCAAAATTAAGCAGCATTGGTTGCACTGGGAACACCTGTGCCTGGAGGAAGCCTGTCTCCAAGAAAAGATTTCAGAGACCAAATTACGAATGGTTCCTAAAATGAGCAATAAGAATCCCACAGGTGAAATGAGAGGTGCATTAATCTACACAGAGAATGGCCTTAAATGTGAGGGGAGGAGGCCAAAGGCCAACAACTAGGACAGTAAGGACTAGGAAATGAGCCCCTTGTTCCTGAGACTTGAGGGCTTTCCTTATCAGCATGATTTTTAAAATGCTGGTTACTGAATTTATTTTAAAAACTGCCCTCAATTTTAGTAATGCTAAGGTGCAAGGTCTGTATTCACCACTGATACTGTAGCTGGTGAACCTGGGTAGTTTGAAAAGTTCCTCTGAACATGATTTTTTTTAAAAATGTATAGCCTAAGGCAGTAATTTTTTAAAATCAAGAATTTAGCTTTTTTCCTAAGAACCAGTAAGATTTTTACTTTGAACCAGTTTACATTATCAATTCATTGCAGGTAGATAAATGGAATGAAAGACAGTAAGGACATCTTTTCTGATTCTTAAAATAACTTTTATTTCCTTTCATGTGAACTTTTTCTTTATTGTGTTGTGAATTCCATCAGATAGAACCACTGGGGACTTTTTACCATACACACATAGTTTGTATAGACATTATTGTGAATGTTCTTTGACTACTTCAGCATAATTAAGAGTTAGGTTGCCTGTGTTGTTAATGCTGGCATGTTCAGGAACACACAATAATTTATTCTGACCAAAAATCTTGCCCACCTCACTAGAAGGTGGCCATGGGCAAGCCAACATATCAGAACCTTGTCACATTCCGAAAGTGACAATACTACAACCTGTCCTACTTACTTCACAGGGTTCCTGTACAAACTGATTAAGTCAGTACAGGTAAAATTCTTTTGACAACTATAATGTACTGTCAAAATAACAATTGCAGATAAGCCAGTGACGTTAGCCACCAAAATAATATTTATACGTGTGACCAAGAGTTTTTACACGAAACAGCTTAAAGTAGTCAGTTAAGCAAATGAAGACGATATATATAATACATATAGGAACATATATGTTCCTACCCTACTCTACTGAGTCTAGTCTTTGTAAGGACTTAATTCATTTTAAGGGGAAAAAAATCTCAGTTAATATATCTGCTAGTGTTTATACAAACAAGATGCAACCACTAATTCAAAAATAGCAGGGTTTACTCCCCAATAAGAGTGTATTCTTTAATAGAATTGTATTTGAATATGAACTCCGTACAAATAGTATACCTTAGCACAAGAAAGCAAGGAATATTTTATACTATATAGAACATTCAGGTGATTGAATCAAGTTACCCCTCCAACCAAATACTTATTTCTGTATTTATTACAAATGCTGCAATCTTTTCAGTGTATGCCAACGATCATTTGGTTTTAACCTTTAGGCATGTGAAACATATATGACTGTTTCCAGAGAGAGATGTGATGGAGCCTTTGTTTCAGAGGAGCTGAAGTGACTGAATTACTGTCTGCTTTTTAATGTTTCAACTAACCTGTAAAGAGAAAATGAACAGTTTCATAAAATTAACTTTCAGGTATAAAGCATGAATATTTATAATACAAATTTTATAATGGAAGTGGATTCCTAAGCACTTAAAATGATGAAGGCTACCACAGATTAAAAGAATGAGGTAATGAACTCAGTTTCCATGAAGGTCATTCATATAAGCTGTGGCTTTGCATAAATAATCAAAAAAGACCAAATATCTATCTCTAGTCTGCTGGTACTGCTAGGCTACATGGTTGACAAGGAGTGGTAATAGAGATACATCAGGAAGCCTCTTGAGAAAAGAGCCTTACCCTAAATCCTGAAGGAGAAGGAACTGGAGGGGCCCTAAGGAAGAGAAAGGCTAAAAATGGCTTATCTAAGTAAGTGAAATCAGGTAGGTATTGTTGAAAAGAAGACAGATGCACATGAAGACCAGTGGAAGAAAAGGCATGTGATAAACTGCTAAATATCCTAAATTTCACCCTCTAAGAAAATTTCTATCCTAAGCTAGTGCTGAGTAGCTTGAGACAAGAGGACTGAGAGTTGCAGGCCAGCCTGGGCTACACAGTGAGACCCTGTCTCAAAAATAAATATAAATAAAAAAGTACTCAGAAAGAAAGCTCCATCCTAAAGGAAAATTACACATGTACATGCACAGCTACACACGCACACAGACACCGGAAACAAAGTACTTGCCATTCCATTGCCTCGTCAAGGCCAGTGCCTTTGGTGGCTGATGTTTTGAATATCTGCCATTTCCGATCCTTCAAGGCCGGTAAGCCAAGTGAATTGGCCATCTCTGAGGGAGTCATCGCCTGCTCCATGTCCTGCTTGTTTGCAAACACCACTAGTACGGCTTTTCTCAGCTCTTCCTCCTAAAGAAAATGGAAGATCCAGAATTCACTCTCATCAGTGTACTCCCTTGAGTTTGAGAAGAAATGCCATGAAATATGTCACTATAAAAATATACTTTCTATTTAATATATACTGGTCATCATAAATCATTTGAAATTATACAGAAGGATTAAGAAAACAAGCTTCACCCATAATGCTACCTCCCAAACAAGATCATTGTGCACATCTGCACATTTTTCTACGAGCTCTGTGTTGAGCAGGTATTTCAATTGTTTAGTAAATAAATACCTTTACATAGTTAAGATTACATTTAGACACAAGTCTATATGCTGCTGAAAAAGTAACACTAAATTAAGAATGATTCTCCAAACCATAAAAATTTTTCAAAAAAATTATGGCTAAATATACTTAGTACTATGATGCATACACCATAAACCACATAACTTTTTACCTATGCTAGATTCTAACTCGATTGTTTTTGGGGTTTTGATGGGGGTTTTGTTTTGGTGGCTCTAGGGGTTTGAACTCAGGGCTTCCCACTTTGCAAAGCAGGTGCTCTATTCCTCTAGCTACACCTCCAGTCTATTTTGCACTAGTTATTTAGGAGATGGGGGCCTCATGAACTACTGGCCCAGGCTGGCTTTGAACTGTGATCAGTAGCTAGGATTACAGGCCTGAGCTACCAGCACTGGACTTTTACTAGATTCTTTTCCCTTGACTATTAGAGAAACCCAGCTAACACTGTTCTACAAAAACCTTTTAATCACTTTTTTCCCTGAACACAATTCTCTAAAAATGAAGTCAAAGAATAAACATTTTTTTCAGGATTTTGAACATAAATTTTAAATGGCTTTCTAGAAAGGCAACAATTTCACCACACCAATAGTTTATGAAAGCCTACATCTTTAATAGAGCACTGGTAGAACTGGAAATTATTTTTCCAAACACAGCTATCATTCTATGTTTATTTTTAGGGCATTAGAATGTAAATATTGCTAGCAATATGTTTCTCTCCTATGAGTTGCCTTTTGTTCATTTTTCTACTGATTTGCAAAAGATCTGGGTATGACTAAGAACAATAATCTGGGGCTGTAGCTCAGTTGGTAAAGCTGTAAGTATGAGACCCTGGCTTCAATTCCTAGCATCATTAAAAAAAAAAAGTGATTTCTGAATACTAATTCAGGCCAGGTGCTGGTGGCTCACTTCTATAATCCTAGCAACTTGGCAGACTGAGATTGGGAGGATCGAGATTGGAGACAAGCTTAGGCAAAAAGCTCTTTTTATTTTTTTTAATTTTTTTTATTATTCATATGTGCATACAATGCTTGGGTCACTTCTCCCCCCTGTCCCCACCCCCTCCCTTACCAGCCACTCCACCCCCTCCCTCTCCCCCCCACCCCCGCAATACCCGGCAGAAACTATTTTGCCCTTATCTCTAATTTTGTTGAAGACAAAGCATAAGCAATAATAGGGAGGAACAGGGTTTTTGCTAGTTGAGATAAGGATAGCTATACAGGGAGTTGACTCATTAATTTCCTGTACATGTGTGTTACCTTCTAGGTTAATTCTTTTTGATCTAACCTTTTCTCTAAGGCAAAAAGCTCTTGAAATCCCATCTCGGCCAATAAAGCACAACTGTTGTCCCAGGTACACGGGAAGCGTAAGTACAGGGATCATGGTCCAAAAGGGCTGAAAGTATGGCTCAAATGGTAGTGCACCTGCCTAGCAAGTACAAGGCCCTGAATTCAAACCCTGGTACCACAAAAAAAAAGTACAGTACTGACTTGTACTAGATCTATACTTTCATACCATAATATTTGTTGATTGAACCAATTAAGTTACTTCCAAAAGAAAGAAACCACTTCTAGATTCTTCCACTGTAAGATTTTATAAATCCTAATACTACAAATAAATAACCTAAATCCTGCACATCTCAAGAATTACAAATTGAAGTTCATAATTCATTTCTTTGAAGCAATACTATGTGAGTCATGTCTAAATCTGTTTTTAAATATGCATTATACTAAAGGCAATTAAACAAGTTTCTTAAACTTTCTTATACTTAAATTTGATCTAAGAGGCTCTTATAATAAATGATACTATGTTGTGAAAAAATTAAGCAAAACTAAAACTATTAAGTTTGTGATTTATTACTTGGAAGCCACTTCAAAATCAGTAATCCAAGAAATCAGAAATCTAGAGTCCTTTCTTCTATGAAAGATTTTACTAGGTATCAGGTGGCTTGGAACTTAATGTTTAAGCATTCAATGACTGGATTCAGAATCATGGTTTGGGTGGGAAAAGGGCATTGATACATATAATTTTCTAGGGTAAATATAATTTCATCATAAATAAGTCACAGAATATTTTGTGGGTTTTTTTGTTTGTTTTTTTGGTGGTTTGAACTTAGGGCTTCACCCTTGTGATGCATATACTCTACCACTTAAGTCACTCTGCTAGCCCTTAAATGTTTTTAATTATTTAATGCATCCTCTGAACTTGATCAGTCAGACAATAAATGATCTTAGTAACCTCAGTGAATAAAATATCTTGAGTTCTTAAGTGTTACCCACTCTTCCATACCTCAGGATAAACTTAAGAACTTACATTTTAGGGGGAAAGACAAACATAAGTAAATAAATACATTTAACAACTAAATATGGTATAAAGAATAAAGTAAGGTAAGTGGTTAGAAAATAATTGAGACTCTACTCAAGGAAAGAGACATGTCAGAAAAAACATGTCAAGAATGTGGTCATGAGCCAGGCTGCCTATTACCCCAGCTAAAGTCACATCATGAAAGTGGCTTAGAATAGTTGCTTTAGCTTAAGAGAGCTCTGAACTTTCAAGGAATCTACCTTATAAAGTTATAGGGCTGGACTGTTGAGGGGATCAGGGGAAGAGCTGGGGATTAAACCGAGGGCCTTGCATAAACTAAGCAAGTGCTCTACCACTGAACTAAATCCCCAGCCCTGGAATTTTTTTTTTTTTTCCACCATCTCCCCAGCTGTAATTCTAGGCTAGGAAATAGTACGCGTAAATAAAAATGATACTAAAGGCATGAAGGGAAAACTTCCGTGTGTGGTTTTTACTTACTCCTGTATATGATGACTTACACTGGAAACAGCAAACACGTGGACAAGCTTCCGCACATTTTAAAGTGTAGTGTGCTTACCTCCAACATGGCAACCAACTCTGATTTGGAAATGCCAATTCGGTCTCGGTCACAACTGTCTACTACATAAATGACTGCATCTGTGTTGGAATAATAACATCTCCAGTATGGCCTAAAGAGAATTCAAAAAGGAAGAACATCTCCTTATTATTGGAAGGAAGAACTGACATGCTGAGATTCAGGGCAATGATGGGCGGGGAGGATAATACGCCAATCCTGCCCCACTCATGTTTGAATCAATGCTGTGATGATTTACTGTTTCTGATGGACACTTAGGTCATATCCCTCAGATGTGATGAGGCTGAGAAAATAGAGATAAATATTAAATCGCAGAATCAACGAGTTTCAAAAGAAGGTCATACCTAGGGCTGAGACAGTAGATTTATAATCTATAAAGTCACTAAATGTACTAATAGAAAAGCTATATACAGACCTGATCATTATACCTTATAATTTTTTTTTCTTGGTTTGAACTCAGGGCCTCACATTTGCCAGGCAAGCGCTCTGCCACTGAAGCCACTCTGCCAGCTCTGTTTTGTGTTGGGGTATTTTTAAGATAGGATCAAACTGTGATCCTCCTGATCTGTGCCTCCTGAGTAGCTAGGATTAGCCACTGGCGCCCAGTTATAATTTATAACATAGTTTATAAATGTTTAACCAGAAGTACATTAAGAGGAATGGACTTTTTATTTTAGTATGATTTTATATAACAGTCATTAAGCTAATCACTGATCACACCAGGTAGAAATAACTAAAATTAGAAATAAACTCAAGTGACTTAAGAAATGGACTGGAAAGCAGGATGTTTGGGGAAGGTATTCTAGTCACTTAAGATGGCACCACAGTGAGCTACTAGTGGCAGTCACAGTTACCATGTGTCCTGAATTGTAAGAGGCATCTATTTGTACATTTGGTCTAAATGGTATTTTTATGAATTCCAAAACAGTCTGTTTCACAGAAGAAGGGCTAACAAAAACTAAATGGAAGGCCCTTTTTAGTTAAAAACTAGTTAGATTTCAATTTAACTGGCTTTTTTAGATTTTTAACTCAATGGATGCTCTAAAGAAATAGCCAGTTTCAAATTTTACTTCATTTAAACTAAGTAGCTCCCATCAAATTTTCAATAAAAGATATATTTAGATTTACTGCTGATAACACTTAAAAAGAACCAATAAATACTAAATACCACAAAATGACCTGGTATTTATACCATACCTGATACTTGTCTGTCCTCCTAAGTCCCACACTTGGAATTTAAGGTTTTTGTACGTCACTGTCTCTACATTAAACCCGATGGCTGAAAGAGAAATCAAATCAGTAGTGTGTGTAGACTAAGGAACTCTACCTTCAAGTATCTAATATAATTGAGTTTAGTAATTAATGATAATTGTCAAATCACATTTGTTGGCTGAGATATTCCATTTAGGACAATAAACTGTAGGATACACACACACACCATCAATTAGCAAGATCAGTACTGCCTTCAAGTTATATAAATCCCCTGACAGCTAAACAAATACATAATTCTTAGCTCAAAGGAAATCCTATTACGTTAAAATCTCCTGAGTGCTGGCATACAGAGTCCAGAAAGGTGTATATGGAAGATAGAGTTGTAAATATATTACAAAAATTAGAATTTTGGTAGGTAGCAGATAAACAGATCAAAAAGAAGACAGACTTGATTCCAAACTTCAGTAAGGACACAGAAATGGCTATATGGAAGCTGGGTTCTCGAAGAGTGGCAATCTCATGGACCCACAGCAGACATCCACAAGACTTCACCTATGCAGGACACAGGGCTTCCCATCTATAATCCCAGCTACTCAGGAGGTGGACATGGAAGGGTTGCTGTTCAAGGCCATTCAAGGGAAAAATAAGCAAAACACCCAACAAAGTCTGGCATGGGGCTCATGCTTGTGGGCCCAGCTATGCAGGAGGCATAGGTAGGAGAACTGCAGTCTAAGGCCAGCCCAGAGCAAAACTGTGAGACCCTATCTGAAGAGTAACTCATGCAAATGGGCTGGAGACATGGCTGAAGTGGCAGCATCTGTGCCAAACTCCAGTACCACCAAAACAAAAATTCCTTGTACTAAGATTACAGGCAGATGGCCGAAGGGGAAGTATCGCCTTGCTCTTCTCTGCCACCATTCTTTTTTTTTTTTTCTGGTGGTTCTGGGGTTTGAACTCAGGCCTCATGCTTGCTAGGGAAGTGCTCTACCATTTGAGCCACTTTCCCTTTTTGTGTTAAGTATTTTTGAGACAGGGTCTTCGAACTATTTGTCCCAGGCTGGCTTCCAACCACGATTCTCCTGATCGCTGCTTCCTGTGTAGCTGGGATTACAGGTGTGAGCCATCAACACTCAGCTTTTGTCATCGTTCTTAGATGGAGCTCTGGCACAACACAGCTGAGGCAAGACACTACTTTCACTGAAAAGAATCAAAGGAAGGTAGAAAGGACGCTGAAAAGATTTAGCATTGATATGTACAAACTGATATGCACATTTTACAAGCTTAAACAAAAATGAGCCAGGCACCAGTGCTCACACCTATAATCCTAGCTTACTCACAAGGCAGGGATTAGGAAGATCATGGTTTGAAGCCAGCTTAGGCAAATAGTTCGAGACCCTATCATGAAAAAACCCATCACAAAAAAAGCGCTGGTGGAGTGACTCAAGCCCTGAATTCAATCTTCAGCACCTCAAAAAAGAAAAAATGACTTACAGTTAAAACTGGATGATTAATTTTTGTTTTATATTTAACTTTATGTTGGTAAATGATACTTATAAGTACTTGGCAAGTCTGTATATTACAACTAAAAAATTACTATGGCAAACATGAGTGAAAAACTAAATAGCAAGTTCATGATATCTCCTTAGAATTGGACAGGAATACAATCACTATGTTCACTAGGATTGAAAAGGCAGAGTGTAGTGTAAAGTGGCCCTAGCTGTGCTGCTCTGTGTACTGCAGAGGCCACAAAAAGTTGCCAAGGTAGAGATGGGAGAGTCTGAGAAGTAAGTATCAAGGAACTGAAATGTACTGAAAGTAGCAAAAAGAAGTATCAGGTGCTACCAATTTCAAAAAGTTCTTCTTTCATAAGAGCTACACTTTTTTTAATCTATAAGTTTAAATAGTAACAATATAGAAATACTCTGACAGAAAAACTGTAGAAGCATAATTCAAATGATCTTGAGCAAACTGTAGGTAGGAACACTTCAATTTAGTTTAAATGTATTAATCTTCTCTATGTAAATTCAGATCAACAAATGAAAAGGGGTTAGCATCAATAGCATTCTTATGTAGTCAAACAGACTACAGATATTTTTCTAAGAGAGAAACAATACACAAGGTCCTGAGTTTGATCCCCAGGTCCATAAAAGAAAAAAAGATAGCAACAACTGATTTAAAATCAATGTTTCTTCTCTTGTAATTTCTAGACAGAGTTTACTTCAACACTCGGTCTGTACAATTCAGATCTTTAAAAGTAATCAACACAATTACTTAAAAGAAAACAATCATAATTAAAGCAGTAGCAAATGCAGAAAAAAAGGCACTTCATGGATAGTAATATCGCTTAACATCTACGTAATTCTTTACACAGGTTAACAAAGTACTTTTGAATACATCATTTATTTCCCCTTCTAAGCCATTAGATACCATCTGCATTTTAGCAGCAAAAACACTGGCTGTCAGTGTGATTTAGAGACCTAAGCCGACTTTAGCTCCAAATAGCAAAACCTGGTGCACATTACATCATTACATCAAAATGCCTTTCAGTTTATGAAATAAACATTATCAAAATTATGTTCATACTAGTTTACAGAGCTTATTAATTTATTGCATGCATTGTTTATTCAGAAAGTCACTCGAATGGTAACCAGAATGCTTCTACAATTAGTTTACCATACCAACACTTACTAGGAATAGTAGTAACGACTTCTCCAACCTGTAATCTGTACAAAATTGTGGTTTTTCCAGCACCATCTAGTCCCAAAATTAAAATCCTCATTTCCCGGGTTCCAAAGAGACTGGAAAAAATACTTGAGAAAAAGCCACCTAAAAAATAATAGAAAGCAAAAAATACATTCAACATCATTTTTTAAATTAGGTACACAAAACAATCTTGCCCTTTGAAAACTATATACCAAATTAAATAACATCTTTTCCTGGAAAAATAGGGATTTTTGCTTCCACTGAAATATATTATTCAGCATCAAACAAGTAATTAGTGACCTTACTAGGTGCTAAATATTATGTCAGGCAGGCAGAAGATACACTAAGTAATGAGAAATTAGCCACTGCCCTCAGCAATTCCATTTTCTCATAAACAGAAAAAGCATGTCTTAGCACGGGGTCCTCATTACCCTTAAAAACCAAAGGGCCAGGCAGAAGGGCAGTGGGACAGAGAGGTCCTTGCACATTGTCGGACAGCGGGGTACCACCATAACCATCTTCATTCTGAACTAAGAGTTCTCCACTAAGCAATATAATTAGCAGAAGAAACTGCAATGGACCAACAGCCAAGAATAACAAGAACTATTTCTGATAGAAAACTCATTTTGAAAACAAAAGCCACATCCAGTGCATCAGAGAGTTTTTTTTGTTTTGTTTTTGTTTTTTGGTGGTACTGGGGTTTGAACTCAGGGCTTCATGCTTGCTAGGCAGGCGCTCTACCACCTGAGCCACTCCACCAGCCCTCAGAGAGCTTTCTGTATGTGGGTACTGTGCAATGTAAAAGTACTCTGAGCCAGGCACTGGTAGATCACGCTTGTAATCCTACCTACTTGGGAGGCTGAGATTGGGAGGTTCTTGGAGGCCAGTTCAGGGAAATAGTTTATGAGACCCTCATCTCCAAAATAACTAAAGCAAAATGGACTGGAGGTGTGGCTCAAGCAGCACAGCACCTGCTTTGCTTTGCAAGCACGAAGCCCTGAGTTCAAATCCCAGCGGCACCAAAAAACAAACAAAAAGAAGAAGAAGAAAGTACTTGTGGCATGGTCCTTTTCCCATCACACTCGGTTAGAAGTTTTGTTTTAAGTTGCATTAAGAATATAAAAAGACCTGCGCTTTGGTAAGCTGCGCACACCTCTAATCCCAGCACTGTGGAGGCAGAGGCAGGCACTGCTGAGGCCAGAGTGGGCTACATAGCAAGACTGTCTCATAATAACAACAACAGCAAAATAAATAGAAAGAAAAAGCCAGAGGTGACGCCCCACTTGGCTATTTGGCACAAGTAAAAGCTCTAAGTCTACAGCACCTTGGGAAAGGTGAACAGAGTGGGTGTGACTTGATAGGGTGCTTTCTACCGTGTACAAGTAGAGAAGAGGAGGAAGAACAGAACTGAGGGCTTGGAGAAGACAGAGCAGCGCTTGCAATGTTGGGGAGCAGGAACTACACACGCCTCCCCCGCCAAAAAAAAAAAATGAGCAGGGATTTGAACCAGGAATCTGCTGGTTCATCTGAGCGTCACCGATGCTCGCTGCGACCCCGAACCATTAAAATTTCCCTCCCTGCTGGGAATCCATCTCCGCTGTCCGCATGAAAAGCTGCCAAGGTGGCTGCTCAGGTTTCCCGGCGAACGCGAGAATGACACGTAGCGAGGGCCGCTCTGCCCAGCAGGTCGCGATGGGATGGGGTGAGGGAAAAGCCCACGTAGGCTTGAAAGGACTCGGCCGGGCCCCATAGCCCCGTCCCTGTCCCTGTCCCCAGGACCGAGCGAGGGCGGCGGCGAACCCCGGGGCGGGTCCTTCCCGCAGGTGAAGAGCCAAGGTGAGCCACGCACTCGGCCTGCCCCCCCCGTCCCCGCCCCCCGCCGCAGTCGCAGCCCCCTCCGACGCACTCGGACGTCCTTCTCGGTCTCCTCACCCATGATGAACCGCCTGTCCGCCCTCGCCGATCCTCACAGACAGGCCGGGACTCGGCAGCGACTTCTATTCCAGCCTTGGCGCCGCCACCTCCGCTCGGCCTGGGTCTCCTCGCAAGCCTGGTCCGCCAGCAACTTCCACGTCGGACTCCCGGCGGGGGCGGGACCGCTGCGGCTGCGCGCCGGGCACTGTGGCCTGAGCGTCCGTGTCAGCGCTTTCGACACAACGCCCCGGAGTTGATGCTGTGAACGCCAAAGCAACAAATAAAAATTCAAGAACCTAAAGTCTGCTCCGGTCCTGTTTTTCTGGACGGGGAAGATTTCCTAAATAGGGCATGTAGAATTTTCATGTTAAATTCTGACACCTAAGAATGGCGAATCAGCCAACGCAGGATGCAAGTGGGGCGGCCGCGCAGGAAGCTCGCGGCGGCTGTGGCGTCGCCGGGGATGAGGGTGCTGGAGATCCCAGCCCGAGCGTCCATGTCCACCCACGGGCTTTCCGCCTAAAGGAAATAGGACGACGCAATAATAATGGGAAGAATCCCGTGCCATAAATACTGAGCCGCCATACCCTTGAGGTCCCTAGCTGGAGACTTTATCCTCTTGGTGGCCAGACCAGCGTTAGCGCCCCTCCCGTTTCAGATAGTGGCAGTATGGCAGAGCCGATCTGCAGCAGGACGCTTAGTGGTCATGAATTCCTTTTATTTTTATTTCTCCGATTATGAAGGATACCTTTACTGGATACAGTAATCTATTTAAAAGTTACTTTCTTTCAGGGCTTGAAATAACATCATTCCGTGTTCTCCTGGCTTTTAGAGTTTCTGATGAGAAATCTGTTAGAGCTGGGCGCCGGTGACTCATGTCTGTCATCCTAGCTACTCAGGAGGCAGAGATCCCGTGGATTGCGGTTCGAAGGCAGGCTGGGCAAATAGTGCCCCAGACCCTACCTCGGAAAAAACCCATTACAAGAAAAGGACTGGTGGAGTGACTGAAGGTGTAGTCCCTGAGTTCAAACCCCAGTATGCAATAAAAGAAAATCTGTGATGGGTTTGCCTTTATATGTGACTTGGCGCTTCTCCAGAGGTTTTTTTTTTTTTTTTTTGCAGTTCTGGAATTTGAACTCAGGGCCTCGTGCTTGCTAGGCAAGCTCTCTACCATTTACTCAATGCCACCAGCTCACAATATTCTTTCCTTGCTTTGTGTACTTAATATATTAACTATAATATGAGGAGATTCTTTTCTAAAAGCTTTCCGTACCTCATTGACCATATCTTTTCCAAGATTTGGGAAATTCTGCTATTATTTTATTGGATGTTTTCTGTGCCTTTATCTTGTACCCCTTCTCTTTCTTCACTGCCCATGATTCATAGGCTTGATCTTTTAATAGTGTACCAGAGGTCTTTTATGTTGTTTTAGTTTCTTATTTTTTTCATTTATTTTTGTCTGAGTGTTCTAATTCATTTACCTTGTCTTTAAGCCCTGATAGTGTGTCTTCTACTTGATCCAGTCTAGTGGCAAGGCTTTCAATTGAGTTTTATTTCACTTATTAAGCTTTTCATTTGCGGAATTCCAAATTGATTTTTTTTCAGGATTTCTATATCATTATTGAATTCCTCTCATACCCTGCCTTGTCTTCCTTATATTATTGTGGAACTGTTGACTTTTGAAGGAGTCACGTTGCCTTGTTTTTTCGTATCGTGTTTCTGCATGAGGGTTTGTGTATCTGAGGCTGTCATTGGTTGGAGGTTTTAATCAGCTGGAGAATACTTTGAGTTGAAGTGTTCTCAGTGTTCAGGCAGGACTGAGTAGTAGCAGGGTTGAGGTACCATTTCTCACCATCAGATAAATATTTGGCAAAGATCTTTCCCCCTTCTCTAATCTGTAAGTGAACTATTCACCCTAATAATTGTTTCCTTTGATGTGCTTTTTAATGTAATCCCATTTGTCAATTCTTGCTCTTATTTCCTTAGCAATTGGAGTCCTATTCAGAGTAATTGTCTATGCCCATATCTTCAAGTGTTTTCTCTGTTTTCCTGTAGTAGTTTCAAAATTCCAGGTCTTGCAGGAAGATATTTTATCTATTTTGAATTGATTTTTGTACAGGGTAAAAGGGATCTGGTTTTAGTCTTTTACATACATATACCCAGTTTTACCAACATCGGTTGTTGAAGTGGCTGCCTTGTTTACAATGTGTATTTTTGGCATCTTTGTCCAAAATCAGTTGACTGTAGCTATATGGGTTTATTCCTGGGTCTTCTATTTCATTGGTCTTCATGGCTGTCTTTGTGCCAGTACCATGCTGTTTTTGTTACTATGAAGTCAGGTATTATGATTTCTCCAGCATTGCTCTTTTTGCTCAGGATTGCTTTGATTATTTGGGGGTTTTGTGCTTCCATATGAATTTCGTAATTAATTTTTCTATTATTGTGAAGATGACATTGGAATCTTCTGGAGATTGTATATAATCTGTAGATTGCTTTTGATAGTATATCTATTTTCACAATATTAGTCCTGCCAATCCATGAACATGGGAGGTCTTGCTGTCTTCTAGTGTCTTCCTCAATTTCTTTCTACAATGTCTTACAGTTTTTCTTGAAGAGGTCTTTCACCTCTTTAGTTAGGTTTATTCCTAGGTATGGTTTCCTGATTTCTTTCTTAGTCTGTTTGTTATTGGTATATTGAAAAGCTACTGATTTTTGTGTGTTGGTTTTGTATGTTGATTTTTATATCTTTCATTATTTTTGCTGAAAGTGTTTACCAGATCCAAGAGTTTTCTGATGGAGTCTTTAGGGCCTTTTTTTTTTGCTTTTTTTGGCAGTACTGGGGTTTAAACTCAGGTCTTCACACTTGCTAGGCAGGTGTTCTACCACTTGAACTACTCCTCCAGTCCTTCTTGTGTTGAATATTTTTAAGATAATGTCTCATGAACTATTTGTCTGGGGCAACTTTGACCTGTGATCCTCCTCTGCCCAGTGCCCTGCCTTAAGGGTCTTTTAAGTACAGGATCATATCATCTGAAAGAAAGGGTAATTTTACTTCTTCTTTTCCTATTTATACCCTTTCATTTCTTTCCCTTGCCTTATTGCACTGGCTGGGAATTCAAGCACTATATTGAATAAGAGTGATATTAGTAGACACCTTGGTCTCATTCTGATTTTAAAGAAAATATTTTCAGATTTTCTCATTCAGCATAATGTTGGCTATAGGTTTGTTGTATATACCCTTTTTTATGGTGAGGTGTGATCTTTCTATTCATAGTTTCCTCAGGGCTTTTATCATGAAGGGATGCTGAATTTTGTTAAATTCTTTTTCTGCATCTATTGAGATGATCATGTGATTTTTATCCTTGGTTATATTTCTGTACTGTATTACATTTATTGATTTGCATATATTGAACCATCCCTGCATCCCTGGAATGGTAATCATGGTGTATGACCTTGGTGTATGATCCTTTAATGTGTTGTTGAATTTGGCTTGCAAATATTTTATTGAGAATTCTTTAATCAATGTTTATCAAGGATGTAGGTTTTAGTGGAGTATCTCAAGTGGTAAAGCACTTGCTAGGCATGCGCTCTACCACTTGAGTCATGCCCCCAGCTCAGTTTGCTTTAATTTTATCCTTATCCAGTTGTGTTTTTGTTGTTGTTGTTTTTGTTTTATTTTGGGTTTGTGTGTGTGAGAGAGAGACTAGGGTTTTAATTCAGGGCTTTGCACTTGCAAAGCAGGACTTGAGCCACACCTCTAGTCCATTTTGCTGTAGTTATTTTGGAATGGCATGTCACAAACTATTTTCCTAGGCTGACTTGGTACCATGATCCTCCCAATCTCACCCTCCCAAATAGCTAGGATTACAGGTGTGGTCCATTGGTGCCTGGCTCCTTATCCAGTTTTGGTATCACGGCAATAGTGGCTTCACAGAATGTGTTTAGAAATGTCTGTTCCCTTTCTATGTCATGGAATACTTTGAGGAGCATTGGTATTAGTTCTTCTCTAAAGATATGATAGACTTCACCAATGGAGGCTAAGTGCAGTGTATCACACATACAATCCCAGCTACTTGGAAGGCAGAGATCAGGAGGATCACAGTTTGAACATAGTCCAGGCAAAAAGCTGGCAAGACAGTATCTCAACCAATAAGGAACGAAGTTAGGAAGGGAGGGAGGGAAGGAGGAAGGGAGAAAGGAAGGAAAGGGAAGGAAGGAAGGGAAGGAGGGAGGGAGGGAGGAAGGAAGGAAGGAAGACAGCATTAATGTTGTCTACTAGGTGTCATTTCGCCCTTTCATGATCCACACTAAGCACCTAATACAAGTCACTATGAAACCCACAGTAGGGGGCTGGAGCTGTGGCACAAATGGTAGAGCACCTGCTAGCAAGTATGGAGCCCTTTGTTCAAACCCCAGTAGTGCCAAAAAGAAAAGAAAATAGCAGTGGAGTAAAGACTTACGAACCCAGTAGGTGCTTTGATCAAAAACTTTATTTTTAAAAACTTATCCATTTAATCCTTTGCTTCTGATCAAAGATCTGGTCTAGTTCCCTGGATGCATTAAAAACAAAACAAGAAAACTTTTGACCTAAAGAAAAATCCCAAAATATTAAGATAGAGTGTTATCCTTTAATTCTTCTAAACTAAACTTAGGAAAACCAAAATATTTTTCTCCTAACTGCTTACTATGTTTAAGACTTTACACTAGGTCTGAGGTAATTGGAATTAATCCCGACTGTCATAAGATTTATAACTTTTAGAGGAACTCAAGGATAGGAATGAAAATGGTTTCAAAAAGTGTTATTTTAGCTCACAATAAGCTATTTCTTATTTCCTTTGAAAAAAATGTTGAGATAGTTTTTAAATTATGTAATATGAAAAAACATTTAATATTTAGAATAGTTCACAACATACAATATACATTTCTCTTTAAAAATGTTAAAAAAAAAAACCAAAGTAAAAAAAAATTGTTGAGGTAGGACTGTGGCTGTAGCTCAGTGGTATCCAAGCACTTGCCTAGCGTTCATGAGGCTCTGGGGTTGAGCCCTAGAAACACAAGAAAAATTTGTTGAAATAAATTTATAATTAATAAAGCCATAAACACCAAAAAAAGAGTCTCCCTAAAAAGAAAAGTCCAGGACCAGATGGATTCTCTGCTGAAATTATCAGACTTT